CACTTTATCCACTACACTGCTTTTCAAGGGACAGGTACTGTGTACATCAGGAGTCCCCAATCTTTTTGAATCTGTGGACACATTTAGGAATTTGAGAAACTGCTGTGGGGACCACCACAAAATGCCTAATCAGTGGATAACCACTTGGTGTCTGTCACTTCTGTGGATCTTAGGCTGTATCTTATTCAGCAAAAGGTTCAGTTCCTGTGTGCTGGATATTGCACTCTCTCTTTAAAAAGGGTTTGTTTGTTTTTTACTTCAGCTAATTGCTGGCAGTACAATGCAGCTTCTTTTAACCTTTTGACAATCTTCCAGTAGTTGCTTCTTTTTGGGAGAGAGGGCTATTACACTTCTAAATTTGATGCTGCAACAGTTATTCACTCACCAGTATATGTTCTTTTAAACTAGCTACCTCTTCCATGAAAAATTAACAAATGGTCAGACTAAATGGATTCTCTCCCCACTAAGACTGATATTACAATATTGGAAGGATAAACACTCACCACCAATATTTAAATGAGTGGCATAGCAACACCACCTTCAAATCTTTACTTTCACCTGCTTTTGATGAAGCCTGAATTCCTAAAAAGTCATGAGAATTTCATACGTATTCATTGCTATGGGTGGTTACAAATTCATGTATGTTGTGGATACCTGTGTCCACCATTTCAGGGACCAATTCATGGATCCTGTTGGAGATGCTAGGGTGCCTTGAAGCCCATTTTGGGGGACTGTAGTAAATATGAATATATGCATCCTGATTTAAGTCATACCTGGACTAGAACAGTCGAAATCAATGAGACCTGCTTTTCACGTCTAATTTATGCCTCTTTGCTTGTAGCAGGTCTGTTCTTAGTCTAGGCCTGGATCCAACCTATATATATTTCAAGTTAAAAATCAAAGACAAAATATTTAAACACCCCAATTTCTCATATGGGTGATTGTAAGACCATACAAAAAAGGCATAACCCTAAAGCCTTCCAACATTTTCTGGAAGGCCATAGGATTTTTTGGAGTCTAAGTACCTCAGTCTCAGTAAGTAGGACTTAAAAGTCTGAGGCCCCACCTTGCCCCCTTATAGCTGGCATGGGAAGAACACAGGCCATCACTTTGTGGTCCCAAATAGAGGAGAAAGAGGAGCATGCTGGGGGAAGGAAAGGGAGCAGGCTACAGTCAACAGTTTAAGCCATAGCCAAACAATGCTCCAGCCTTCTTCCTTCCTCCTCTGGTACAACTTCCTCTAGACCATGGGACCTCAAACTACGGCCTGAGGGCCGAATCTGGCCCGCCATGCCCATTTGGACCTGCCATGTGCGTGCCTGCACCCATGCATGCGCCCGCCACCGCCCACCTCACCCCACGCACGGGGAGGCAGCAGTTTGCTCGCTCGGAGAAAATGATCTCCAAGGGAGCAAGCTTCTGCCTCATGCGCTCACCTCACGGCGCGTGCCCGCCCCCACCTGCACCTCACCTCACCATGCCCCGTGCCCACACACAGCGCCCCTGCACTGACCCGCGAGCACTGCCAACACCACCTTTCCGACCTGCACCCAGCACCGGCATCTTTCAACTGGTACCCTGGTGGAAAAGTTTGAGGATCCCTGATCTAGACAATCAAAAATGGCTGTCTAAATGAAATGCAGGACACAAGGCATGGCAGTGGTGAAGACCATCACTACCACATCTGCCTGTGTATACTGGCTCCCCCCATTGCACATAAGCCTCTGAGGACATGCAAGGGGGGAGCACTGGATTGCATCCTAAAAACTCTGTGACTTGTCACCCTCTGAGTACAAATTAACCAGCTTTGGAAAATTCCCAAATCACATACACACAGAGACCAAGAATTGGGTGGTAACCATTCAAAGGGCAGTTGGGACTCACATGATCTGATCATACTCCATACAAAAAGTGTCCATCTATGTCAAAAATGGTGCATGTGTGTGGTGCCAGCCTAAATCTTCTCACTGACATGATTTTCTTGGGAAGGGAGCAGAAGAGGATGGAAATGTACTGAACGGTCTGAGCCTTTGCCTGTAATATGAGGTGGTACAACTTGGGCACTGGTGGTATTGTACCACCTAATTTGAAATTAGGCCTTTGGGACAATTATGTCCTGAATTTCAAACTGCTTAGTTCAAGCAATACTGAAGTAATGCTTATAAAAGACAAGATGATTTATAATAACCAGGCTACAATTTGTACCACCATGTATCTAGTTTGTTAAATGAGCTTGCTGATCAATGTCACATCTCTCAGTGCTGCCTGCCAACCAGCCTCCCTGTAAAGGATTTTCTCACAAGGTCACAACTGGCACACAAATGTACAGTCTGTCAGCAGGCTCAGACTGAGACTTCCGTGCATTAAAGAAGGCCTTGCATACTCTACAGCCAAACACAAACTTCAGTATTAGAAATTCAGTATCTAGTAGATGCTCCCCATGAAACATGTCTGCTAAAAAGAATCATGTGCTGAATCAAGCACACATGGAGAGGAATTTTGGTTTAATTCACATTGACAGGCCATCATCGAGTTTTGAACAAACCACACTAGGATCCTATGGGGAACTGATTTGCCACTATGTGTATGGAATGCTGGACTAGAGGGACCCTTGGTCTGACCCTGCATGGGCTTTTATTCTAGTTCTAGTTTCACACTGTTTTACATTCTGTAATGCTTTTTAAATCTTTGTACTGCCACCAGGTTTACTCTGGTTTTCATTGTATGATATATTGTTTTGACAAGTAAATTTTTGGACTCGATTTTATACTATGTTATACTGTACTGTATGTTACATTTTAGGTTGCTTTAAATTGTTGCAACTGTCCAGGGAGTGAGCAAGCAAGTGAGCTAGCTAGCTAATTTATTTATTGAAAACTTTTGTACCCCATCCTGTACATAAAAGTCTCAGGACAGTCCAACAGGTTCAGCTATTAGGAGGTATAAAATGTGATAAACAATAGAATATTGGGACCAGGCTTCAGTTACTCATGCCCTAATTACTTCCAGATTTGACTCTCATAATGTACCCTATGTGGAACTGCCTTTGAAGGTAGTTCAAAAACTTCATTCAGTTCAAAATACACTGTCTGAATAATGTGGGAAGCCAGGTGGTCCAGCCATATTACATCAGCTGCATTGGTTACTAGAATGCTTCATGCCCAGTCAAGGTGCTGATGTTAAAACCTATAAAGCCATAAATGGTTTAGGACCAGTTTATCTGAAGACCTGCCTTCTCCCAATATGATCATGCCGGTGTTAAATTCAGTTAATTTTACAAGCACAACTCTTCCCTTTTCCCTCTTCCAGCAGATCCAGATGAAAGGTTTCTAAAAACTAGTCCTTTATTTGAGATAGACTAGCTTGTCCTACATCAAAGGAAGTAATACAAAGGCTGTTAACAAGCAGCAAAAATCAAAATAATGTTCCCTCTAGTTTAAAGGAGAAGCTTCTTCCCTTAATAGCTGATTGCAAAACTGAAAACCAGTTTCTCCTTTGCTTCTCCAAAGGCACTGCTTTACCCTCAAGGAGGTTCATGCTGCTTGAGAGCTAGACAGCAGGACTATTAGATGCTACCTAACTGGTCTGCCTTTTTGGCTTGACAACTGGTGTCATGAACCAGGTTTCCTCTGTTTGCACATTCAAAGTCGTTCCTGCAGAACATTCTTGATTGATCAAAGCATTTTCCAGAAGCACAAACACTCAGAATGAATAACTGAGAATGCAGAGTGATTCATTGAACCCATCTAGTAATTACTAGGAATTCTCCTTATGAGTATTTTGGGCCCCCTCCTTTTGGGAGGCGCCTTCTGAAAAAGAGCACACACCCTCTCTGTATGCTGATCCTCTAATTAGGCTGACTTCTCTGCTGCTGTCACATCTTGACATCAAGAGCCAAACCTGCCTCATCTGTCTCTGAGAAACTCCCCTGTTCCAAGTCCCCTCCCAAAAACTGTACTTCTTGGTTATTCTCTGCCTGAGCACCTGGAAGTCTGGCCTTAAGGTAAACATCTCCACTGTTCTCATCTCAACACCTGAAAATGGCCCACATTCAGATCCTCCTTGTTCTCCAGTGTCTCCCCACAAACCAGAGGGAGTTTGATTCCCATTAGTCACTAGAAAATCTTGTTGGTAATCTTAGCATTTCAGTACCACATTCCAACCCCTCTTCTTTATCTAGCTCTTCTTTCAAGGTTGAATTTTCTAACTTGAAATGCTGTACAAGTGGCCTTGCTTGTATGTCCACTTACAAGCTCAATTGGGTTAGGGAGTGTGAGAGACAAAGCCTCCTTGAGGGTGGCACCACAGTGGTTAGGGTAGAAATTGCTATGGAATGCAGAAATTGAGATCGCTATAGAAAATGTTGTGCCTTCTAGGCCCTGAAATTACATCTCTTCCAGGATAATTTTCTTTAACAGTGTTTTCTGTTACCGATCCTTGAAGCCTCATGATTCTTTACAATACTGAATTCTTACAGTTTGCTGCTTCAAGTGCATCCTGTATTTCAACCTCATTATCATGTGATGACTTGAATAGTAATGCCCGAAAAATACTTTCGATAATTAATGCTAAGAAAGAACTAAAGATCATCCTGAAGGTAGCATTTTAGATAGTTTTATGGATGGAAAGAAGTTAGAGAGGGTCTTTTAGGCTCCAGAAGAGACCTTACAGCTGTGTGAGCAGCAGAGATTGTTTGCTGCTGATCTTGATCATAGGGTACTGGGATCTCCGTTGGGGTTCTCCTTTGGAAAAGTGCTATGCGTTGGGGTGGGAGTCATTAGCAGAACTACAGCCAAAGAGGGCCGACAGCCAGAGGCTTGATCAGGGGCAGTGACTGGCAAGAAAACATATCTCATAGGAGATGAGCTTGCAGTGGCTCCCAGTCCCACTCCTCAAATTGTAAACCATTGCTTTATTTGGTTTCCGCTTGTCTGAAGATTCTCTTCTTCCATTGAAGAGATATGAGAAAAACATAAATAGGTAAGGTCATTTTTATTGCACAATATTTTAATGATAAATTAAAACTCCATCTCAATATTAAGTAGTTATACAAAGCATTTTGTCAGTGTCCTGGTTCAGAGAGCGATAGCAAAGAACGAAAGTTCATCAATCTTAGGTGCGCTACTAGGAGGAAATAAATGAAGAGCTGAGATATGCAAAGAAGAATTTACCATGAGAGGGCCACAGTCAGTACCATAATTCTGTTGTTGAGTGGAATAAGCAGTAGCCTAGTCAATAAGCGGGAGCCCAAGGTCTCAGATTGCCAAGCAAACATGTTTCAGTTGCATGCTGTTTTCCAATTTCAGTTCTCCTCCAAAGCAAGTCTTTTATGCCAGTTTGGCCGAGCCATACCTTGACGTACACAGCTGCATCAACACCTTGCTCCTGTGGGGAGTGCTTTACTCTGCTGGGTCCTTGGCTTGAGACTGTCTGGAACTTCCTCTTAAGCTTCCATCTATCTAGAGAGTTGGGAAGGGATCCCATCTCCAGCTCTAAATGCAAACTGTCCTGATGTAGGGGAGGAATGCTGAATGGCTGTTGGAACGTCTTGGCTCTGCTGCTGATGCCGGGCCAGCTGTAGTGTGCACTTCCCCAGGGGAGGAAGGCTCTTGGGCCAAAGACGAGTCTTCTCTGTCTATTGACCCAGAGGTAGTCCTCCTCTTCAGAAGAGAGTCTTCCAGGGGAGATATGGCAGCAATTTAGAAGCATTTGTATTACAAATATATGTACATTGTCACCTATTGAAATATTCCATTTTCATCATGCCCAAAGCACATACTTTTAACAATTTAATTATCAAAGTTCTTGTTTTATCAACATCAGTTGTTGGCAGGCTGCTCTACAAAAACAAAAGTATCTTAAGGCCACTTTCTGGCCTACTGAGACAGTCTGTTTTTTCTGTTCCTGAGTAGACAATTAGAAAGCAAGAAGCAAATTTTCCATTCACAGTTTATAGATGCGGCTTGTGTAATACTGCTGACATTTTATCCACGGAGTCTCTTGGCCAAATAGAACCATGTTTTGAAAGGTTTTCTGTTTCTTCTCCATACATGTAGACCCTATCATGACCCTACATCTTTTCTGGACCTCGGATGCCCTGAATCATATTATAGACAACTATGTGATAAAGGGATCAGAGATTGCTTTTCTGAGTCCATTCTTATTTTACCCAAGTGGTTTTCATAACATCAGAAGCCCAAGACCATGAGGAAAAGTCCAAAAGAAAGCTCTTCCCTATACAAGCATTGTCTCTCCTGGAAACAGGGACACCCCATAGGGGAAGGAGCCATGTAGGGAAATCCCTCCATGCTGGGTTAGGCTTCTTATGTTACTGAAATGACAGGGGAAGACGGAACAGTGCAGCAGTTCCCATGATGCTGATGTCATGCTGAAAGCACTCTTATTAAGCTCTCCAACGTGTAGCACTGAGTACATTTTTCTGGTCAGTTTAACATATGCTGATTGGCAACCTTGGACTATCATGGACAAATAGCTGCAAGTCCACTTATAAGGAAAGGACTATAGCAATAGTTAATGACAGTTCATCTTAATGTCTTAATGATTAATGACAATCAAGAAGATCAAATTTAGTCCCCATTTTAAACCTTTTCTTCTGTGCTCAGCCCTAATCTAGGGGTCTTTACACAGAAATCTGCCCGTATTAATAAAATTAGATGCTTTAAAGCTAAAGAAATGTAAATTTATTTACTTTAATTTTATTATAGCACTAAGTAGAGACAATTCATCAATTAGATACCTCTTTGAGGAAGGAACACTAAGTGCAAACTGCAAACTAAAACATCCTAATAATGTAGCACTACTCATTCAAATTCTTAAACTAACAATACCAGAGTAAACATTGGCTGATTTGGAAAAATCCAAACAGGCATGAAGAATTTTCTTTTTTAAAAGCAATTTGACAGGGAAAGAAATCTCACTGAGATTTCAACAGACAGACCTCATTGTGGAAGTGGGGAAAGTTTATATGATCCCAGTCCTAAACACCCTATCCCCACAAACATATCTGACCTAATATTTTGGTAACTAATAGCATATGACAAATATTTGTGACCTAATATTTTAGTAACTAATAGCATATGACAAAAACAAAGACTGGGCATGTTTTGGTAGTAACAGAACAGAAGGCTAAACCAACTGTGAGTGTAACTATATAACAAATAGAGATTACAAAACTTCTGAGAACAATGTGATTTCTCTGGGCCTAAAAGGGTAAATTGTTTTGTTTTCATTTTATTAATCATACTTAAATATCACTTATAATAATAAAAACCCTCAATATTAAATTAGGTTAAGCAATCAGGAAAGCACTTATTTCTGAACTTCATGTCTACACTGAATTTCTGAGTCTATACATACAGTCAAAGTGAAGGTCAGTATCCTATACATATTAACATTTCGCAGTCAGTGGGACATATCTGTGCAAATATTTGACTTAATTTTCACCGCTACTAACAAAAAGAACTCAGCACTTAACTTAGTAACAATATTTCCACAATAAAATAACAACAGGTTATGGACTCTGTGCAGCATTGTATAGATTCAAATAAGACTCTATTCTCTGTTAACACATGCAAACACATCTAATTAAATTAGGTTCCAAAAACCAACTAGAAGTACCTTTCAAACAGAAACTGACAGATTTGCTCATGTTAACATATGTGAACATGTGTATATGCATGAAATGGTTTACCACATGTTAGCCTGTTTGAATTCCTCTGCTGATCCAAATTGTGACAAAACAAAGTGGCAAGGGAACACTAATTGATCATACCACACAAAACCCCAACCCTACACATACTGTTAATATGGCTCATACCCAAGAATGGGTCCTAGCCATTTTTCAGCCTCTGCCACAGACATGCTTTTCCTTAAGGCATAATCTTCAACCTGTAGAATGAAGAAAGGGATGACTAATTTAGCATTTTAACTGCTGGAACTTCTCAGTCATCAAAACTTTCACCAACCATGCTGAAAAAGAGCATTATGACTCATACATTTGCATCCTCCTTATCCAAGCTTTTGATTTTTAAAATTCTCTTTCTGTACATAAATAATTACAAACACTAAATGACAGGTTACAAAAAGCAGCCATTTCATAAAATCTAGATCCAAACCAGACCTTGAAAGTTTTCTACCAATCTAATGAGCAACCAGTTTCCACACTGGTATCCTAGTTTGTTGTTGAACTACGGATTTGCTTTGCCTCATTGTCGTCTTAATCCATTTCACTGCTCCCATAATTCACCTAGCCTCTTTAGCCTTTCTTGTGCCTCAGTCAGCCACCAATACCTAGCAAAAAGAATTCTGGCTGCTCTTAATGCATATAAAGCCTGTTCTTCATCCTTAAGGAAAGTCTTATTTAAATGACACACAACAATGGTCTAAAGACATTTGTATCAGAAAGGTCTGTTTACCATTTTCAACAATTCTGTTGCTTTTTACTCCATTCCATCACATGCCACAAAAGTCATTCCTATCAGTTTGACATCTCCAACGTGTACCTTCCTTAGTTTTATACACACGCGCGCACCTACGTTGGTGTCAGGCAGGCCTTACCTGATCTTTCAATATTTTCCCAACAGCAAAGTATTTGGATTCAGGATTGGAAAAGTAGAGACCTGAGACTGCTGAAGCTGGTAGCATCGCCAAGGATTCAGTGAGCTGAATACCTGTGAAAGCCAAAGAAAAACTGGCTGTCTGGGAGCAGATATAATGTACTGCAGAGAACAAGTTGTGATAATCTATGGTTAATGTCTCACCTAAGCCTGGAACTCACTGCATGGACTTAAGGCAAGGCATTGTTCCACCAGGCCCAACTCAAGCCACCTACACCACTCAGTGATTAAGTGCAATCACCAGAGCCCACCATGGCTTATTTAAGTTAGTTTCAAGACTTGAGGTCACCAGGCTTCCAGTTTATGTTCCTGCTGCAACTTCTCATGTTCCCTGAACATAACGAAGATGGCTTGTTGGGGTGATGAATATATCACCCATGAGCCTACAAAAGGTTCTGAATGGTTAACAATCAACCAACCCCAAAGCCAACCCTTGCTGGATTTGGACAATACAAGAAGTCCTCCCTAGCAATGGTAATCAGAAAAAGACTAAGCACGCACAAAAGCCACTATGGTTTATCTACCATTGTCATGGACTGTGAACCAGACTAATCTAACCAAGAGAATAAACATGAATACTTTGGCTCTTAGGAAAAAGTTATTTGTAAATGTATATAATGGTGTGGCAGCATGGAAGTTACTCAGCTATAGCAGTCCTCCTTTTCCCCCTGTTGCTGGAAGACCAGCAAGTCAGGGACCCAGCAAAAGAAGTTCTTATAGAAGCAGCTTCTCCATGCCAGTGTTAATGAGGCAAAAGAGAGAATCTCACTGGTCCACATTTTTCATCAAAGAGAACTAATTCACTTTTCCTTGACTAATTCACAGATTGGAAGAAAGTTTTGCTTTGGACTGCATGCTTCTCCAGATTTGGTGATACAGACTTTGGCTCAAAAACTGAATACAAAAATGTGCATGGAAAGTTGTGAGTATCTGGGAAAATTGCAAACCATGCCCCAGCAGGGAATTGTATGACTTCCTTCCATCTAAACATGCATAGGGTTGCATGCTGTCTGTTCTTTTGCTTACACTTTTGAAATTCAGATGAGACATTCTGACTCTCAGCACTTTTTGCCTTTAGCTAGGAGGTTGGTAAAATCAAAAGTGAAATAACAAATTCCATTTTCATCAGGTTCTCTTCCTTTCCCTACTCCTTCCTTCCTTTCCCCTTTTTGAAAGAGTAACAGGAAAGGGAAAGCTTATGAAAACTGGTTGGCCCCATAGGGTGTAAAGGATGGGATTATTAGGGCACTGTGTCTCTAAATTAAGCTACCCTTGCATTTTAATAGTGATTTGCCTATTAATTAGACCAAGTTTCTGCACACTCATATGCTGCCTTGAAACTGTAGTACAAACTATCTGGAGGCCACCGAGCTGGGGGATGGCTTGCCTGAACAATCTCTCAACGTACCTTATTTCTAAAAATCAAGAGTTAGCAGTCTCAAAATCACCCACAGAAAATTCACTTACAACTTCTGATAGTTAAAATGTGGAGTTATATCTCACTGTTATAAAAAAGGTGCATTTATAAGAGCTGGTATGATGTAGGAGTTAAGAGTGCGGAAGTGGAACTTGGGAGGCCCATGTTTTAATTCCCACTTGTCATAACACTCACAGAATGACTTTTGGCCAATCAGACTCTCAGCCTAATCTAACTCGCAGGGTTGTGAGAATAAAATGAAGGGGAGATGGAAAAAAGTGGGATCTAAATGCAAATATAATTACTCTAATCAGTCACAAAAGGATTACAAACATTTCCAATCAAATTGTAGACAACCCTGTAATCTCTCCTCTTTCAAATTAACAGTTATTTTAAAGCAACAGAAGCTTTATACTTAAATGGGTGAAACATCCCCTTACCATCTAAATATTCAAAGTTACACCTGACACCAGGTGAAACTGAAATTTCACCTTTAAACAAATTGAACACACATGTTTTTACTTCTTTCTCCTAATTTAAAATACCGGACTTGGAAAAACAACAACAACAACAAAATTACTATTTTTTCAATCAAATGCAAGTTAAAATAAATAATCCTAGCTGAAAGTTCAGCTAAGGTACCTGTTGCCTTCTCAATGTTTGCAAGTTTCCACATAGTGATTTTCTCAGTGTGATCAGGTTGACAAGGATACCCAGGAGCTGGGCGAATTCCATCATATCTAATCCTACGCAAATCTGAAAACGCCAGGTGCTCATTTTCACAGTAAGCCCAGAATTCTTTCCGGACCCTTTCATGGAGTTCCTCTGCAAATGCCTAGGAAAGAAGTGGAAACATGCTGTAATCTTGGCAGTGCTGAATTCAAGTAATTAACTCATAATTAACTTCCCCTGTTATGTTGCTACATTAAAGTATGCTTTATGGGTTGAATCAAATAGTGTCTTTCCACTGAGGGAGGTCTAAGATAATGGAAAGGGCTGCACTTATGCTCTCAGGATGTAAAGAGGCCTTTTCTGACACTTCCCAGCATTGCCTACATTAGAGAAATAAGTAAAACAGCAGACAAAGGCCCCTTGTGTGTAAAGCATGTGCTCAACCTGATCAAAGGCATGTCTCCCTCAGGCAATCACACTAGATAGAAAGGGGAGATGACTAAGAACATTCTAGTAGGCTCATTAGAAGTTCCATGGGGAGAAGCTAAGCATTCTGAATACATGCTCAGGGTCTTGTGTGTAGCTGTTCTCCCCACATCCAATGTGCACAGCTCTAATGCTTATGGACCTTACTGCCAAGGGTTTATCCTTTAATCATCATTATCTTCATTGTAACTAAAAACTTCTGCACTCACTGATGAGCAGAAAATTAAGGCCAGCTCGCTGCCAGAGATAAGAGTGGGAGGCAATTCCTCCTCTGATCCCCTGAAGGACAGAGAGAGGGTGAACCTCAGTGTTTTAGCCCACTGGATGGCAAGGAATAGGAAGGAAGCACATGTGTTTTCAGTATTTGGCTTTGACTTAGCCTCACATTTCAATTAATTCAGTCACAGCTCGGGCATACAGAAAATCTGCTACCTATAAACAGTAGAAGTTGTTACCTCTGCTAAACGATCTCCCAGTGCTTTCACCATTATAATATTGTAGTCATCGGACTGCTTCTCATATTCTTTGCACAGCTCATCTACTCCAAAGCATGCCACAGCAAACAGGCCCAAATAATCAGCAACACAAGAGTCCAGTGGGGATACAAAGTCAGACAAGCAATGATAAGGATCTGTAGAAGAGGAGTCTTTCTCTGCCTGTAGTAATAAATGGAGCACAACATTAACTAAAAAGAATTTTCCATCGGTATACTGTAGAACACCCCATTTTCCCTCCAATGGTATGTATTCATTACATTAAAAAAACTGTTTAGAAACAAGGCATTTTTCAAAACAATTAAAAAAACAACAACATAGCATAAGCATTCCAAACACTGAAAACTTCTGAGCAACATAAAATAATTTAAAAGTTAGCATTGTTTAAAAACCTAGAACAAATAACAAGGACTTTGCCTTGTGAAAGATGGTAGCAAAGTACCAGGTAATCTTTCTGAGGAGGGCATTTCACAGAGAATGGTACACTAAAAAGGTCATCTCCTTGCTAACTTCCGATGGCAGAAGATCTTAGATCTAGATCTGAACATACAGGCAGACTGATAACAGGAAAAGATAGTTCAAAAGGTACCTGGGTCTTAAAATGGGCATGAAGGGTTTCAAAAGTAAACATCAGTTCCTTTGTGAAACTCTGCAAATCTTTTAGATTGAAAATGTTATGTTTTTAATGAAACCAAAAAAGGATTGAAGGGGAATTCTGGGCTCATTTCCCATTGCATATAATGTATTTGATCAAACACCATAGTTAGAAAACTCAAACTGTTCCTAGCACACATAAAAAGCATTTGATCTTAGTAAAATAGTTTTACATATTACCTGCTGCCTTAACCCATAGAACTTAGCAATTGGTTCTGAAAAGTCCTCTTCTGTGGCATATATATAAATATCATCTTGAACACTTCGTGCTGGCCAAAATCCAATCAAACCTTTAGCTTTAAATTTATTTTGTACAATCAATTCGTTCAGCAAGCTCTGAGCTTCATTATAGAGCTTTTTCGCCTCTTCCCCTAACAATGGGAGGAAAAGTTCATTTACATATTAGTATTCCCAACACATTTTTTTTTAAAGTGAGAAGTTTGGGAGATGGCTGGGACGCTGATATGATTTGGCATAAGCCCTCGGGCCCCACTTCCTCCCTTTCCTGCCCCCAGCATCCCCCTTTTTGCACTCTCCGAGGTTCATCTGTAACCTTGGGAGGGGGCAGCTGGCGTGGTTCTTTCCATACAGACTGCAAAGGGAACTGAGTATAGGCTCAGCCTTCAGAGTCCTAGCTGTGGGACATAAGGATCTCAGAGCTGGGACCTCAAATAATCCAGTGGCCTCCCAAAGTCTGCTCATTTCCTATAAATGTTCCTCAAACATTACACATTTCACATAGTGAATTTCCACTGAATTACTAGTCCACAAATATCATTGGACATGCTGTTGTATTACTAGCCCACTTCTCCCAAACTGCAGTATTTGAAGTTTGCTTCAGAGTATGAATCTGAACTGGAAGAACGTTAGGGTTAAGGTTAAGGTTAGCTGAAATGCCAAGGCTGGCAAGCCCCGAGATATGCCAAGCAATTGTTGAAAACCAGAACACCTCTGTTTCTGAGGGAGAAGCTGTTGAACAGGCAGGCTGAAGAGGGAGAATGTAATACAATCAGTCCTATTGTCAATGTCAGCTCAAGAGAGCAAGCCAAGTGAGTAGCATCCGACATTCCCACCATCTGGGCCACAATCAGTGGGAACCTGCCTGACAGTCCAGCTAACTCAGTTTGAAAGCAACTTCATAGCAAGAGTGGTAAATTCCCAAATTGCTGGTTTCCCAACTTAACTGATTATCTTTTGCTAAGGTGATATCCCTGGCTGGCCCACTTTAACATAAGAAAGACTGTAATCAGGTGCTTAGAAAGACTGTCTCAGAACATGCCTCTCCCCACACACAAATTTCTATGTTAATTTGTGGCCTAAAAAATAGGTGGTGGGGGCAGACTTCCCTGGTCACCCAGAAGTGAATCTTATTCCTCATAAGTAAATTGGGAAGTGGCTATTACAAGCCTTTAGAAAATCAGGCTGCTTTAGGAAAACGAAAGCAAAATTGAAGTAGGGGTAATAGCCATGTGCATGCGGTGGGCAGTTTACAGAGGTCTCATTTGTTTTCATAAATCTTCTGTTGCATCAGACTTTACCAGGTTCTATTATGAATAAATTCTCTAATATTGCTCTCATGGGTATTGCGGGTCTACTCTGTACATATTTGCACAATTCAAAGCTACTCTGCATGATATTTAATCTACCTTTTGGATTTTCCACTAGACAATATTATTGTGTTGCTCACCCACTGTTTTATCATTGAAGATTTTAGGAAAGCCCCTGTTGGGGTATTTGCCTCTAAGCTGCCAGACATCAAAAAAAGGCTTCCAGTCAATGTATTCTACCAGCTTCTGCAAGTCATAATCTTCAAAAACTCTGGTGCCAAGGAACTTTGGTTTAACTGTAAAAATACAATATGCAATTTCTACAATTTGGAACATACTGTGTAAGCTACATTCATCTTTCTTAAACATCACACACTGATTTTATTTTTTCTGTTACTAGGCCTTACTGCAAGCTCAGCACCACAGGTCAATCACAGCTAAAGCAAAACAATGAACATCAGTTAGCCAGGTCTAGCAATGTCTGCATCTTTGGTGTGGTATAGAACAAGGGTGAATGGAATACCTGATTGACTCTAAGGTGCAGCATAACCAGTGGCTATATAAACAATTCCTTGAATTAATTGATCTGTTTACATTTACCAGCTTGAAATAAGAGAGTGTAAATTCTTGTATTCCACATCAGAGGGTAGCAAAGGACTAAGTGCAGGAAATAAAATGTCTATGTTGGCATGATATTTATAGAAAATACCCTACCTCATCAGAATAAATAAGCTATCCATGTGAAAAAGCATGCCATCATAAAATCCTGTGTGATGTAGTGGCTAGGGTGTTGGATTGGGACTTAGATCTGGGTTCTAGTTCTCACTCACTGGGCGACTTTGGGCCAGTCATGGACTGCTAGCCCAACCCACCTCACAGGGTTATTGCAAGGATAAAATGGATAAGAAGAGAACATTGTAAGCCACCTTACATTCCTTGCAAAAGGAGGACAGATGAGCTATAAATGCAACAATAACAATAACACAATAACAATAGCACATGTGATAATGTAATAATATATCCATTGGCCACTATTTGACACTTCTTGACTGTTGATGTGGGTTCAGTTAGAATCAGATGCCAGACTTAATTGCAGACAGTCAGGGAAAGTTAGAAACTTAATGTGTGAAATTGTAAGTTAACCTGGTTTAGGTTCTGTTAGCCAGCCATAATGGAAGCCTTTGCACCTTGCTTGCTCTAATGATAAATATCTTCTTTCCTGTGTGGGAAAAAAAGACTGGTGTTCAGTTCTGAACTCTGTCAGTTGATTTATTTGGTATTTTAACTGATATAAAATAAGCCGGCACTAGTAATGATGAAAGACTAGCACACTTGACATGAAGAAAGTCTGTAAGGTCTGTTTACCTTAAGAGAGTCATAGTGGTCTTGTCTAATGTCTTCGTATTCTTCTTGTATTTCTTCAAAGAAGTCATCCCTTAGATTCTCATCTAAAAGCTGAGAGCACTGAAAAGAACACAGCATGCTGATTAAACTTGATGTTGGTGCATGCAGACCCACTTCTCTCCATTGAGAACCTATCCAGTCATAAACATGGAATATATGGAATAATATATTGCCAAGGGAAGAAACATGGTATGTTTGCTGTTATGGTGCCTCTTCATGAAAAAGCTTGTATGTGAAATGTTCGAGACCATACAATCAGGCTCCAAAAATAATCACATTGTGAACGCCAAACAGAAGTTTGAAATGAGGTAGCAGCAGTGGGGGTGGGTGGATAACTTTTCTTTAAGCTTTAGTCTGTAATATAAATGCATTTGCAAAATTATAAAAGCAGTGCTACTTGCTGTTTCATTTTAAAACATTTAAATATGGCCAAGCAGTTTCTATCAGTTGCTAGAGGGAGTAGAATCAGTATTCTCTCCACATAACCAGTAAAGAGTTTAAACATACAGAAAGAGTGGAGGCCATTTTAAAATTTGGGAACATGGCTTAGAGGACAAGAGCCTTTCTTCTGTAAAAGTGAGCAGACTAAAAAGCAGGCATTGAAGGGCTAGCAGAGCATACCAAATATATTTCCAATCACAGGCAAGCCACTTCTGAGTTTTCTATTATTCATTAAGCAAGCTGTTCTAGTCAGATTTAATTAAGCCCATGACTGCTGTAAGTCTTCACAAGTAACACCCCAAACAGAAATACATTATGCACTATATGGACCAAAACCATTTTCATAATACTGTACATTTCCTTAGATAAATTGAGACATTTTGCAGCACATTTAAATTCTGGCAAAATAATTTGGGAAGTATTTTATATTATTAGTAAAAAGGATTAACAGTTTGCATAACTCAAGAGTGTCCAGTGAAAAATCATTTTTTGTACATCACTGACTGAGTTGCAGGGAAGCAATTATCCAGGTGAGTGGGGTCTCAGTAAATAAATACAACATACTTTTTCTGTTTCATTCATTTGCATAGAACTCAAAAATGCATTCAGCATATACATTTGAATAACACAATGTTTAGCACAAATGACCACTGGGATCCTTCAGCCACTTAACTTCTGCCCAATCATTTAAAAGAGCTCAGATGCTGTAAGTACCAATGATTAGGTAAGACAGCTCAGATTTCCACCCAAACAAATATGTATCCTATGCCTTAAAGTCAAAGCTAAGCTTTTCTGGATACCATCACAAGCAGACTTCCAATTGCAGTGCAACTTTGTCTCCCCTTCCTTGCAGAAAATCCTAACATTTGCTAAGTACCCAGAGAACTTCAGCTATTGGATGGTAAAAAAATGAAATAAATAAACAACAACAAAACAATCCCAAATTTGGGGGTGTTCCATAGGATGTGGAATCTATGCCACTGGCAGATTTGTTTTTCCACTGAATACATGCCATTGTATTTCACTGCCTATCAGGATGCTGTGTTGCTACCATTCTTGAAGCTCATTATATTTGGGCACTAAATTAGGAAAAAAGGATAACGTATTAAGTAAACCATCAGAACCATGAGAATGTATCTAAACTAGCCTTCCACAACCTTTTACCTGCCTCCAGATACTGAGACTACAATTCCCAGCTTCCCAACCACTGATCATGCTGGCTAGGGATGATGAAATTTGAACTCTAAAACATCTGGCGGGGCAGGTTATGAAACATGGTCTCAAGACAGAGCTAGAAGTATATTCCACAACTTACCACCACCACACTCTTAGATGCATCCAGGACATGAATGACAGGAGCACTGTATCGTGGAGCAATTTTTACTGCTGTATGTGTTCTGAAATGACAAAAAGGAAATGGAGGAAACATATCCTATACAACAAATTGCCTCAGCAACAAGCTACTAATGTTCAAACAGTTTTGTTCCTCAGTGGGGAAAAAGTCATAAAACAATGTGTATAAAGCTCTCCTGCAAGCTTCTTTTCCTTTTCATGGAATTTCAGTCCATCTGCAGATCATACAAGGGCAGGTGTTTATGATGCCCCATGATTTTCAAGGCGCTGTAACACTTCATTGATTCCTAACAGAAACATGTGCTCAGGCCTTCCTCTTCTTTTTTGCTAATTTCTGAGGTCTTTGTTCCTGAAAAGAGTATCAGAATTTGCTTTTCTAAACTAAAAATCACTTGAATACTTGGAACTATTTTCTTAAGGAAAAAGAAAATAGATGCTCACCACAGTTTAAAATGATGCTTAGATGCTAAAAAATATATCAAATGCAACAGTCTATCTATTTTAATTGTGCCTGCCAATTCAAATCTTACTTAGTGGATGCAGATTGCTAAGCTCCACCTTCCTCTATAACACATATGGTGGTAACGTACACAATAGAGAGTAGGAGGACAAACTTGTGCATAACTGTTCTAAGTCAACATTGTCAGCTGTCACATTTCTCTGTTTTCACAGTATCTCCCTACCAGAACTAACTTATTTTCTGTAATACAAATTCATCCTTTAGGGTTGTATCTATCTATCTCAAGTCTGAACTTCATACAACTCCTATTTGGAACAGTCTATTGTTTCCTCATCCCAGAGTCCTGGGAATGCTCAATTCAGTTTAGTTCTTTTTTTAAATGATGATTTAATTGTCATGGTTATGGAGATAATTCCAAGAAGATAATAGAAAAATTTCCCAGCATGATTTCCGGAATGAATGACTATATTCACAAGAAATCACATCACGATTTACTAGCCACAGTGGTTTGTCATATCGTGAACCACTTTCCACAGGGTGGCTTGTTTGTTGGCAACAAGCCACCCTGACATCCCATGCCCTGCGATGGATGGGAGCCTTGACTTGCCAATGCTTCGGATATTTCTTATCAAAGTATAGGGGCACCATTCATGGACACTCACAAAGTAATTTGTTGCTCTGCTTCTCCTTTGACATATATTCCTGTCAAAAATAGATTTTAAAAGGAAGCCTGAGTTTTGACAGCTGTAAATGAATGCCTTAGATGTACAGCTTATGCACTTTGAGGAGGCTATCTCTGACTGTCACTTAGAAATTAGAAAACGCAATCTCTGGGGACAAGAAGGGTACCTACAGGAGGACCAAGAAGGACGGAGGACAAGCCACGGTGAGCTCAACTGTCTGTGGGACACACCATAGTTTGTTACACAAACAACCCACACTGTGTAATTTATTCACAACCTGTGAGTTGCCCAACCAAATCATTACCAATAGCTGACTGGATTCTAACATAACTGGAAGAAACTGTTTGGACTTATCTTGCTATTCACATTATGCACAATTTTGCTTATTTATCATTTTACTCTATTTGCAAAATGGCCAAACCTTCTATTCTGTCCTTCATGCTTAGAATTTACATTGGTTTCAAAAAGCAGTGTTTACTTCTTTTCAATGAGCACTAGCCAACAGGTACAATCACTAATGCCAATTTCCCAGTAAAATCTGTGTGCCAGTTAATGCTGTTGGGAGTTGCACTAGACTCTAGACTAGAATAATTTACACTAGTAAGTGTGACTAGAGTGATTTACACTAGTACAATGTAAATTACATTGTACCCCACTAATGGGTACACATGCTCAAGGATATTGCTCAAGTTCAAAAATATCTTCATTTTACTACAGCAGATGTAGGACTGTAAAATCAGGAAAAAAATCCATGGTATGTGTGTAGAATCCCTTTATCCCTTGTGTAAAGGGATTTCCCCATCCTCCTCCTCACTGTAGTCCCCAACCCACACATGCCCCATATCCGCTCCAAGGGGTCCAGAACAGATTTGAAACATGTTCTAGCAGCAATTTCCTTCTCATGGCAAAACGACACCACTGCATACAACTCAGAAAGTATCCTTCATTCGTTTCCTATGAGATCTGGACATCAAAGTATTGGACTTAGTACTATTTTCTGAAAATCGCATTAAATACTGACCATGCTAAAACATCTTTTAATACATACTGGTTTTTAAATAATGTAATGATTCAAAATCTACCTTAAAAAGTTAATTCTTAAAATTATATAGTGTACTTTATATCCAACTCTTTAAAATACAACATACACCTTTTAAACTTTTTTTACATTTGATACCCCATTGGGCACAATAAGAAGGACATGACTTACTTGGAAGTGGTTGCTCCTCCAATCAGCAATGGAATCTTTATTTCTAATCGCTCCATTTCCTTGGCAACAAAAATCATCTCATCCAAAGAGGGAGTAATGAGACCAGACAAACCAATGATATCTATTAAATATAAATGCTTAAAATATTTCCATTCATAAGATTCCAGTGGGCATTTCAGACATTAGAAGGGAAAAATACCATCACCAACACAATGCACCCATGGTGTTCTAGATATTTCTACTAATGGACATCAGTCCAAACATTTGATTCATCTATTGAATGGGTGTCAGATTTGCCATGTTCAGGATGTTCACCTGGAATCAAAATTCTGTCCTTTTGATGTAAGACAAATACATTTTTATTAGAGCTGGGATAAACCTAATTGGAATCCAACCCTCCAAACATTCCTGGGCTTCCTCTTGTGCTTGGCCTGGTCTTCCAAAGCAAGCCAAGCTGAGAAGTTGCAAGTGCTTGTGCACCACCATCCATGATTGTGCAACTGTCAACCTTCTGTGGGATCAGGTGCGTCTATGCAAATGGCAGCTACACTCGGAACAGCAGACGGGTGCTGCGAGCCTTTGCATGGAGCCCCTTTCCTGGCAAGCTCCCCATGACACTGAGGGACAGAGTTTGTGCAACACATGGGCCTTGATAACTGGTGAGCACCCCATGAGCACTAGGCATGCTCACCAAGTACTTGGACTGCTGCAAAACAGATGAGAATTCAGAGAGCTGAGCCCAGGAGATCCAATAGATTCCCACCCCTGAATGGATCTCTCACACATCTCTCATTCCCAACCTAAAACGATTATATTTTAAAACACTGCAACTTATTGTTATTCAGACTTACTGCATCCCTCTTTTTCTTACAAGCCCTAAGGCATTTTAGTAATTCCATATTTTAGAACTTCAATATATCTGCTTGCAACTTTGCATTTTCTTGAGATCAGCACAAATGATCCTTTCATGGTATCCATTCAAGATCGTAATTTGAGGATATAAAACGACTGTAGATGAAATGTCCACATACCTGCCTTGCTTTCAAGAGCTGTGCTAAGTATCTTGTCACATGGTGTCATGACTCCCAAATCAATGACTCTGGGGAAAAAATGTAGTTTTCTTATCATGCATGCATACTCAATTAATCCAATTCTGCATATTAAGATGATCCGTCAGCTAGTTATGGAGACCAAAGGAAACAGCAATTGGCTTTTAAAAACTTAGTAACCAGCCTCCCTTTTTCCTAGCAGTCTGTTCTCCCAAACTAAATGCCCTGCCCCATCCTTAGGTGCTACTACACATACTTGAGACATAAGTTTCTGGCATGCATTTGTCTTCCACTGACAAAATGTTACTGGAAAGTAGGGATGCTACTAGGAACAAGGATAGAGAATGCGTGGCCCTTCAGATGATGCTGAAAATGAACTTCCAGCATCCCTTATAACTAGCTATGTTGGCTTGGGATGATGGGAGATGCAGTCCAGTAACACTGGATGGCCAGACATTCCCCATCACTGCACAAGGGAAAAGGCTTTCCTCTGCAGCTCTGTTTCTGCCAAAGAACAAACTGATTGGGCTGGCTCAGAAAAGTAGCACCTTAGCCAAATTGTTGAAGATCCCACTGACAAGGGATAATTCTGATTTGTGCAACAAGAATATAAATACTACCTGAAATTGTTACAGCCCAGGACAACTCCCACAATGTTCTTGCCAATGTCATGTACATCACCTTTCACGGTAGCTAAGACAACAGTGCCATAGTACGGGTCCTGCAAAAGTGAACTGATTTCAAGATTAATGAAGATTTCACATCTGAACAGCTTGCACTTGTTTACTGCAACTGCTGTTATTTTCATTTTTTAAAGCAGTAACAAACCTGTATGAATTACAGAGTAGAGTTATTTCTTGCCTGTGGATAGATTCAGCTAATCATAGGATGGAAGGTATCCCCAAGTCGAAGGATGCTGCTGTACCTAACCGCCTTATAACTTGCTAAGAAGCTCCAATAAGACATATGCAATAATACATATAGCATTCAATCATATCAAATTACAGCTTGTTAAGAAGGCATGATGAGCAAGGATGTACCAGAACCAGAGGGTTAGCATGATGTAGTACAGCATTCTCCAATGCAAGACTTGCAGAGACATGCCAAGGCGCCCATAAGGATCTCTATTTGCAAGTCAAGGCAGAAAAAGTAATTGTCTGCTTGCCTAACTGAAGTGGGAGGAGATGGAGGAGGAGATGAATGAATGGCAGCCCTTTGTACCTCCAAAAATGTTCCCAGAAGTGGAATTCTACATGCAAACAAGCCACACCAAATGTCTTACTTCCTTGCAAAATTCGTGTATTTTGCCTCTATGGTGGTAACTTCAGTAGTGGCAGGAGTGGGATACAGATCCCAGTGGGTCCTGGGGAAAGGCAATGCAACCTCCAGGGGTAACCTACCCCTGCCTTAAAGGATTCCCTATTTCTCTGCTGATGTCTTCCTTTGGGAAAAACCTGTGTTTAAGCTCTGGCCTAACTTCCTCAGGCAAGTGCCTTCAAAGTAAGCCTACTGCTGATAGTGATACATCCATGCGTCCAATCCTGTATCTAATCCAATCACGTAGAAAGCAAAAGATATGGAGCAACTTTAAACAGAAACTGGTATCCATAGGTGACAGAACTGAACCCTTCCCCCTCCATTAGCTAAGCCCCTCTTCCCAGGCAGTTTTCCATTCCTATGGCTCACGTTCAGAGCCCATATGAGGCAAGTGGCCCCCTGTACTTTTACCAATTGGTGCCTCCACCCCCATCTTCATACACAATGGAAGCAAACCTGGTTTTACAACATGTTTACAAACATGATGTATTTTGATGCTTGAGAAGCCTTGTGACTGCTATAAAGGTTAATCTTTTCTGTTTTCCGAAAATGTAGCAGTTTGAGGAGAACAAACATTCACGACCATGCCAAGCAGCCAGCAGCATTCTACATTACATTCATGAATGCTAAAAAACTTGCACAGCCAGGATGGCCAGGCACAATTAATCAAGCTGAAACAAATAAATGTAAGATGATAAACCAGCAATAATAGTAGGTTTATGTGGTGATGGAAGTCTTCAAATAAACAGGAAAGAGTGGAGAAGGGTGGGGAAACACCTGACCCCTGACAGCATTCAATAAAGACCAGAGCATGCATTTGATTTTAAGATGTCTTCTATGTGAAAACAAGAGGATTTCAAGCATTAAATGAATTGGAGCACTCTAATACTGGGAACAGAACCAAATAGCTTTCTGTTTCATTTCTGGCACAAGCCTGCAGGCATAGCAATTCATTCTAAAACATAATAACCAGTATTCCGTGTTTGCTGATGTTCTGGCACTATGATTACTGCTGGGGAGGTAACTGCCCTCCAGAGAAAACCCATACCAGTGGATATATACCTTATTTTAAGACAGGACAGCAGAATGTACTCACTTCATTAAGATGCATATTTAGGAGCTAAGAGAACCTGCCGCCCTCCTTTTTTGCTAGCAATAGCAGCACCCAGCATTTCCAAGAGAAGAGTTTGCAAGTATTAGCACCTAATACTGCAAGACTGTCCTAAATACATTTAAGTACATTCCCCTGTCAGATAAGTTCACATACATTTCAGTAAATAGATAGATAGATAGATATCCTAAGCTAACACTTGATTGTTTTAAAGTATTTTCCACAGCTTGTTTTTCCTCAGCTCATTCTGGTCTCTTTCCAGATGCCAAAGGCTGCATAAAATTATTAATTTGTTCTTAAATCTAACCCAGTTTTTGCAACTATTCAAGCTACTGCTGCTATTTCATTTTCATTCTTCCTAGGGATGAAATATTCTGCTATAATACAGATCCTAACATTCCCTATGATTCTTTCCAATTAAGAGTAACTAAAAATCAGTTTGATGCATGTTTCCCAAAGAGCTGCATGTATGCATATAAGAACAAGAGCCTTTGTGTTTTAGAAAGGGCTCACCATATTGTTGCCCCACACACTAACTTTACTTTAGGATCAACCTCAAGGGGGAAAGTTCTGCCAGTTTGAAAGAAAAGGTGCTGTGCAGCAGGGATGAAAATGATTCTGCTTGGTCCACATTCCACATTCTCATGTAAATGAGAACACACTTCCTCCTGATTCTGTCCTTCCCTGAATCTGAAATGCAGGTTTTGATGTGCCTTTTACCATAAAATGTATATACTTTCCAATTCCCCTTAAAGACTTTTAAGAACATGTCCTAGAGAGTAATCCAATGACCTAAAACAATTTTTCAGCTTTAAAAAAGCCAGTATTATGATTGTACATTTAAACAATCATGCAAATACACACACATCCCACACACAAAAGCAAACATCTATCAGAAGCACAGGAAAAAGCAAACCTGCCAAAGATGATTTCAGTGTTTGTTAAGGAGCTGTGTGTATTATTTGTAAGAATTACAATGGAGGGAAGCTGGGCTTATCCTAGAGGCAAAAGGCTATGCTTGTTCTCATATTTATGTATGTCTGTACACATAACCTCAAGATGAATAGTGAAAGGTTATAGAATAATCAGTAGGGTGTTCAACCAATTAAATAGCAAATTTATGGCTATGAATCCCAGTACAGTATTGCATACTATTAACATAAGTCTGTTTTTATTGGCAAAATGTCAAAAGGCCAATTTTATGCACTACAATCAGCTGCTCGTTTCTATGATGAAGAGCTCACAAATTTGGATCTTGTCTATTCACAGACATTGCTGTGATAGCATTGCATTATGTCTGCCTCTTAGAAAAGCCTGTTACGAAAATAATCAGCAAACTTCTAAACAACTGTAGCCAAGACTAAGTAAAAGAGCCCAGCACTGTGGTATGCAAACTTGCCTCTTCTTCTGTGCTGTTGGACAATATTTTCATTTCCTCTCTTTCCTTCTCCATGAAGGGGATGAGATGAGCAACAGCCTTCTTCATAACTCGAGCTGACTTGATCACCTGAACAGCCAGATTCCATGAAAGAACTATTACAGTTGAAGCAGTATATTAAATTCCCTCCACCAAAAATTGAAATGAAATGAAAAATTGGACTATTAATACACTCTAAGACACACCCATGCTATCTTTCCCATTTACTGCCAGCCCATGGAAATTCTCCCATGGAACATATCAATATGACTTCTCTCGGCTTAGATCAACCCATAGATTCATCTCTGCAGATTCTCTCAATCACTGCAGTGGAATATTGGCCAAAGAATGCGGATCAAGGGAATTCCGGGATCCAGGACAGCTGTCTGCCTATGCAAGCTGAGCCAGGCAGAAGCTAACTGGGACTCATAGCTGTCAAGCTGCCCCTGCTGTGATGCACTATATATAAAATACTAGTGCTCAAGCAAAAAAAAAATTAAGTTAACACATAAAAGGAAGCTGGCAAACTGTATACTGACACAGAGCATGAATGAATACAAAACAGAAATACTCGTATTAACACACAAACCTGCAACTTTGGCTGCAAGCATCTACCAGTATATCATACGACACCTTGACTAACATGCACAGAAAGCTAATACTAGCCTGGAAGAAAATGTACTCATCCTTATCAGGTTTATGATGGCTACATATATGGCTGACTATAAGAACATTAATAACCATCTGTAGGGTGAGTAAAAATACCATCCATTTCCACATTTAGAGTATCCCTAGCTTCTTTTAACTGCTAAAGGTAGAAGGGACCATAGTTCAGTGGTAGAGCATAAACGTTGCAGGTGGTAGGTCCCATATTCAATCTCCACCAGGTGATGGGGAAGTCCTCTGCCTGTGACCCTGAAGAGTTACTTCCAGTCAAAGTAGGCCAGATGGACAAAAAGCCAGGCATATTGTAAGATACATCCTGAAGCATTATGATCTGACCAAAGTCAGGCATAGTAACTTGGGTTGAAGATACCTTGGTCTGCCATGTAAGTACATAGATAACTGCCCTATATGGAGTCAGATCTTGTTTCATCCAGCCCTGTATTTTCAATTGGCAGCAGCTTTCCAGGATCACAGGCAAAGAAAGGTATTTCTCATGATCTAGGACTTTCTAAATTGACTCACTTCTCCTCACATATTTTATTAAAGGCTAGCAGACATGTCTAAATTTTCTTATTTACCTGTGGAAGAAACATCTTGCCAGACCCAAAAAGTTCACCAACTGTTTTCATGCCATTCATCAGGGGTCCTTCAATTATATTCAGAGGTCTGGGATACATCTCTTTATTTAATCTAGCCTCCTCTGTGTCTTCAACCACATATTTCTCAATCCCCTGGAGGAAACATCAATAGCAATGTGTTTATGTATAAAATAAGCATTTGTATATTTATATTGTGTTTAAAAAGTGGGAGCCTTCAAAAATTCATGAAGAATGGAGACAGCAGGACAAAGTAGGTAGAAGAAACTAATCCCTCCCCATCTCAGCAGGCTTCTTCTATGGAGGTAACTTGTGCAGAAACCCTGCAGTGATTGCTAGAACTACAGATGGTCTAGATCTTCCCTGGCAGATGCCAGCATAAGTCACTTCCATGGAAATTTATCACAGACATTCCCATCAGCCATAGAACTTCTTGAGGCCAGCAGCTCCAGCTCTTTTGTTTAGGCTGCAATGGGTGTGGAGGCAAGGAAAGTGAGAACACATTCCCTTACTTTCTGTTCTGCTAAGACTGAAGGTGTTTGATAAAGGTAGGTGTTAGATTAGGCAGCAGGTCACCCACTCCTTACTCTCAGCCCATTATCCCACAGCTAGTAAATGTACCTCAGTGGCTTTAGCCTACTGCACATAAGCTAGCTATGAGGTGATTAGGGAGTAGTTTCCCTCCACTGTATTTCAAAGCAAGCTAAGATGGTCTTACCTGACAGACCCTAGGGCAGGGATGGGCGGACAGGAGAACTCCAAATGTGTTTGACTTCAGTTCCCAGACAGCTCTGCCAGCCTGGCCATTGTCAGTAATGCTGGAAGTTGAAGTCCAAAACAACTGGAGATTTACTTTCTGACCATGCCTGCCATAGAGAGTGCTCAGATCTGATTCTTATATTGTTTCCTTAGTCCTCTTCGTGGATAATTAAGCTGTTATTTTATGCAGATTTAGAAGGTATTCCAACTAAATTTTCAGCTCATTGTCTATTTGTGAATCTTGCAAAGCTTTAGACAGGAAGAGCAATCAAATTAGTTTTTATCATACAGTCCTGATTTCATCAAAATACTCAATTAGATAAGATTAAGATAATTCCGGGATGCTAAAACATGCTAAATATATAATGTGTACTGAAAGCTATACTTTTGAAACTTTATCTTAAGAAAAACATGGAAAACACTGTTTTTTATTATATGACTTAAATAAAATAATCCTGTCTCTAAATCACAGCTAACAAAGTTATCATGAAATCTAAAAACATCAACAAATACAATAATTAGCAACAGAAACTAGATATAACAACAGTGCCAAACCATGTTTAACCCCACAGAGAAGAGCAACAATTTCATATTCCTTTTAGAAGTTATTACAAAAAATACCTGATCAAAAAGGACAGGGAAAAGGTATTTACACAACACCAACTGTCTCTACCAATGAGGCCTTGTTCCTCCTTGCACCCCACCCTGTAGAAAGTTTAAAGACTGACAAACAGTCCCTTGAGTATACAGAATAACACTTCTTGCTTTGCACCAGCAGATATGCTCAGGGTTCATCAATAATGAAAAAAGTCAAAGCCACAAAGAACATGGCCAGCTGGCCTTACCGTCATTTTAACCTGTTTAGCCTGTGATGACTTTTGCTGCATATGGATCTACATTTAATGTCAGCCTATAATTTCACCTGTGTGAATAACAGCTGGCCTGTGGCTGATATAACCTTAAGAGAAAGACCACAGTGATATAACACCTGCTCTGTATGCAGAAGGCCCTATGTTCAGTCCTTGGTATCTCCAGGAAAACCTCCTGCTTGAAACCCTGGAAAGTCACTGCCAGTCAGTATTTAAAGTGCTGGATTAGAAGGGCCAGTGCCAGCTTCCCATGTTCCTACTGACATAAACTGCAGCTGATTTCAAGCCAATGGGCTCCAGAAACAAGGGGTTTGTAGTCGCAAGGTGGTAAGGCATTGTTGCCACTTTGCCTCAGGTGAACTGGTGCTCCACCTTTGAATTGCAAGGTTGTGAGCATTAGAAAGTGGGTTGTTGTAAACTGGTTATATCATAAACTGTGTGAAAGGTTTATCAGTGAGATGGTGTCTAAGGTTCACTCATCTTCCCTCACCCACTTAAAATGATTCCTGCCAAACTGGTTTCTATCAGTGTCCTCTAAAATCTACTGCAAGACCTCATTTCACCATGAAGAAATCTTGAGACCTGAGACTCACAGTTCCGGACAAGCTTCTGTCTTGATCTAATCATACAGATGACTAGAAAATGTTGCTATTTGTTAGTGTTTGGTAATAATAAGGATGAGGAAATAGGATTTGTTTAAAGAGCAAATATGTTGATCTGGACAGTGAAAGAGGCATATATTTTCACCTTGACAAGGGCATACTCCAGCCTCTCTTCTACAGAGCTATGTCTCCATTCATCAGTTTGCACCATTTTCTTTCCTCCTTGAGTATGGGTCTGGAGAGAGATTAAAAGGGTTGCAAAGAAAAATTAAGAACTGTCATTGCACCAGACAAATATTTAAAGAAGATAAAACAAAAATGATGTGCATTTGTCACACTGCATTTTGGAAACATGCTGGCCCAAGGAAAAAATTAAGGACTCTGCACTACAGGACCCCCCGACTCTATACTTAGCAACAACTGATGGAAGGTGAGTAAGAGTTTCAACCATTCCTTTGCATTCCTGAGCAGATATGAATGTAAATAGGATCACTGGGTCTGCTGGAGTAGATTTTTCACCTTCTTTGCTACCATCTGTGACAAATCTCTAACTCCTAAGTTGGAGGGCAGAAAGACCCATTTATAAGATTAGAAGGTGGTCATACCATAAAAATCACAGCCAATGCTCTTCCTTCCATTTGCCCCGCTGTGGTCATCTCACCAGTATCATTTTAACTGTGTAAATTGTGACTCTTGGCCTATAAAGGAGGCTTCCCATCACCACTGGGGTACCAAATTTTGGCAGTAAGGCAGCTGTGGTGGAGGGGGACTAAAAGGAATGTTATCCATTCCCACTTAACACAGAGGCAAAGGATTCTGCTCCAACAGCCAACCAATGATATAGCCCACAGTTAGTGAAGCAAATTATCCCTACCTAACCTTGACAACCCTCACATAAGGCTAGGAATACACAACAATATCTCAGAAAAAGAATTCCTTGCCACAGTCACCTACAATGTGAAGACACATACAGCAACTTACATTCTCTGGGATATTATACAAACCAATACTATATTCTGTTTTCTGGATGAAAGGATATAGACATGTGAAAAGAGTTCATACTTTCAGAGGTTGCCATACCACTCACTTTAAGATCAGAAATGCGTTAAAATGGATGGCTACTTTGCAATTATTTTATGCTTATATATTCAGAGAAAGATGGTGCAGGCATGGCAAGTGAGCTTTGTATGTTTTTATGCTCAAACATTCTACACCAGAGATAGCATCTGCTCATATACACACATGCCATGAAAATAAGATGTAGCCTCATTTTTATCTTTTCTCAGGCAGCACTGATGACATGTGCTGAAGTTTTTGAACACATCTGAACAGACAAGGCTGAGGATTACTTTGCACAAATAAGCTGAGGGTCACTTCCAAATAGTCTTTGCTTCTAAAAGAAGTAAGGATCACACCATAAATCCTCCATCAGTAAAAATGTAAATGCTGAAAGGAATGAAGCTTTAGATTTTTTATTTCTGGGAACATAATTTAAATTTGTCTCTAGCCAGTCTAGTAGCAATTCATTTTAAGAACCTAACAAATGAATTTGGCTTTGGTACAGTTCTTGTTTTAGACAGTTTATGTTAGGTCACGTAATGGATTGCTAAAGAATAAAAAACATCACCAAACCAGAACACTTCACTAGCTCAAAGAACAAGCCCACCCTCTTCTGCTGTGTTTTGAACAGGACTTACAAGATCAGGAGAAAGAGATTGTCAACCCTTATTCAAACATCATCTCTTTTTCTTCTAGTTTTCTAAGTGCAATAAGATTTTTACTCAGAGTAGTACTGAGTCATGTTACTCATCCCCACCTGCATTCTGAAGTGATCTTGTTGCAAGAAGGCAGTACCACGTGATACCTTTGAACATGCACCATGGTTCTGAGTAACACTAGACCTATTCAGGTGTCATCCTGTGTGCACAGAGTGTGTAGGCAGCTGGGGCATGTACACTGCCTTCACTCCCCACATTCCTGCATGTACCACCCTCTCCACTGCAGACCTTCACATTCAACAGAAACATCTGAAGGGAGCTGAATGTACCAAAAACTCCCCCATAACCAGGAAACCTGATAATACATGGCTACCTGGCTGGAGGGAAGACTTCAAAGTGCACTGGACTGAATGCCTTAGATTCTCCCTTTCTCCTGAATATCTGATAGTTGGAAGAAGTAGCAGCAGCCTACTTAGGGGTTGGCAGGTGTACCCCTGAAACCATGCATAGTATGTACAGGCTCAATAATGGAATCAGGTTCATGAGCACATTTGTTCTATAAAAGAATCAGCATATTCAGCCTAATAGGATGCTGAATGTTACCAGGATGGTAACAAAACAAATTATTCTGGTTATTACAGGAACATTCTAAAATTCTGTGGCTTTTATCTGTAATTCTGTGGCTTTTATCTAGGTGTTATAGGGCTCAAATTTTCCTTTTCTTTTGGGAAGTTCCAAGAAACTTCCTCAGGGCTGCCAGGCAAACTTCAATCCAGATGCAGATCAGGTTATGACTGACTGACCTCTGACAACGTAAGAGCATCACATACTCTCAAACGCCTTCCTCCCTGCTCCAGGATGATATCAAAAGTAAACTTTATGCTCTATATTCAGATAAATTACATCACTGACCAAGGCAACAAATTCACACATCAATTTTGTATTCTCTTCAAGCTCACATCTTAAAAAGAATGTAGGGAAAGTGGAAGAACTACCTGAGCATAGTGTAAAAGCTTTTCAGTGGCATCTGGGTCTTTATTCCAAATCAAATCTTCACACAGCTGCAAAAGGTCCTTATGGATATCATCATACACTGGTAGATTCCCTGCATTCACAATCCCCATGTCCATTCCAGACTGGGATTGCAGAAAGAAAAGGGAGAAGGTAATGAATGGCAGTATTCACACAGCATGCTAACACACCCTGCAATTAAGCCATGGTGTCCCAGATATGGATTGTTCTTCCCCTCCTTCCTCCAGTTCTTCCAGCTGGTATCCCAGCATCTTTCACAAAACAAATTCCCTTGATTCTTCCTCCCACCTACAATTGTGAACCTTTTTCATTTGCTATTGGTCTGAAGTCCAAATGAGGTTGTTGATTTTTGGTGGTGTTTTTTTCAGAAAAATTGAACAGTAATGTAATTTTTTAAAATGATTTTATTTTAAAATAAAATATTTTTATTTGCCTTTCACAGGTGCACAAGCAGACACTAGTAGCTATCTAACATGTACAGTTTTGCTTAGTTTTCTAGTCTGTATCAGCTATCAATGGGAGGAGCAAGGTACAGCAGGAGAGAGACTGACAAGGCAAGACTGCATACAGGCAAGTAAGTGCACAGCTGCAAGAAGCACACTGCCTAGGCATCAACTGAAAAGCACTGGTAAGGGAGAAAAGTGCCAAAAGAAAGACCAAAGTATTTCCCAGCTGTCAATGTGGCTTTTAAATGGTGTGCGCAGATACTTCCCAGTGCTAGTCACCTTTACATACCTCCTGAGTCTCCAGCTACTCCAGAAAGGGGTAACTTCCCCCAACTTTTTGAAGCACTTATTGCTACAGCTACTACAATTCACTGATAGTTGGAATACATGCATAAATAGATGAAATGAATAGCTGGGATGTAAAAGGAGGAAAATTTAGCCAACATTTACTATTGTGTTTACTGTAGCTCACTGACTGTTCTTTAAAGCCCACAGAAGCATATACAAGGTGCAAGTTTTTCTTTTATTTCCTTCCCTTGCCAACGTTTAAGGACTGAGAAGTAAATAAAAGGGAAATTTGCATCTTGTATATGCTTCTGTGGGCTTTTTAGAACAGTCAGTGAGCTACAGTAAACAAAGGAAGCATGAAAAGGGTTGAAGGTTATTATCTCCCCTCTGTGGAAAAGCTGAAGACTTGGGAAAGAGTTGAAAAGGTGGAGAACACTCAGAACTGTTAATTCAACACATAGTAGCCACAGGGTTATATTACAAATGGAACATATTGGTTCCCTACCACCACCTTCGGTACACCTACCTTTCCCATTTTTTACCATTTACTGGTGCTTTCTAATTGACACCTAGGCAATTGGTCCCTGGCAACCATGCACAAATTTGCCTATATGCAGCCCCACCATGTCATTTTCCATGTGTGTAAACTATTCCATTTATTGCTCTCTTTGACAGCTGAAAAATATAACAAAATGGAACAGGCAAAACTGCTAATATTGGACAATCATAACTGCACCATTGCAAAAATATGACAAAAAGTTATGGACACAATTGCACAATCTTCTGGGGCTGCAAGAAAAAAGTGGGTAAAGCCATGATCACTGTTCCAAGCCACTTATAGATTGTTGAATGGCTGTCACTGGCAGTAGAACAGGCAAGATCACAAAGAGAGACCAAGCTTCTTGCCAGTCTTCTCAAGCAGCTTGCTAGCTGATTCCTGCAACCCACATTGGAAATGCCTTCCTGGGTGTGGAGGACACCAGAACTCACCATGGGTTGAATAACTGCAAGAACAAGCCATGGGTTGTCAGAGTGACTTGCTGCTGAAAAATAAGCCATCCAATGGGAAGCCTTCTATGTTCAGATAGCACAACAACCTACTATGACTAACTGCCCATGATAGGTTGCCATGTCGTGCAATGAGGACAACATATATCTTCTGATCAGAAGCTATTTTGTCAAAATTCATCTTACCTTAATTGCATAGTAAAGGAAAACTCCATGCATTGCTTCACGAATAGCTTCCATTCCGCGGAAGGCAAAAGACAGATTGGAAAGGCCTCCACTTATTCTGGCTCCAGGTAGAGTTTTCTATCAAATAATAGGATAAATGCCACTAAGGACATGAATCTTTCCAAAAACTGGTTTCTTATCAGAGGCCCAACAGCCACCAGTTAATTGAGCAGTCAAATCTTCAAAGTCCAAGTTACCAAGCCACAAGGTGCTGGCAGAGACTGGACACCAGAGAAACAGTGATAATGCAACTACCATAGCTTGGTTACCGATGAACTAGGAACGGAAGAATTACAATGTGGCAAATGCAAGAAAAGCTCTTAGATTAGACAATGTTTGTCTCGAAACTCAGCTTTTCTCTATTCAAGGTTGGTTGCTTTGCACATTTTCCTACACAAAGAAAATCTACCTCTCCCTCATAAATAACACCTGAAAATTAATGACATACGGAGCTGGTCTGTGTACAAATTAGATGACTTACTGGTTCTTCTTAGCTGCTACATTTGGTAACCTATAAAGACTGAATTTGCATCACCGTGTTACTGCCAGAGGCAACTGAATGACTACAGGTACAATCCTATGCAGAAAAAAGGGACAAACTGGGAGTTGCAGGTCTTTATTCTGTCTAAAGGTTAGACAGAAACTCTAAAAGTACATAAAATTGCACCTTATGAGACAGACTGACTAGTTCAGCAGAAACCAAAACTGCACATTGACAGTGTAGTTCAAGTTCCCTGCCCCTGAACCCAAGCTTCCCATGACATCCACACAGAGATGCCTATACGCAGAGAGACCCATCACTTGTTGCAATCTACACATAGGCAGAAAGATAATTCACTTCCACATGGTGGTGCCTCTGTTACTGCCCTTTGCCCTCTCTTATGATCTAGCCGAATACTGACCTATCTCACAGGGGTGGTGCAGGGATAAATGACAAAGAAATTTCTTTCTTTAATCTTTAATCTTCCTCTGCTTTAGGAAAAGGCTGAGCTATAAATCCAAACTAATAAAGGAATAGATAACAGCATGTTTGCTGTTTGCTTACACATCACAGAGTAAGTAGAATAAAAAACCCTATTCGGTTTATAGAACAAAGTGAAAGTAGAACACAATGACAATTAAATTTGTGCTAATTAAATGAGGCAGCTTTCATATGGCTCGTCAAAGGCCTTTTGGTGAATCCAGCACAGTTGTGTGAATATTGTCCTATTCACTTACTGTAAATATATTTACAGAACAGTTAACGGTCTGAGTTATTTTTAAGCTACTATATAATTTATAAAATTTTTGCTACTTGAAGCAAGGCCAAGGAAATACAACAGTGCAAACAACAGTACTATAACATTTAGGCCTTTTCTTATGCTCTGGGGGACTGTTTCTACCCTTTCCCCCATACTAGAAACTAAAGAAGCCAAGCCTGATATACTAAAGACTCACTTTTATGATTTTAGTTGCATTGATAAAGTTAATCGCATACAAATTATGTTCTTCCATTCCAGTACCTATGGTCAGAATGTTGGGATCAAAAATGATATCATTGGGATTAAAGCCCACTTTGTCCACCAGGAGGTGGTACGCCCTGGTGCAGATGGAAACTTTTTCTTGTGCTCCCGTGGCCTGGAACAAAAAAAGATAGGAGTGGGAAAGAAACATAGTTTTAGGGTGATTATTGAGGAATCTTCTATTGTGCAACTGCCCCACCTCTTTTTTAGATTATTACTTGGGGATGAGGGCTCAGTGGCAGACTGCCAGATATTCGTGCCTTCCCCTTTGTAACCATCCTGTGTTTTCCCACAGATTTTTCTGTCTGCTTTCTTACTGTAGAAAATCAGTTAAGGAGAAAGAGACAAGAGGTGCATAGTGCCTTCCAACTGGCAGTGCTAGGTGTCCTCCTTCTGGAAGTCCACCTATTGTTTTAATGAGTGATGAAACAATTCATTTCTTTATCTAGATTTCCAACATGATCTTTCACATTGTTACAGCTAATTCATATGGCTGCAAAGTTCTTAAAACCAATATTCACAGGCAGTAGCATTAGAAATAATATTATTACTGGTTTACTAAACAAGCAACACTTGGTTTACTAAACAAGCAGGACTTAATAACAGAAAAATACTTTCAAATGTTGCAGAATTCATAACATCCTGCCACAAGGGGTCTGACATGGAAGTCTTACAAGTTTGTTACTTTTGCAACATGGTGGCCGAGCCAGCAACAAACTTGGTTTTTTTTCTTTTTCAATGGATTTGTGCGGGGGGGGGGGGGGGATAGCATTTTTCTCTAAGAAATTTTTCTGTTTTTTCCCCCAAGCTCATCTTTGCTCATGGTTTTTTATATTTCTCATAGCATGCAGTAAGTAAACAAAACTTATGAGCATTTGAAAACAAATCAAGGATGGAAGAGGTGAAACACTTGGGAAGCTTGTTTCACTTCATGCAAACCTTCCAGTTTCTGATGTCCATGGAGTTTCAAGTCAAAGATCAGAGTCAGAAGCTTTCAGTCAAGGATTCTGATTATTTTCAATAATCTTATCCTTGACTCCTCTGCAGTTTCCTCAAAGGATTGTGAAGATAAAATAGGCGAGGAAGACCACCATGTAAACTGCCTTGGGCTCCTTGCAAGAGGAAATAACTAGGAGAGTGATAATTCCACTATATCCATATATAATTGCCCTAAGTTGGTTGGTATCAATCAGTCTTGGATGCTCTGTTTTGGTTCCCTCTCTGCTCTCTTCATTGCTCCAGATTCTAGCCAATGTATTCTATGACCTTCCTAGAAAGCCAAATTTTGGTGTGTGGAGAAAGCAGTACTGACCTGACCCACTTCATCAAAGGCCATAACCACCACAGCTGCTCCATATCTCCTTATTATTTTAGCTTTTGTCAAGAAGTCATCTTCACCTTCCTTCAGACTGATGCTGTTCACTATGCATTTGCCTTGACAAGACTTCAAACCAGCCTCTATTACTGAGAAATTTGAAGAGTCAATACAGAGTGGCACCTAATAGCAGTGAAGGGGAAAAATGTAACAGTTAGTACTGCCAACTGAAAAAAAAAGTTCAATACCAAATGAAGCATAATCAGAAAGATGTCACAACAGTATTGTCATTTTCTAAGTTACTGGAGCAGACAAAGTGGGATAACTGCACCTAAAAAGAATGTTCACATGCATGGTTTAAAAAAATAGCCAAGGAATCTGCATCTATTACATGCAACTCTGACTACACTAATAAGCTAAAGCTTACAACTTTAGCCATTGATGACACCAGCCTATTATTAACAGAGAAATGAAATGTAATGATCTGATAGCTTCTCTTATCACTCCAGTGAACACTCAGCAAATGCACTCCCACCACAAAATCACATAAAGTCATATGGAGCCCCCTTGGGTCAGGAGCTGGTAACCCAAAGCACCGTATGGCTACCTTGTCACCAGCCAAAACAGTAATCACTAAATATCTAGGAGGCTAAACACAGCCAATCAAGCTTCCCAAAAACACATTTTTTCAAATGCAGCCACCATGCACCATTATTGCACCTGGATGCAGCTCCAGCTAAGACCTGTTCTCCTGCAGCTACCAACGGCCATTGCTGACACCACTAGAAACAAACAAAGCAGCAACCCTTTCACTGGGCTTTGAGATCCACTCTTTGACTGGCTGAACTGTGTAGCTAAGAGCCTAGTGCCTAAGTCTGCTTTTTCCTCTTCCCTTAAAGTCTCATTGCCTTTTCTGTCATGTCATTTCGATCATAAATCTGCAGGGAAATAGGTTATTCTTTATTCTATGTAAACCACTTTGGAAGCCCTTTTCACTGAAGAGTGGAGTAAATTGCTATTATGTAAATAACTAATTATAACCTATAATGCTGCCCCCAAAAGTTGCAAAAGGAAGAAATAACAGTATTTCTGAGTTCTGAATTTGAGGATTTGTTTCTGTATTAAAATTATCCAGTCTTCCCTAAAGCAGAACTCAAGCAAAATGAAAAGACTGCATATTTCTACTGAACCACAGGTAGGAGCATTAGAAAAGGCAGCAAGACAAGTGATTCATTCAGTCAGAGAGAGTGAAAGAATGAAGCACACGGCCCTGAACATTTTAAAGGGATAACCTCTGCTTAAGAATATGCATTTATCATATATATGAGTAAACTCTGATAAAAATCAATTTTTCTTTCAAGAGCTTTTTTAGGACTGCTCTTTGCAGCCTATGACATCATCAGAAAAAGATTACTTATACCAAACAGCAGTTATTCACCTGACAAATATATATATATTTGTGAAGGACACACAAAAGTTACAGCTGAAAAAAGAACACTACGTACAGCAGTTGCCTGCCAAGCTATAAAAGGCATCAGCTGCATGGAAAAGAAAATACTCTTTAGATGAAGCATAATGAGAAAACTCTTTTCCTCCATGATGACAATTTCATTTCGTGCTTCTCCCCATATCTGGCATTTACTGCCAGAGGTGACAGCAAGGACACTTGAGCTAAAGGCTGCTTGAAAATCGCACACTCACTACCCCAAATGCTCTACTATTAATCTAAGGATATGAATGTAGATTAGGGCTAATCAGGAGGAGTGAGCAAATGGCATGCAGACTACCTTCACTTCTTTTCCTTTCTTTAAGAAATCAAGACTTCAATACACTTTCCTTAGTCCTTAGATGCAGGAGATACAACTGTCTCCCCTCCAGATTGTTGTACCACACTGTTTACATCCAAGTCAAACTGCAGCTGGAGGTTGCTGCTTAAATGCCGTGAACTGCTCAGAATGCTTTGGCTATTGAGCAGTACAGAAATGAAGGAATGGAGATTCCTCCTCTAGGCAGAAACAGATACAGTTGCCTTACACCAGGCCAGACTATTTGTCCATGTAGCTCAGTATGTACTACTTGGACTGGCAAGAATTCTGCACTGTCTCAGACAAAAGTCCCTCATGTCGCTTGCTTCCACTGAGGACACCAAGGACTGAACCTTGGCTCTTCTGTAAGTGAAGCATGTTTCTACCTGTTGAGCTACGGCCCTTCCCCATGTAGCATTTCCACTGGGTGGAGGGATTCTGCCTGAGGCAACTGCAGGGGCATTATCACAGGCACTTGACTGAGGCTCACCAAGATACTGACAAAAAAAGTCCCTCTTGTTTGTCATCTGACCATGAGAGAGACAACACCAGCAAGTTGTTTTACATCAAAAAGACTCAGGGAGCAGAAGCTGTGCATAGTGAATTTATACATTCAGCTTTTTGAAACGAATAGTAACAGAAAACACTGCAGCAGGTAAAAGTCAGTTGCTGTTGACCTACGCTTCCTTTTAGGACACTTGGTATCAAAAGAGCTGTCTCCAGGCTTATCTTTACAAATTCTGGTGCTCTTGACAGAGGTTTATTTTATATCTTCAACCCACTTGTGTCTCTTGGATAGAACCCTAAGTAACTGTTTTTTGGTCATTAGGAAAAATTTATGTTCTTGAAAGAGTATCCCATCCCCCCAGGTGCCTATGACAGCCACACCAAACATATATCACATCCACTGCAACAGCAGCCTTGGTCAGACAAAATGCTCAGTGATGGTTTAAGCTTACTTGAGTGAAACTGGGGCTTGTGCCTCCTCCACCACAGCAGCTGCGAGGAGGAGATGGTAAACTTTCACTCATGCTTTCTATTACTTGTGACTTATTATGTCCTCACCTACAAAGACTGTGGTTAGCCTTAACTAGGATTTATGCCCTAAAATGTAAGAAAACAATCCCACTTCAAACCATGATTTATAAACCTGGCAGGTTTCTCTAACTCACTTAGTTTGGGGCATAAAGATAAACCATACTTAATTGAAAGCATTTCAGCAGTAACTTTGGGAACGATTTTTCCTTGGCTTTATCTCATGCTACTACTGAATTAAAGACTCACTACCACATCAGCACACAGTCACCTAACTAGGATCAAGGATAATGACAGTGCGGTAAAATTCCTCATGACTGGCCCCATACATTTTGAGGCTTCAAGGGTCTTCTTAATGACATGTACAGTTTTTCTCAATCTTCACCTCCTATTGCTAAAGAATCCATTTAACTAAGGGATCAAAATCTGTGCATACGACCTTGGCAATGTCTGGTTCTGAAGCGATGAAGTTGCAGAATCTAGCCATAGCACATGGCCCATCTAGCATTCCATCATCCATATTGATATCCAAAATCTGAGCTCCCATCTCCACTTGGCCCTTAGCTACACTCAGTGCCTCCTAAAAGGGATCAGGAAAAAAATAAACATAATAAATAAGATCGCTATAGCCCAAACATGTATTCCTCTCTGATATAATTCATGTAATTGGAGCCGATCAGCAGCAAACTACTCACACAGCACCTCTTTTCCTAAAATAAAGCTTCAAATATTTGTTAATGTATTCAGAGCCAATCCTCTTTGGTGGGCTTAAGGCAGAGCTCTCCTCTCTTCTCTTAAGACAGGGGTCTCAAACTCAACATACCTGGGGGCCGCTGGAAGTAGAGTCTGGGTGAGGCTGGGCCGCATCAAGTATTCCACCATCGCGGTGGTGGTGGGCCGCTCATCCCGCCGCCGGCCCAGGCACCGCCGGTGCTTTGAAGGCCGCAGGGCCCCTCCCCCGTGCCCCGCCCGTCCCGGCAACTGGCCCGCGAGTTTGAGACCCCTTTCTTAAGAGCTTGGTTCCCTCAGAACATGGTCTATTTCTCTGCCCTTTCTTTCTTTACATATTACCATAGAAGGGTGGCAGCTGCTTCTCTCTTTACTTCTACCCCAGTAAAGTACAAAAAGCATGTGGTGCAAGGGCAATGACACAGTTCCTTTCCCCATCTTCTCTGTGGGCCTAACAACCATTACGTTAAAAAAGACACGTTACTGGCCCTTACATGGTTCCTCTGTCCATGGGTTACGGAAGCCAACTGTGGCTCCTACATTTTTTATCTGTCCAGCCTAGCTGGATCTAAGTTATCAGGAATCTTATCTCATCTCATCTCCTCCAACAATCCACGCTCTGCTGAAGCCCACACATCTAGATTTATTACCAATAAGGTATACAAAACTGTTTGCATACCAGACTTCTCACCATCACAGGAGAAATGCCTCAACAGCTTGTTTGATGGTACACTGAAAGACATTTCCTTCCACCAACATGAAATAAGGTCAAATCTGCATATAACTCATAAATTAGAAATAACAATATGCAAACTCTTAAACGGTAGGATTATTTAGCTTAAAATATGCTAAGTTAAAGCCAATAGAGAAACTTAATGAAAGCTGAAGGCTTACTTCATATTTGCCTGACATGATGAGTTTGGCAAACCTCTTCGATCCTGCAACATTGCAACGTTCACCAATGTTAACAAAATTGGTGTATTGCCCGATCCTGAAGGGTTCCAGTCCTTAAAAGAAAGTTTGATAAACATCATTTAAGGAAAAATACTTAACACTAAAATAAAGGACGGACAAACACAGAGTTTAGCCCAACCTGCATAGACCTAGATAATAGGTGGATGCTGGACTTTGAATACCCTTATCTAAATGTATTTGATTAAGGGCACAGTCCTATGCATGTTTAAACAACAAAAATCCTTTTCACTCCCGTGAAAACGAGGACATGCATAGGATTGTGGCTTAATAGAACCTTCCTCTCCTCCAGCAATACCACTGTTTCTCCTTGCAAGAGTAGGACATTACTTCTACCAGAAGTTACTGTAAACAGGAATAGTAGTGGTGCAGGGATGTACCTGTAAAGTTAAGATGTTTTTGCAGTGCTGCACATCTATGGCAACACAATGACAAAAATGGATGAAGGGACAAGGAAGACGTGGTAGTAGGAGGTGGATAATAGAGTTAGGATTCTATACATTCTTTGAAAAAAATATTGGGAGCAACCAGTGTACGTCTGTAAAGAAGTCAGTGTAATCCAAAACTCACCCACTATATTCATTGGATGGCTCTGGACAGCAACCCCTTTCCCCTTCCAGTCAAGCACATTGAAGGAGAAAATCCCAATTAGCCCAGCAGCTGATCACATCACAGGAAGAGAAATAAGTCACAGAGACAGAACACAGCTAATTCACGGGAAGCAGTATGCAATGACTTGTAGAATTGTTAGAATGCAAATGCACAAGCAGGAAAGAAATGAAATTAGCAAACGAGTGCTCTGCACTGTGCCCTCTGTGTGCATAGATACCCTGTATCCAGGGACATGAGACACCATATGAAAGAGAAAGATGTGTTCCTGTAGAACACTGGAAACCTCAGGGCCCTCCACCGGTTCTCTCTCAGGAACCCTAAGCAACAGGAACTTCAAATGTGGCAAGGAAGGAGCACCTACACAGGTGTGAGTAACAGCCTACTGCAGAGAAGGGTAAGAGAGGTCCACTCTCTGTCTTTTCCTCCCTGTTCCATTAAGCACTCCCAGAACAAAATATGTCCATGAGTGTCTATGTACATGTAGCACGGGGACCCTGATGACCAGTTACTACACTGGTATCCTACCGTTTCCCCAAGGAACGCAGTTGTGCAGGCTTGGGGAGTGATACTCTCATCATCTAGCACTCTCAAGTTCACATAGTGCATGCTGTGGATAAGGAAACTCAGAACTCTATTCGCTACACTGAAGTATCCTTCTTCCTCCACCCCCATCTTCTTCCCTGGGAATATGGGAGAAGTAGGCACTGTTCAAAACTCTCCCCCTGATCAGTAGCTAGGAGCAGTGAGAATGAGCAGGACAGGGATGTATGTGCAATCCCACTTAGGCAACCAATTCCCAAGCCTATGCATAGGGGAAGGAACCCCAGGAAAACGTCCTATAAGCATCCAGACACTGGATGCCCATATGGGACTATGGTTTACTATGACAGGGGAAATGGGGATCCAGGCATCTGTTCTATGGTAGAGTGCATGCTTTGCATGCAGAAGGTATCTGGCTCACAGACCTGGCATGTCCAGCACAAGGTACCAAAACTGGTGAAGATCTCTGCATAAGGCATAGGAGAACTGTTACTAGTTGGGGACCAAAGCACCAGTGATTTAACTTAGTAAAAGTAGCTTTGTTGACACTGAGAAGCTCATGTCCTGATTCACTCACAAGGAGTGGTACCTGATTACAAAGACTGAACATGCCGGCAGCAAAACACAGATCAAACTCTTGATTGTGTGGAACTTCTTTTTCCATAGGCAGCCATGCAAAAAGCAAGGATGTTTCTCCACTGATGCAGAGCAAGACAGCAGCAACTGCAGCAATGCAGCTACTGTATGCTTCTCCACAGATGCCACTAATATGCTTCAGCAAATCCTCTCCCTCCCCCCACCCTCTCTCTTGTTCAATATTCAGCAGACTGAAAACGCAACAGCTATAGCTACATAAATGATATATGAGTTTAGAAATGGTTTATAGTTGTCTCAAAGAGAATAGCAGCTGAAAAGATGGTTTTTAAAAGACATTTAAAGCAATTCAGACAGGGAAGCTTGTATACATCAATCTTTCTCACCCGACAGCAACATGTAGCCTTCTGAAACAGAGGAGGCGGGGAGGCGAGGCTTGCATGATTTTACTGCTTCAGCAATTGCCCTGCATTACAAAACAGCAACACACAAAACAAGAGCACACAGTTTTGTAAGGCAGAATTAAGGTCAACTGCAACATGTCAAAGGACCAGCACTTATTTGTTTCTGGTGCTGGGAATAGACAAGGAAGTTACTCTTGGTGTGTTTCCCAGGGCAAGGGTTGCACCAGCTCTTCAGATGTCAAATGCAATGGCTGGAAACAGGGAGTATGGAAACTGAGATAGCAGAGGATGACGTTATCTCAAGACTGCTGTCTCCAGGTGCTCAGGCAGACTATGGGAATGCACAGGGCTTGAAAGAGAAGGGAAGGAACAAGGGAAAGGAGTGCCTGATCAGTCCCTGGTCCCATGATGTGCTGTAAGGTTAGAAGGGCTACCGAATTAGAAGGCCTCAGTAGATCTAGGAGCTTGCCCTTCTCCAGAGGGACACACTCAGAGGGGTGGAGCCCAGCGTTGCCGAAAATGGTTTTTGGAAGTAGTGTCTAGTTTGGGTTTAACAAATCACTTTGTTCATGCACAGAGATTTGTCCTTCAGTGGTTATAGTTTGTCAGCTGTAAATTTTATTTATTGATTGATTGATTTATATCCTGCCTTTTTCCTAGAAAGGGCTCAAGGAAGCTTACATCATTCTCCTCCTCCATCTTATCCCCACAACAACAACCCTGTGCGGTAGGTTGGGCTGAGAGTCTGTGACTGGCCCAAAGTCACCCAGATGGCTCCATGGCTGAGTGGGTACTAGAACCCAGATCGTCAGAGTCCCAGTCCTTAACCACTACACTACACTGGCTCCAATTATTAAATTGGAAATAAAGAGCTATTTTGCTCCAGAAGGTTGGGGGATACTGTTCAGCCCTATGGATTCTCTTGTGTGGGGTCTTTCAAGGTAGTGTCTTGTCCCCCATGGTAATTAATATCTACATGAAACCACTGCATGGGGTCATCCAGAGTTTTGGCATGTGTTGTCACCAGGATGCTGATAACACACAGCTCTATTTCTCCCTTTCATCTTCAGCAGGTAAGGCCACTGATGTGCTAAACTGGTGCTGCAACAATGGCCTGGATAAGGGCTGACAAACTGACTGAGATACTGTTAGTGGGTGGTTCTTCTGACCAAATGGAGGGAATTCAACCTGTTGTGGATAGGGTCACACTCTCCTTGAAAGAGCAGATCCGCAGCTTGGGGGGGTTCATTGATCCATCTTAGTCACTTGAGGCCCAAGTGGCCTCCACGATATGTAGTATCTTCTACCAACTCCGACTGGTGGCTCAGCTACACCCTATCTGGATAGAGATAGCCCAGTTTCAGTAGTCTATGCCCTGGCAATCTCTACATGGGCCTGCCCCTGAAGACAGTTCAGAAACTGCAGCTTGTACAAAACACAGCACCCAGATTGGTCAGAAGGTCAGAGTTTATAATATCTATTCTGACCCCCCCTGCATTGTCTTCCTATATGCTTCTAAGCCTAGCTCAAGGTGCTGGCTGGCACCACAATACCTGACAGAACCCATCTCCCAGCCACAAACTACCAGTATGCTACAATCAGGATCTGATTGCCACCTCTGAGGAAGATTTGGGCAATGGCAACAAGAAGGGCCTTTTCAGAGGTGGCTCCCCAGGTATAGAACAAGCTCCCCACTAAGTCTGCATGGCACCAGGTTAGGATTGTCCTTTATAACAAGACATATAATTAGTTTTATATTATAAGGAGCACTGTCAATCGTTTAACAGGTCTTGTGACTTAATTTGGATAAGCTATTTTAGCTTTTTACATTTAGTTTTGAAATTCTGTTATTGTGTTTTTAGGATGTTTTATGTGGTGGCCAGCTGCAGCTACTAGGTAGTATAGAAATAGTCACCATCATCACAGAAATGTTAAAAAGTGCAAAAATGTTTTCATTTGAATAATCCTAATATGAATGCATATAGAATACATTCATCCAAGAAGGCTTAGGCAAGTGGGTTATGCAAGTTGGCTCTTAATTAGGCAGAAAAGCACTTATGATCAGTACAAAATTCTGTGCCCTGTTCCAAACACCCATTCTCTTCAGTCGCTTATCTAGTTGACTTTGATGCACTCAGCATTTAACTGAATAAATATATCCTGGCCCCCCTTCCTCCAGCAGTATCTCTTCAGTCACACATTATTTGAGGGAGGCGGACTCCAGACAGGCTTAAGGAGATGCACAAGTTGCTGCCTATGAAAGGGGGAACATCCTTCCATTCACTTATCTTATGCTCCAAGTTTCTGATAGGAACAGATATGCTTATGGTCACTAACTATTCCTTCTGTTTCATTTCCACATCACTTTGCAACTAAAGTCCATGGGAGAAATTTCTCTGCACATTTCTCCTAATGTATGCTTTTTCTACACAATTTTGTCCAAATTTGCAGAAATACATATAGCTTTTAACATAATGAAGTATTTTATGGTATCTTCATGCATATATGCATTTTTGTGTTCACTTTCCCTCACGCACCCATTTTAGTGCACATTCTTTTAATAGGAGAACTATGTCACAATTTCAGAGAAATCTGAATACCAAAGGATGCAAAAGGTAACACATTGGTTTGGGAAATGCAAATTAGACAGGTTTGCATTGAACTAGAGGTGGGCTTGCACTAGTGATTCTCTATGCTGGTAGTCTAATAGAAGACACCTTCCAGAAATTTAACTCCAAAGGATGTAGTGGTCACTGTTGCCAAAGTGCTTAGCCAAGGGTAACTCAAGGCTGATTTTCATAGAGCAACCACAACAGCAATGCACTACCTATGTGATAGGAACAGGAGCCAGCTCCACTGGATTTTTCAGCAAAGCGTGTCTGCTGATGGTAAGGAACTGCACTGCACTATCCACCAAATACTCTCCTTGGCTGTGCATACAGATGGCTGAAGTTGCTGCTAAAACATAGAGATGACATTACCGGATGTGTGCTGGAGTGGTCCCACAGCAGCCACCAACTATGTTCACCAAACCATCTAGGGCAAAATTCTGTAAAATAAAAACATTTTTTGAGATATAATTTGGGCAGGGGTGCAGGGGAGACACTGTATAGTACTATAAGATGGGAACTCATGCTGTTTCCTGTATTATTGTGGGTTATGTGTGTAATAAAAATACATACAATTAAATCTGCTTTATTACAATGGTGGTGTACAATTGCTCCCTGTTCATTTAGGCTAGCAGTTCTCAATACTTCTTTGGCTTTAAATAGTCTTAGGAAATACAAGGAGTGGATGAGGTTAAAATATTGTAGGGATTATAGTTGATTAAACACAGAGCTTTCCACAGAAGCAAAAATAATACAACTGAAGCTGTGATACTTTGGGTACATCATGAAAAGGCAACACTCACTGGAAAAGACAATAAAGCTTGGGAAAGTTGAAGGCAGAAGAGGAGAAGGAAGATCAACTATGAGATGGATTAATTCCTTAAAGGAAGTCACAGCCTTGAGTTACAAGAGATGAACAGAGCTGACAAGAAATTTTGGCGGGCTTTCATTCACTATGTTTTTCTACTGTAGGAACAAATTAATACAGGAAATATCCCATACCTTAAGGTGCTTGGCAGTCACTTCAGGTGTTTCATCATAACCACCGAAAGTGTTAGGAAGACCTGAAGAAATATGAAGTATTTAAAACTCCACATAATATGCAAATAGACACTTTTCCCTATTTATGATTCAGTTAAACTGCATAGTGTATAATTTGCTCAATAAAACACTGCACATATTTGGAACATCCATATGCATAAACTCTCAGGAGATAATCTTTCAAGAAGGGTAATCATTTTCTAAAGCAGGGGTGCATGATGCATGGGCTGTGGGCCACATGAAGTCCCCTAGATTTTTATGGTCCCCACTAGATCCTCTGCCTCAGTAGTGTGGTTCCTACATCACTAGATTCCCAGTAGTTCTTGGCAATGGAGATGTGTGACCACTCCTGACTGCAGTTGTAGATGCAGTGCAGGAGGGGTGAGGCCCTGTAGCCCAGTGCAGCCTTCCATCCAATTGAAATGGTCCAGTCCTAAAGCAATGTTTTGCAGATAGACAGGTAGCATCGCTGTAGCAATGATTATTTCAGTAGATTAATAAGCATGTCTTATATTACTGATCGATGAGAAAACCTCATTGGCCTTTTCTTAATTAGATTTTCCAGGCAATAGCCTGAGTTAGCTTTAAAATATTTGGTTTTCAATATTATCTGTTATTCCAGCTTTTTGTCTTCCCTTTCTAAAAATAAATGTCCTCTTTTACCGAAACTTTGAGAGAGTGTTCCAGTAGCATTTATATGGTGTTTTCAACAAATTCATTCACTAACTTAGGATCTTTTTTCACACAGATTGTTTGCTTGCCACTAATTTGAAGCTAGCAACATGTAATCAATTATACAGCCTGCTTAGTATTTCAAATTAGCACACTGACTTTACTGAGACTAAAATAAAACTGTTCTCAGAGAAGATTAACAGCATTCTTTCGATCATATGGGCAAAAAAACCCCATTTAACATGTATGTCTATTTTTTCAGACACGTATCCTTTTCCCCAGTTTTACATTAGAGTAGACACAAGGGCTCACTGATTAGCAAGTCCCTATTATGTGGGGGAAGGGTAGAGGTTTGGTGTGTGGGGTTTTCGTTTTTAAGTAAGTTTTGAATTACATATTCTCTAAAGTAAAATTACAAAAGATATAGCTACTACAGAGATTTAATGTAATTACTATTTTAGCCCTAAGTCTACTTTACTTGGAGGTAAAATATTTATTATGAGTTTCCAGAGTGAAGTCATTTTGACTCAAACACTGGCAGGGCTAGAAGAGGCCTTATTCCATTTTCCCTTTCCACCTGTTATGTCACATGCATGCCAGAATGTGCCACACAAGCAGAGCCAAGTAAACAAACATGAATCTTACATATACTACTTATAAACCAGAGCCAGTGCGGGGTTACTATATTTTGTTTGGGACTGCTGTGGATACCAGCTGTAAAATATATTAGCAAACTTGAACCACTTCAGACATCATGGATTACAAACAATTATGGGGCCAGTTCTGTCTTGCTTCTGTCTCCCTTGCGTCTACCCAATTTTAAAGTTTAAACAATTTATTTTTAGATTTCCATGGGTCCATTTCAACTCTACTGAAGTGAATCGGAAATTCAACCCCCTCAAAGCATGGTAGGAAAAACTCAGCACATTGCCAGTATCATGAATTCCATTATGTGGTTATCCTACTTCAAAAACACTGGAGTTGATTTTTATGTTGTTTTGTAATGTTTTCTTGAACAATCCTGTGAGTATAAAAACAAAACTCTTCTTATTTCCAGAAGTAACTTTTATCCTGTGGTGTTAATTCCACTCCAAGTTGGCTTTATCCCAACACAGAAATAAATGCTTTCATTGTGTAAATGTGCAACACCAATTTCTTATTTGAAGGGGGGGAAAGCCCAGTTAGGCTAATGGGATACACTGAACATCTTCCCTTAATTACTAAGAGCCTTAAGTATTTTCTGGTTTCTTTCTCTCTTATTAACATGTTGCAATCCAAAGCACCCTGCTCTTTTGATATAATGCTATGTTTCTGGAATAGGATACCAATGTTATCTACTTTAATGTATTTCATATGGTTTACAATACATACTACTTCTACTGATATGAAAAAGCCAAATCCCACAGATCAGGGCATACCTGCATTAGGATAACAAATGATGTAGGCAGTTGTACACTTCCCAATAGTTTCAATGAAGGGCCTCATTTCCATAGCCCCCAAAGCACAGTTTAATCCAATGCTAGAAAGACCAAGGTAGGAAAGTGAAAGAAAGAAGAACAAAAATGTATTGATTTGAATTGAAACTTACTAAACGTATTAGTTTGTCTGCCTGTCACAAAGAACCTAATGACACAAGGCTGACCTGCCTTAGAAATCACATTCCATATATTTTTACCAAGCTCATTCCACATTTTGCAGCTTTGGCTGAAAAAACCATTCTTGTGTTTATTTATGCTAAAATGCAATTATAAAACAATTTTAAGTTTTAAAAAATGGTTAAAAGCTGTAGTCTTTAGTCGTTGTCTCCCGCCTCACTTTCACAGACAAGGTAGAACACAGTCTACCCTTCTGTCTCCCTGATATTTCTATATGCTGCCTGTTCAAATTATGAGATTTTCATTATTTGTCAATCAAACTAACTCAATCTGACAAAGAGTCAAATCATCATGAAAACCACATTAAAACCTGTATGAGAAGAAATGCAAGTGGATATCCGTAATTTAGCTGTAAAAACCATTTATGGGTGGTATCCCATGCAGGCAACTTGCCAGGCTTAAACACACTGCACTAGCAAGAAGGATTGCTCGAGCAATGGGAATTAGTGCTTCCTAGCAAAACCCTGAAAGGCTAACTTTTACTTCCTGTTCTAGTATGAGACAATTCAATGGAGTTCCCTTCTCCAAGCACCACTGACTTGTCCCTTGCAGAAATGGTAGCTTTGGATATTTTCCAGTTTTGGATATTTTCCAGTTGCACTAGCCAAGGCTAGCTCCCTGTTGCACTAGTGGTTATTGCTAGACATGTTGATTGCTAAGACGACAGAAGCAAGTAGGGAATAGCATACCAGTACCAAAATGCCATAATCTTGCTTTAACTACCTAGTGTGCCTTGATACTACCTATGGGGTGACAGACATTTGGAAATGGGTTTCTCTCAAAAGGAGAGCACCTGCTTCCTGAAGAATCAGACCCAAGGGCCTGTTGCTACAGCCAAATTAGGTGCTCAAAGTGCCGAATGCAGGTGCAGCTGATTCCACAGTGTCCCTCCCTCCAGAGACAGGCCCCGGAGGGTTTATAAGCAAAGCTTTGGGTAAAGAGGGGCAGAGACGGTTCTCTCCTTGTGTATGCTCAAAGGGTTGTGTATGTTTGGAGTATTCAATGCAGAATAAAGACGCTTACAAGAAGTGCTGGAGAGTCTGTCTTGCTGGGGAGGGAACGCCTAGCTCACGACAGAATCCCTCCCATACTGATAATATATGTGCTGCTGCTATGAATGCCCAAGCAGGTAAAAAATTCTAGGAAGACTAAGGAAAAAGTCAAAATGAAGTCTTCTCTCTTCTGGAAAAAAAAAGTATGCAGAACTTAAAAGAACTGCTTCCAAATTACCTGCCTATCATTATTTTCATGCTCTTTAAATCATTTTAAAACAAGGAAGAACTTGAGAGTGCATCTGCCTAACATGCCTAAGGGTGACATTAAGATTGAGCAATTGAATTATTTGCTTCAATTGCTATGATGCAGAGAAGTTGTTCCTCCCACACAGAAAGACCTGCAACAGTGTCTCCACATGTAAACATTGTGTAAACATCAGAGTGTAAACATCAACACCAGGCATTCTAACAAAACTTCAGCCTCAATTGCTGATTAGCTGTCCACCTCAGATCTGAAAGGAACTTGAATATACAAAAACAATACATTCCTATGGTTGCTTGCTTCTTCCTCCCAAAGAATCCACCAAAGAATTATAGGCAACACCTCTGGAAATATTCATGGATTAGACTTCTTACTTGCTGTAAGTCTACATAATTTAGGACTAAAACCCTACATCCATTTCCCTCAGTGGGAAACTCAGTGGGACACACTTCTGAGAAATGTATACGATTGAGTTGTTATTTGGCTAAGAAGGTGTAGGGAATAATTCAGCAGCAAATTACCAAACTATTCTAAATAGAAGTTCAGACTAATGATAGATCCAGCAGAGCCTTCTCTAAGTTGCTGTTCTCCATAGGGCTTGAACTACAGCTGGCATGCAGTGGCCATGCTGACTTGTGATAATGGCAGCTGTTGTTCAACACATTTTGAAGGCCCGAGATTTGGGAACCCATGACCAAAAGCACAGACCAGTGGTTGCCACCCAAGATTCTAAATCTAGGAGTTATGCATCTAAGATGTCCCCCCCTTTGACACAAAAGTTTCTTTACCATCCTGAACACCATTTCAAAGTGCTTCCTATGGACACAATGGAGGAAAATTGTCTATTAGAAAGTTCAGATGAACATGCTGGATAGATAATTCCTTTAAATTTTTAACTCACAAGTGCACAACTCCCTGCTTCCCACTGAGGTTTTAAGAAGTCTCTCTGAGCACCACAGATGTTGACCCAAAGATAGACCATATATCTCTGCTCTAAAACTGAACATGATCTGGTCCTGATCAGGACCAGGGACCAGCAGGAAAGTCTACTACAGAGCTCCTTAGGAGAAAGACAGCCTCAAATATAGCAAACAATCTCCACAGGGTTGCATATATCCTCTTATTAAAGGCACAGGCTAGCTACTTAACCACCAACAGTTTAGCCATCATTTTGGCTTGAAAGATACCAAAATAGGTGACATTTATAAATCAAATGTAGTAATTATAAATCACGGATCCTTTGTATAAGAAGCCAATCATGTCTTTGCTTCTGCACACATTTATATATAACAAAACAGAAAGGATGCCAGGAAATGCATCATTTCAAAAACAGAAGTAATGCTTAATCTGTCTTATAGACCCATTACTCTACCAAAGCTGGAGCCAAGATAAGGGAAGCTAAAGCTGCCATCCTTATCAAGCCATAGTTAAATACTGCTTCACACTACGCTGTTAAGTCATGGTTGATTTATAAGCTTCCACTCTTCGTTTTTTCCTTTGGCCCAGCTCCTTTTCACCTAAAGCTGCTATATTTCACTTCATTGCAGCATCCCATCTGTCTCTGCTTTTCTCTACAAGCCTCATCTGTTGATCTCTCTAGGGCACCAAGTCAGCTAGGAGAGTAAAGAGTCAGGAAGTTCAGCAAATGATACAGGATCTACATAGTCTCACTGTGAATCATGTACCTAGGACTTTTCTTAAGTTGGAGATTTAATCTTTAGTGACACAGCATGAATCACAGCCAGAGTAAGCTGCAGATCCAGGTATCATAAAGTCCACGCATTCTCCCTTCTGATCAGTCCTATGGCCAAATATTGAAAATTTTATTTTATTTATTTATTTATTTATTTATTTATTTATTAAAGCATTTTTATGCTGCCCCATTCGCCGAAGCCTCGGGGCGGCTTACAACAATAAGCTAAAAATGAATAACATTAAATTAAAAATATAAACATTAAAATTAAAAATACAAAAATAACAATATAAAATAAGCCGCCCTGGCCAGATAAAATCCAATAATATTAACAATTAAAATGCCGCTTAAATAAAAAGGTCTTCGCCTGGCGCCAAAAAACAAATAACGACGGCGCCAGGCGGACCTCTCTGGGGAGTGCATTCCATAACTTAGGTGCCACCGCAGAGAAAGCCCTCCTCCGAGTACCCACCCTCCTAATTTCTTTCACAGAGGGTTCCCGGAGAAGGGCCTCTCCCGCAGATCTCAAGGGGCGTCCGGGCACATATGGATGTAAGCGCTCCTTCAGGTAACCAGGACCCAAGCCGTTTAGGGCTTTATAGGTCATCACCAACACCTTGAATTGGGCCTGGACTTCAGTGGGAAGCCAGTGAAGCTGACGGAGAACTGGAGTCATGTGAACATAACGCCCAGTCCCCGTCAGCAGCCTGACAGCTCTATTTTGAACCAATTGAAGTATCCGGACCGTCTTCAAGGGTAGCCCCACGTAGAGTGCGTTGCAGAAGTCAAGACGGGAGGTAACCAGCACATTTGTCACTGTCGCGAGGCAGTCGTACTCCAGGTAGGGGCGCAGCTGATTAATCAGCCGAAGCTGAAGGAAAGCGCTCCTCGCCACTGCTGTCACCTGAGCTTCCAGTGAAAGCTCCGGGTCAAGGAGCACTCCCAGGCTGCAGACCTTGTCCCTAAGAGGGAGTGCAACCCCATTCAGGACTAGGTTCAATTCACCCTCTCCGAAGCCCGATCCGCCAACCAACAGGACCTCCGTCTTGTCTGGACTGAGCTTCAGTTTATTGGCCCTCATCCAGCCCATTACCTCGGCCAGGCACCGGTTCAGTACAGCCACTGCCTCACCTGGATTGGTGGAAAACAAGAGGTAGAGCTGGGTATCATCAGCGTACTGATGATTCCGCAGCCCACACCTCCTGATGACCTCTCCCAGCGGTTTCATGTAGATGTTAAACAGCAAAGGGGACAAAATGGACCCCTGCGGTACTCCATGGCATAGCTGCCATGGCGCAGAGCCATAGTCCCCCAGCACCACCTTCTGGAACTGGCCATTGAGATAGGAGCGGAACCACTGCAAAGCAGTGCCTCCGACTCCCAATCCCGCAAGCCTATCCAGAAGGATACCATGGTCGATGGTATCGAAAGCCGCTGAGAGGTCCAGAAGAACCAACAGGGACGCACTCCCCCTGTCCTTCTCCCTGCACAGGTCATCGTACAGGGCAACCAAGGCAGATTCAGTACCGTACCCGGGTCTGAAGCCGGACTGAAATGGGTCCAGATAATCAGAAAATGGCTGTGCGGATGAGGGTAAAAGAAGACAAATAGGCCTACTAAGCTTTCTTTTTGTGTAACTGAAGCAGAACTCTCCCAGGGATTGCCAAATTTCATCATATGGAAGCTTCCTTCTTCTCAAATGTGAAAACTAAAGTATCCCAGTTTTTGACTGACAGGGTTCATTAACCGACTTCAAACTATGGGCAAAGACTGAAGGAAAACCAGAGTAGTATGGCACATTCCAGACCATGAGTGGAAAGAAAACAGGACTAGAAACAAAGGATGGCAACTCTTGGTGTGTTGATCCTGAACACTTATGCTGAACAGTTTGGAATTCAATGGTAAGGACTAGAATGCTCTGACGTCTGCTAGTCAAGATATACATCAGAAGAGGTCTGGAATGACCTTTCTGCATACTTCGAAAGTCATTACTTTTCTGAGAACAACTGGTTACATTAGATAGGTCAATCAGTGTGCATGCTATTTGCATAATTTGCACTACCATAAGTTTCATGTCTCTGAATCTATTTCAGATAAACCAAACACTAATAAAGCCTTACCATAAGTGGATTCCAGAATGCATGTTGTGTGTGCGTGTGCGTGTGAAAATATATATCCTCTTACCATAATGGGTCACTGTGAGATATACTGATGACAAATGCTTCTCCAGTCTGACCAGACAAAGTACGTCCACTTCTATCAACAATGGTCCCTGAAACCTTAAAACCACAAGGGCAGTGGGGAGAAACACAAAAACCTCATATTAAGAAGGGTACAAGACGAGACACTAAACTGAAATAGAAAATGCCCAATTAAAAGCTTGGTGAGGGATTTGTGCAACAATTTCTGCAAACAACATTCTTTCTATCACAATGAAATGAACAGCTCTGTTTCTATTCCAGTGATTCCCAACCTAGCATATGTGTGCACCCAGGAGTACAAATCAGGATATTTAGAAGTAGATGAAAACAACTGAGTAACAGCAGAAATAACAGCAACTATATTAATTACAAACATTTTGCTAATGCGAAGGGTACAGTTTATGGAAATGGACTACCAAGAGGTGCACAAGTGGAAAAAATAGTTTGGGAACCACTGTTCTATCCAAAGACAAAGCAAGATTAAAGGAAGAAATTTTTACTCAGATATTCACTATGGAAGCCTGCGTATCAAACACACACACATTCAAAAATCAACCACATCTTTGACATATTGCTTGAACAATTTTATTCTCTGTTTTAAAAGGGAACATTCATCTATTCTATATAGCAGAACGAAATAAAAAAATCCTCCTCATTGCAAAAATGCTACAGTTTGTCAACTGAGACTTTTGACATTCTGAATACCGCAAGCCTCAGGTCCCCTTTTCTTCAACACTATACTTTCAGCACTGCAGAAAAATTTCCAAAATCACAGAGGATTTCTGTGGAAACAACCTGTATTAGCAAGTACATCAGTGCAACTGATCGGTCCTTCAAGTATACTTAAATAGCAATTCATATCCATATCCCCTCATGTGTTTCAATATGAGATGTTGCAAAATGTATCAAAAGGTGGCATTTTTTAACCATGTCTAATTCTTTTTCTAACATCATAGTCCAATAGAAGCACTCAAGTGTGCCTCTGATGAACTAGAGCCACAGGGAACCTTTTAGTATCATATATTAAAAATATCAGAGTGAATTCATGATTTAAATATATATTATTTCCACCACATATCTAATGATAGATAATCCATGATTGGATTATTTAATTATTTGTATATTTCATTTATATCCCATCTTTCTGTCCAAAGCAGAAAAGGGATATCATCTCTGATCTTGGCTAGCTACAAAGGACTTAAGTATCCAGTGTACAAATAAATTTATGCATCAAGAAAACCATCATGATTGATAGTTGTTCCACACATTTAAGTCTCATGATGCAGAAGGCTTTTCAAAATACTCTCCTCCACTGCCAGCCTCCTCTGAGTGTGCTTTTCTCAGTATGCTCTGATCATCTGTATGTTGCCAACAGCATCCCATTGGCAGCTCTTACCCTACACATGCAAGCTACTCTCAACGAGAGCACAGCATTACACTGTTGGTAAGATACAAGAGGCCTTCAGCTGATATTGAAATGGCCAGCTGGGTTGAACCCAGCATTATCTCAGCCAACACAAACAAGGCCTTAAGTCCACTGTGAAAACTGTTCATACTCAAGGCATGGGAAAATCTCCAAGGGAACACAGTCATAGGCCAGGTTTCACTCTATACATACAGACTGCTGTAATTTGGCTCACCAGCAGTTTTACCAACAGGAGACCCTCAGTCAATTGGCTACAGTGCAGTGAAATGCAAGGCAAAAGGCTATATTTTGGACTCTTGCCTCTCTTATTACTACTACTGCTGTGTTATGTGTACTTTAAAGGAAGGGAAAAGAAAGCACAAGCTAACATACAGATCAGTGTAATTTTGCAAAATGGCATTTGTGATTGAGTTAACTACAGGTGGTTGAGCACTAACTCATGAGAAACTGCATGATAATATTCTGTTATATAAAAGTTCAATTCTTATACTCACAAACAATGCTCTGGGTTCATACTCTTCCTCAAATAATTTTTGAAGAGCAAAGAGAGCTGCCTGTGCAGAAAAAAATCACAATGTGTTAGCATCACACCTTCACATTAAAAAAAAAACTAAATCAAAATTCACAAGAGGGATTGGTGAGGGAGGGAATACATCAGTGTCAAACCTTGCTTCCTTAAAGGAGACTCAACTTCCTTCAGACAAAAACAGTACCTAGAAATAGAATGGAGCCACAGTGGGGCTTTTAAGGATGCAGGGAGTTGTAGGATATTTTCTGTATAAACATGCACAGGATTCTACACAAACTGGCTGTGTGACTGCTGCACATTTAAACTATGGAATGCACTTCCACAGGATGATAGAAACTATCTGGATAACTTTAGAAGAGGTCAGAGCAAGGATGATACTGTTATCAGTCGCTATTAATCCTGATGGCAATATGCCACCTCCTATATCTGAGGCAGCATGCCTGTGTATAATAGCTGCTCAGGAACATGGATGGGAACATGTCCTATGCATAGGTTTTCTACAAGCAGCTGGTTAGCCACCATGTGAACAGAACGCTGGATGAGATGCACTTTTGATCTAGTTCTTCTTACATTCTGATGGAAGTAAACCATCCTAAAACAAACAACAAGTAATGGACGGCAGAATACATCAATCCGAAGTCGACACGTGCTTTAAGACAACCCAATCCAGGATAACTGAATAAAGTAATCAGTGGCTTTGCAATGCTTAAATGTTGCATGTGGGAACCCACAAACTTTCCCCTATGAGCCTGTCCAGTTTCAAAATTTTCAGGGCAGGGGAACCCTACTCTTGATCCTGTCACTATCAGAGGCACATTCAGTAGGGATGCAAGAGGAGACTTTCGCCTGCCTCTTTCCAGACTCTGGAACAACCTGCACCAGGAGAGGCTGGGCTGAATACCACTTAGTTATCCTTTTGCCAGTAGGCAAAGACTTTTTATCAGGAAAGCCTTTGGCATATAAGTTGGTCCATTGCTGAAAAGGATTTTAATTGGTTGGCATTATTTATTTCTTTATAGTTGGACTATGTTCCAATTTATATTTTATTTTTAATCTAGAATTATTGATTGCCTTGCCCATTATTACAGAAAGGCAGAATATAAATACATTTTTTATTATGCAGTTGCATACCCAACAAGAATATAAATGCTGTAAGGAAACAAAATTTTGCAGTATGTTCATGTGGCTCAAAAGAAATGGCCAGAGAGTTTTGGCTAGTGGGTGGTGGAGATATGAAATAAATAATAAAGTAGTAATAGGACAAATACCTTTAGTGAAGTTCAGGTCTTACAGAGGGGGGACACTTCCCCACCTTTTCTCAAATCTCCCCCCTTGCGGTACACAGCACCAAATGACTGAGGTCTGGAGTCTACCTGCCATGTTGCTGCTATATTACCAGGGGAGGGCGTTCAGGAAAGGGAAAACATATCCCCCCCCCCTTTTCCCCTTTCCTCCTTCCTGAAACCTCCTCTTATAGTGCAGGGAAGAGACTTCTTTTTAACCTCATGGACACTTTCCCAACCCAAATGTTTCACTCCAGGACAGTATAACTTGTTAGGGGCTCATGCACCCCTTCTCTCTATTTGTAAAAGATGTCATAATATAATGTTTCTTTTTAAATAAAAGATGAATCTCTTTTGGACTCTTCTCACCTACATATGTGATCACTAAGACTGTAGTTAGTACTAAAAGACTAACAGTCGTTGCTGTTTTAAATCCTGTTATCAAGCTGCTCAAGAGTGCAATCCTGTGCATGTTTATATACAAAACAGCCTTACAACTCCCAGCATGCCCCAGTCAACACAGCTGGCTGGGACATGTTAGGAGCTGTAGACCTTTTTCCTGGTCTAAACACATACTTAGGATTGGTCCTTAAAAACTTCCAAGAAATCTCACCTTGGCATTGGCTGTATCAAATATGGTTTCAACTAGCATGATATCTACTCCTCCATCTAGAAGTCCTCTGGCTTGCTCTGTGTAGGCTTCCACCAGTTCATCAAAAGCTAGAAAAAAAACATATTTTCCCCTTATGATACAAATGACAATAAAAAGACATTCTGATCCAGGCTGGAATATGTACACGTATGCTCCCAAACTGGCAGATACTTGGAAAGGTAACCTGGCATTATAATCCCTTACTACTAGGAGAACCATATATGGGAAAACATAATTAGCCTCTTATAATGTTGCTTCTCTGGTTAGCAACTATAATTAAGGCATCTAATAAATGAATTTATTAACAGCAACAAAGTCATAAAACTAGACTTCAAATTCAGATCTGTGGATGTCAGTCACATCTTACTGAATTTTTAAAAATGCAGTTTATGTTACAGAACGAGTGTTAGTGAAGCTGAGAGCAAGAAATGAAAGCAAACCATCTTCAGTTTTACACCTTTTTGGGAAACAAAATCAGCATAATGCTTAATTAACCTGTGGGAAAGTGCAATGAACACAAACTGTACACAAAGCTTTTCTAGTTCCCTGCAACAGCCTACAAATAAAACATGTACAGGTTGTTTCCATGATGTCTGAACCCAGGCACTTGGGTTCATAGGTTAAACAACTCCAGGTGAACCCATGGCTTGTTCATGGGTTAACTTAGAGCCCTTTAACCCATAAACATCCCAAGTGCCCACATTCTGATATCATGGAAACAACCTATGAATGCCACATTTGCAGATTTTTACAGAAACCAGAAGCAACTTTTGTGTAGTGTATCTGTCCACAATTTATGAATTAACTCATGAATACCACTGTATGCCAGCATTACATTCAAACAGGGACTTAGTCTTTGGAATACTTACTGACATTCCTGTAATCTGGCCTTTCCACTGAAGGAGAGACAGAAAGAGTCTTGTTTGTGGGACCCATTGCCCCAGCAACATATCTTTTATATCCTTAACAAAGAAGAAACATACAGACACACCATTAAAAACAATCTTGAAAGTATTGTGCTTGTGATATTGAAGTTTCTAACACTGATTTGGCTGTGCAGGTGTGATGTTGCTCAGGGAATAAAGCAATCTGAAGCCCAACTTCTGTTTGGGAAGGGAAAGTTACCAGTTTGACACGTTAAACATCTCACACTTAAGCACAAGCTAATATGAAAAGTAAGGAACAAAGAGAAGAATCCAAAGAGGCAATTACATGCTTGCCAATTCTCTTAGGCCCTGCCAGTTCTGTTGTGCAGTTGACCACTTGCAGGATAGCAATTTAGCATTTCTGTGGCAGCCTGAAACAAGGCGAAATGCTTATTCTTGGAAGTGGGGAGGCCAGTGGAACCCACATGAGGCAATTCCACCAACCTGCTTCCTTCCTGGAAAAAAGCTGATTCTGCTCTTTTCATGGATTCCTTTAGGAAACAGTAATTTTCCTTTGAGTATACAATGGATGCACTCATGCAAGGAAATGAATTGGCAGGACTGAATTCTGTCCAGAGACCAAATGCTAGGAGGCAGAAAGAGGATGAAACAAGAATGGCCTGAGTCAATAAAAAGAAAGGCCTGAGGCAAGGGAAGATGAGTCAGGCAACTGAAGCAAGAAGCGAATCAGAGAATGCTTCAGAACAGAGATAATTATATGTTAAAGGTGGGGCAGAAGCAACAGAGATAAGGACGACCAGTCAAAAGTCAGGATAACTGAACAAAGTGGAGACTTCAAATGAGGCCCTTATCTGAAGTACTGTCACTTGCTGAGCTACATTATATATTTACAATGGAAAAAGTATTTGCTGTAATAGCAGCCTGGCTTTGGAACACCCTCTTTTGGCTCCAGATTAATACATATTTATTTGCTCAAGAATTTAAATTGATTTTATCACTTTTGTTCTGCTTGATAGTCTCATAGAGTTAGTTCCTTCCAAAGCTTGTGGGTATAGGAATGCTGCTGTGCTGTGATATATTGCTTATCTTCTTTTGTATTCTTATGGTTATATATTGCACTGAACTATGTCAGGCTGGAGGGCTGGTCAGAACTTTTTTAAAAATAAGAGATATAGGAAATAACTTGCAAAGCAGAGAACTGAGGAAAACAGGGGAGCTAAGGATACAGAGTGGGAGGAGAGGGAAACTGAAGAAGATACAGAACTGGGAAAAGTAATGCACACAGCTTAGGCCAGTCTCTCCCAGCCCACAGTCTCCAGAAGCTTCAACATCCCAGGTTGTATGGCCAAGAGTCAGGAATTCTGGGAATTGTAGTCCAAAACATCTAAAGGGCACCAGGTTGGAAAAGGCAGGCTTAAAGAGTGGAAGGCTGAGCCACTCCTGACAAAAGGGATACAGGCACACAAAAAGAAGAGTCAAGAGGAAATGATATTCCTAGGTCTAGAATCTAACCTTGACAAGAAAGTTCTGGTAGTTGTTTCTCTTATCACTGCAGCCTACATTCAAGGCTACATGACCAACTAATCCTTCTGAAAATTTCTAGTAAGAACTGAAATTTGAATTTGGAAGGCTGACTGGATGTTCCATGACAAAAATATGAAATAACACTAAAAGAAGTTTTTGTTTTTGTTTTAATTGGCATTGTGGCCTAAACCATAGTATGTAAACAAAGTTGTATAAGTCTCTCTAGAAATTGTCAGTCCATTTTATTCTTGATTTAAAGATAGCAGCACCTTCTTTTCAAAGATGCTGAGAGTTCATACGTACTTGAAAAATAACTGTGAGATTTTGATGGAACTTGGGAAATTTATCTTTTTTCCAGTCAGCCCTCAGCATCATGCTGTCAAACAATGGAATCTGCAAATGAACCAAGCCCACTTCCTTGCATTTTAGCTAGTAAGTATAAATAAGAAATCAAGCATGCAAACTGCAGTACTATGTCATGTTTTACTGAAGGACTCCTGCAACAATAATGTTCGCTAAGCAGATAGTTTAACAAGCAATAGTGACCCTGAGGAACTTGAGCTTCACATACAAACCAACGTGTTATAAGGGAAAGTTACTTGCCTGTCTCAGCAGTGATATCATCCGCCGCTTTCCGAGCTACCTGTGCCGATGCTTTATTCAACTGATAAGCCTGAGCAGCAGAAGGGTGGGTGGGCAGGGTGTCACCAAAAGCAAGGCAGAAAAAAAGAGTATTTCATTCAAAGTTGAATGACCTCTATTTCAACTGCATTCCAAAGTGCTAGTCTTTAACATACATTGGGGTACCTTACAGCTTAACAGGAAAAATCAGGGTCCCTGTGCTTCCACTGAGGATATGCAGCCAGAATGCACCGGGTTACCTCTCTTTTGGGTCCTTACACTTCAGTTCAAAAGTCTCCATTTTTTTATGGGAACATTAACTGCCAAGCAGTAATTTTAGGACAAAATGTGTTTTTTAGCCACCACAGACACCACTAGTGAAATGGCCTAAGAGAAGGGAGTACGCCAGCAAACTTGTGGATGTCTGAAAGACACTTCTCCATTTAGAAATTAGGGAAGCTTGGGTAGGAGTGACTTGGAGAAAACTAGAAAAATTCAGAAAAGTATTTTCCTCCAAATGCCCCCTCCAAAAAAATTCCAGTGAAAGAAGAGCTTAAAAAAAATCTCTATCTACCCAATATTTTTGTTTTTTTCCCAGTCTTTCACATCCCTACACAGACTTCCTAACTCAGTCAAGACAATACTATATAACTTATGAATTGGCTACTGAAAGCCCCGAGTTCTTTCATGACCCTCCACACACAAGCATCTTGTTTGTCAAGAAGTATACTATATATACTCATTTTCCCTTTTTATGCCCTTGGAAATCTTCCTTCAAATAAATGCTGCCTTTCTAAGAGTAAGACTGGCCTTGGATTCCTGAACTCAAGGAGTCATATGCTGCAGATGTGGAACTGCGGGAGCTCTAGCTGCACAAAGCCCTAAGGATGTGGTAGCAGCCTCACAGCTAAATACCTTTTAAAAGTCGCATGACAGAAATGCAGCTAATTCTGTGCTGCTATCAGGGCTTACTTCAGTACATACTGCATACACCATGTTGTCCATGTAGTATCCTCACCCTTTTTTTCTACAAAGATAGGCACAGTACCAAGTAGAGTGTCTTACCAGGGTTCCTGGCTATGCTTCCAGTTGTCTATGTATCCCTAAGGTCACTGGACATGCAAAAACACTTGGGGGTGGGGTCCCTGCACACCTTCCCTCCCCACTTTGCCCATAAGCATGATGCTGCGTGGTGCTTGGAAAGACCTATACGTTTGCAAAGAGGCAAGCCTTTCATCAGAGATGGTGAAAACAGGTCAGACTAGTCACAGAGAAAAAATACTGTTTAAAATACCTCCAAGCTGAAAACTGAATTTCCATGCATACAACTGTCATGCCAACTGTACTAGCAAACTTAAGTTTTCCAGCCCCACCCCATTCTGCATTGCACAGTAAAAAACAGCAGTGGGAGAGAACATCTATTGCATGGAGACGGTGGGCACATTTGACATTTCAAAAGACAGCCATGGACATTCTTATATAAAGGCTGCCATGGTAGGAAGATTGACCATTTTGTTGGGAGTGAGAAAGATAGTCACTTTTGGCACACATTCTCAAGGCCTTTAGAGGAGAAGGAAGAGCAGGAATGTAGGCCAGTTCCAGATGCTGAGGTGAGTGAAGTGGAGACACTTATCTAAAGGCCAGATTCCCCAGGTGTGCAGGCAACCCATGGGAATAACCAAGATGCACAGTTAGTGGGAGAGGGCTTGGAACAGGGGAGTTTCCCAGAGACATATGAGTTGGGTATGGCTCTTGACCCCATGATACAACACTGGCAGAGAATGGCAGCCCAATTACAGAGGAGGTTCAGAAGGCCCCTCCCAAAGGGATGGGGCCCAGGCATGTTTGAAAGGAAAATTCCTGGAGATGAATACTACATTGGGTTCAAAAAACTTCTCTGTGCATGCTCAAAGATTCATTCTGAGTGTTTGTGCTTCTGAAAACACTTTGATCAATAAAGAATGCCTTCTAAAAAGGCAGGAACCCTAGCTCATGACACATTCATAAAATGGCTCCCACATTTGGCATGGCCAATCACAAAACACGAACTTCCCAGAAGGCAAACTGGTAAGCTATAGGAAAAACAGCTTGTCTGAGAACCCAAGCATGAGGCAGAGGTAGAGCCTGAGCTCCAGACACAAAACCACTCTCTTAAACCCAAATAAAGATGGCTTTGGTGGGCACCAGTCCACTTTGGTGCCAGTCTCCCATAAATAACATAAGTAACAACTGGCAGCAAATGAGGTATCTCTGGTATGCATGGGCACTGTGGTGGAGACCCCTGACCTATTATAACTAAATTAGCATTAACAAGGCAAGGCACTCCTGATGGTAGAATTAGGGTTGTTTGATTAAGAGTCAAATGGGGCATGAGTATATTTAACTTTGACCCAGCCTTTGCTAACATAACAATGCACTGCAAGAGATAATCCAGCCTTCTAATTAAGCAATGGCTTGATTACCTAGTAAGCTTCTGTGAGACTAGGCACCCCCCGCCCCCGTCATCATTGTATGTGTGTTGCCAGACACAAAAAATTTAGCTGCTGTGGTTTATGCTCTAGATGAACAATGGAGTACTTATGTGTGTTAATCTTTGTACATTCTGCTCATTCAATCTTTATTTGCAAGGCTGGGATGATCTTTTATGAGAAACAAGTAAATCAAAGCTATGCTACTTGTACTTTCAAAATTTTATGATTATTTTTATACAGTTTCAGCATGATACATGGCACCTTGCAGAATAACATCAGCAAACAGAATACGTGATGTCCAAGCCAAATGTCCACAGCAGGGGAAGACAATGAAGAGAGGGAGGGGAGAGGTAACAAGGACTGAATGTCAACTAATGTCCATATGAATATTGGACTCCAGAACCACACTAATCTTTATTGCTGGAAAACATGGTCTTGATGAACAAGAGCTTCAAAATCCTTACCAGATGTTCAAGGCCATAGTCTGCTTGTGCTATTCTAGTGCTACTGAAGGTGTTGGTTTCAATGATATCAGCACCAGACAGCAAGTACTCCTACAGAAAAAAGGCAAATGTGATCTCAAAGTTTGAGATACTGAAAGTGACAGCAAGTCAGGGTCATGGTGGGAAATTATTACAACAATTAATAGTCCACTTTTCTTCTTACATGAAATCCAAGGCAGCTTACAAGGTTCTCCTCTGCTCCATTTTACTCTCAACAGCTACCCTGTGTTAGCTAAGGTGAGAGTCTGTAACTGGGCCAAAGACATCCAGTGAGTTTCATGGTTGAGTGGGGACTAGAACCCAGATCTCTGGAGTCCCACTCCAGTACTCTTAACCACAATGCCACATTGGCTCTCATGGGAAGTAGACCTAGTCTTCAGGTGCTGCTTAGAGTGACAGACAGAATTTGGAGGAAAAGGTAGGTCCTCATTAGGGGCAACAGGTGAACCCTATCAAGAAACTGAGGGAGCTTCTCAAGAGTGCCAGGTATGGATGCTACTCTTGCTGAAATTTCTTGTCAGTGGCAGTCATGGGAGCAAATGGGTTCTATCAAATTAGCACTTCCCACTGAAGGTTTTCAGTACTGAAATAGGAAAGGGGACAATTCCTCAGATACAATAACCCCATGAGTATATTGTAGTGTTAATGCAAATCCAAAGTTACATTGTTCATCTGCATTTAACTTTTTTGATCAGACACTTGGATGGCCTATATACAACTAACAGATTTGCCTACTACTGCAGGTAGGTGGATAGGTGTAAAAGAGGGCTCATTTTTCTCTCTATAATTACTTTTAATTGGAGTATCAATATTGGGAGATTAAAGAAAAGCTCAAAAAGTCTTACCATCTGTAAATCTAACTAGTGACTTTTCATTATTTGAACAGCAAGAGAGGAAAATCTACCATATATTATATAATTAAATTATAACTGAAAGTGGTAACAGCAGCAATTTCTCTTCAGTTCATTTCCCCAAAATGAACATATTTCACCTCCTGAAAGAAATATGTGTGTTTCTTCCCAGATCTGGAAGCACTGATGTGGTACTGTTTAAAACACTTGGGATTTTTCTCTGAGATGAAAAAAATGAGGACAAGGGTAATTACAGCCAATTATATTTTAATCAAAATGTTCCTAGAGAGAACTTCCCAGCTTAGATTTCAAAGAAGCTAATTGATAACTGACAAGGTTTGTCTAGACAATACCTCCTTTCTGAAAATGAAGGATAAACATGATTTCTGTCATAGTTTCTATTTTTTGAACCTCACTGTCCTGTAACTTTATGTTATTGTTGCAATCTCACCTAATTCATTTCAGTATTTAAACGGAAGTTCTTCCCAACAGCAAATAAAGTCATTAACATGGACTGAGGCTTAGGAGTTTAAATGAACACCAGGGCACTTTCATATAACCAAAAAAGTGAAAATTGATCACAACAAATTAGATGCAGATTTCAAAATAATTTAAATAGAAATAGTGGGGAAGACCAGGGAACAGGTTATAGGACTGCAATTGGTATATGACACATGGCAATCCCAATGCACCCACAGGTGGGCCTCGTATATCTTCTGTTCTTCCATTCTTGAAAACAAGGCCCCTTCACTTAAGATAGCAGATGCACAAATTGGAAGCACACTCCAAAATACTACTATGCCATGCCAGCTCTGATATAAGGAACAGTTACCAAGGGAACCTAACTCTGGCAGGATGCCACTGGGTACACAAATATGGAGAAGGCACAGAACTTGCTCATATTACTAGTCAATTTGCACATGGCACACACAATACACAACAAAGTTCACACAATAAACTTGTGGATTATTTAACCCACAGTGAGCTATATTGCAGGCCAAGTGCAAGTTTCTGCCATTTTGATTGCAGATCTTCCCAATCAGGCCTATGGGAGTTACACTATGTTGCTGAAACCCTGTCATTATGGGTTAAAGTCATTACCTTCAATGGCTTCTGGAAAGCAAATGGCAACCAGTGCAGGTCTTTCAAGGAAGGTGCAATATGGTAACTAATCCAAACTCCATCCACATATTATCAAAATAATTTTGTAAAGAATATGAATGCAGGACATTAGTTTGCCTTGAAGGAAAACACCTCCACAACTGCCAAGTGCTGGCACTGTACTGTGGATTTTGCATTGCTCTCACACAGGACGTGGGCATATCCTATGGTGACTCCTTTGGATGGGAGTATTTCTAAATATTAATTTTGTAGAAGAAGAATTGTTCAAATTTATTGATGTTCATGGACTTATATTCCTGCACTATTTGATATCTAAAATGGTCAGTAACAGCAGATCTGAGAGTGCTCAAGGTGATTCCTATGTTCTGCTGGGCTGAAGTAGGTAGGAAGAGCAGTCAAGTGATCTTTGCTTCCCCATCCTCCAGTTTTTACTTTTTAGCCCACCTAAGCAAGGGAATTTCAGAGGTTGGAAGGAGGCTGGAGGTAGTTCAGATGAAATTATACCCTCACTTCTCTGGTATCTACTTCTCCCCACCCACCAGAATACCCACATTTTCCTCTCTTAGTGGTCAATTTTTGCCTCAGTTCTCTCTGTACTTCCCAGGGTTGAGGTCAGACTGCCTTCAGAGCAGAAAGACTATGTCTACACCTTCAGCTGTTCATTAGAAAGAGGACCTAAATGCCCTTTCTATATTTAAACATATGGCTTACTGTAGATCCAGTCTTCACATACATTTTTGGATACATGGTCATCATACCCTGATAGGTATGATTAAGTATCAATGAAAGCTGCATGTATATACATTCCCAACTTAGTCCCAATGCCTTCTCCTATTTTATTTGCCTTGTGTGAAAAAGAAAATCTAATAAAAGGTAATGATTTGAAAAAGGAATGTGGGGGCAACCCAGTTCCATTCAAACTAATGGAATACACTGTAATGGGATAAGAATTCTATTACTCTATATCTTTTCTACTGACCAAATAGAAATATGCAATGAATCCTCAACAATGTTTCACAGTGAAGAACAATTTGTGATCAAAAAGAATGCATGATTATAATATCCCCCAGATCATGTGTGTGTGAAGCTCAAAATCTTCCTTATACTTCAGAGCGATGAATATATTCTTTCCAGCACGATCCTAATTAAAAAAAATACTGACCTTGTGAATTTTGTAGATAATATCAGGCTGAGTTATACTCAATATGTCATTGTTTCCCTTTAATGATTTTGTATGATCCTTAAATTCTTGACCTCGAAATTCCTCTTCCGTCAAGGCACACTGCTGAATCATGGTCCCCATACCTCCATCCAAAACCATAATGCGTGCATGCAAAATTGATTCAATTTCATCTTTCAAGTTTTTCTTCACAACTGTGTTAAAAACAGAAACAAGTTTGAAAAATACGTATTTGAAACAGTCAACATCTTCTCCTTCAGAGGTGCAGAAATTGAAAGTGCTTGTGAGCAGAGTTCTACAACATGTGTGTGCACACACACTTTCCAAGTACACACCATTCCTTCTGAAAATGAAATGAAATGGGCACCTCCTAACTGATACCCCCATCTAACATTTATTCTGAATCCTACTAGCTTCAATGAGGAGTCAAGTATGTTTAAAATCTAATCTTAGAAAATCATGCTCCAAAGTCCTTATCTAAAGCCACACTGGAGTACAGAGTTTACACTGCATCAAGAGATAACATGTTTGGGACATCTGTTCTTTTCCAAGTTGAACTGAAAGAATAGCAGAAGATACACATATGCATGGCTGAGGATACATGTATTTCACTCCTGCTGTAGCAAATATCCCCTGGAAATAGTGTTATGCATGGAACCTAGTACCAACATTATATCTCAGCTCAGGCAGGGCACACACAAAGTGCTGCGCAAGGGACTAGAACAGTATGTAGGGATCAGGTATGTTTAAGCAGAATTCATTAAAAAAGCACCAAACATATGCATTTAAAAAAATAGACAAGAAAGATATTTACAGCAGGACCCCCACATATATGGGGATATGTTCAAGCCCCACAGTGGAAGCCTGAAACTGCAAATAATGGCAAACACGATATACTGAACATACACTTTCCTTTTTTCACAATTTCATAGATAGAAGAGTTGTTCTTACTGTACATGCTAGCAATCTCAGCACATGATTTTTTCATTTCACTATTAAATTGATAATTTTTCACTTAAAGGAAGCACTTTATGACTTCTCTTTGTCACTTTACAATTTCTCTTTTGGACTGAGGTCAACCACAGTTAAGTGAAAATGTGTAGCTGAACCAGTGAAAATGGGAGTCCTGCTGCACTTTCTTTTAGACTAACACTGACCTAATAACAGGCAGAATTAAGTTACCTGGGACTATAGGGAAAAGGTAAACAAAATTAAGTTATTCCTATACAAAGAATAAAACTATGAAGACTGCAGTCATGTTCATAGCTCTTTGGCAGTAGATCCTGTTTAATTCAATGGCACTTTTCTACTATTAAATGTGGATAGGATCAGGGCTCAAGCATCTTTTTTCTGGCCCAGGACAAATGTACAAAAGCAAGTTCCATACTTATATCACAGTTCAATTCTATATTTATTTACAATATTTTTACCCCTCCTTTACAAACATCCCAGGACTTCTTACAACATAAATAAATCATAACAATAAATACAACAAAATACATTAACATAACAAGCATTAAGAGAATACAATCTTTATTTTATTTATTGCTAAACAGAGCAGTATGTGTGTTCAAGCAAATGAGCAAGAGGAAGAAGACTGCACTAGACATTTATTTTAGGCCTGTGAATCCTTGAAATACCACTGGGTTCCTCTCTGCCCTGGGAGCTGTCCTTCCTTCCTGCCTATGCACAAAGTCTGGAGCACATATCACATTTGGAAATCCAATTCTGCCAAACTACAAATTCTAATTTTATCAATACAAGGATAAACTCACTTTTCTAGAGAAAAGCCAAAGCTGATACCCACCACACAGAAGGGCCATATTTGCATGTAGCACTAAAGCATGTTCTAATGTTGTGTGCATTAGCAGGAACGAATCTGCCCCAAATGCTAGGCTGGCATGTTTCCTATTAATTTGTCCTCCCCACATGTGTATGTGAGGCATGAACTAGGGCTCGCTTTTAGCTGATTTACACACAAACCAAGAATTGTGGTTTCAGATAAGCCCTAGTTTACTAAACAAATCACAAAAACAATTCAAAGTTTGAAGTTGGTTTGTCTAATAAATTATTTCTTTTAAACCACAATTCCTGACTTACATGTAACAGCAAGCCAAAAATCTACTAAAGTAAAATTAAATTCAGGTTTATTTCTTTTCCCAGCTATGCGCGAGAAAACAAGTGGTATGGCTGAATCTGGTGCTTTGTGTGGACCCATTTTGTTTATGCAGATAACACTAAGCAATGGCTTACAGTTATATGCACATTCACCTAATGTATTTGCTTTTTTCTAACACCTCTTCTGCTTGGCTCCAGTTAATCTTATAACTTCTTGACAACAGATGCAAAGCAATATATTTCCATAAGAATTTTTAAGCATGATTTACTATGGGACTCATTTTTCCAACTCAGGTTTATTGGGGTTTGGACTAGATCCTAGTAAATTATAAGCCCACACACAGATGCTTGGGTCTTGCACAGGATCAGACCTCAGGTTATTGAATATTATATTCTTTGAACTATATTCAGTAGCCCTTTTTTAAAGCCCAAGCTTCATTGTATTCCTCAAATGCCTCATTGTATTCCTCAAATCCCTATGACCATACCATACGGCCAAGTTCCACAAGCATTTGGCCAGCTTACTTTGCAGTAGCTTCCAGACGGGGCTTTTATCACACCACTGCATTGCCATGCCTCAGTCACAGAACTTTACATGAATCTCAAGGAAGACTTTTACTTGCAAGCCTCCTGTGTGTTCCTACTGCATCCTCTACCTTTTCTTTACCACAGAAAATATATTAAGGAAAAAAAGATGGAAAAGCTGCTCAGTGCCTTCCATCTAAATGGTACCACAAGAGACCCCTGTCTGGGAAGCACCTAGGGAAGCAGCATTAAGGGTAAAGCAATAGATGCACCAGCAGTTACAGCAGTGCACCCAAATATTTACAAACTACTCCCTGTGAATGCTAAAGCCAAACAGTTTTAAAATTGAAATTTGTTTTTTGACCAGTATATTATCAAGTTTCCTGTGCCTAAATATCCTCTAGAATATTATCAGGTAAGGTGCTCCCTCAAACCTCTTACATGTGCCAAATCAATCTGTTGTGAATCATCCAAAGTAAACAATACTAAGCTTCGTCACATGTGGGTAACACAAGATGTATGTTCATGCATTTTTTCTGATAGTCCCAGACACAAAAATATCTAGAAGGCTTGAAGCTCGCAAAAGGTGTCTTGTAGTACTTGGAGCTACTGGATTGTCAGTGTGTAAGAAATATGAATTTATTCCTTGTCCAGGTCACCTAACTTTTACATTATTTAACCAGTCAGCTTTATTGCATCATCTTCTGTAGCTCAATACTGCTGCTAATAATGGGAGAGGGGCACGAGAAACTGATTAGTGTGCGGCGAAGCAAGAATTAACTCTTTCAGCTCCTAACAGCTCAACCAATTTCGGTAAAGAGGGCTGCCATCCATTACTTTGGTTCGTCTTCAGAAATTCATTCATATTATCAGTCTACTCACTTCTTCGACTTTTTAAGATTAAGAAGTGGGTTCAAAATAACAGCCTTTAAAGCCCCGTAAAACAAATCTAGGGTATTGCAGGTGTGTTGAGCCTGCAATCAACTACAGCCCAGCTATGCAAAGCACCTTCCCCACAACCTAGCCTAATAAGCCTGCCTCAGCGCAGGGAGGGGGGGAAGGCAAAACCACATCTAGGAACACAAGTTGCACGGCGCGCGCGCACTCCTAGCCCCCAACCCGAAAAGAGCAAAGCTAGAAAATGGGCATGTTCTAAGCCACTGAAACCTCACAAACGAATCAGGAGGGCACGCACCGTTCGACTCCTGGCTAGCGAGCTGCTCGGCCAACTCGTGGATCGTCGGCGCCATCCTCACAGCGTTTGGGCTGCACGACCAGAATGGGGAGAATCGACATTCGCGGGCTGGAATGGCCGGAGACAGGGCACAGAGGACGCCTGCGTGTGCGTCGCCCCAATGCGCAGACGCGTAGGAGTTTGGCTTCACTCGTCGCAGTTGGTCTCTCCTTCACAACAAAGAGGTACCTGTATCGGGAGAACTACAGGAGGCGAGGCGAAGCCCGATGGATCGCTTGAGCTGCGTATCTCTTAGCTGAGATGTTCTTTCTCTGTCTTTTAAATGCAAAACTTCAATTTTCAAAAGTCAGGGGCGCTTCCGATCCCTTTGTACACGTGGCTTGTCTATGGAAAATCAGGATCTGATTTCCCCCCTCTGAGCATGTATATGAAAAGTAGCGGGGAGGGCGAATGAGATGGAGCTGCAAAAAAGCAAAGCGCTTTTCCCCCGTGCCATGTTCCTCTTCAAAACTTTTCTCCGCCCCCCGCGCGCTCTTTGCCTCCTAAAAGAAAGCCCACGCTATGGGGTGGGGTCGGGGTTTCATTGGGGAAAAAGACGCGCGGGAAAAAGAGTTAAAAGTCCCGCGCACAATCGCGGACCCAATCCGTACCGCCGGAGGGCGGAGCTGCATTTTGTAAACGCGCAGAGACGGCCTCGCCACTTCCTCTGGTCCCTGTGAGTAGCTGAAGCCTTTCCCCCCAAGGCTAGCAAATGGGTTTGCGGCGTTACCTTTTGCCTAATTCCATTTAATGCAAATGACATTTTGTGACGTTTGGGGACTTGGCCTCAGATGCCCCCGTCGCAAAGGACTGTGTTGTATTTAACTGTTTGCCTAGCGTTTCGAAATGTAGAGGCCATCTACGTGTGCATACGGTGCTTCTTATTGAGAACAGCGCTACCCCACTGAGATATTAATTCTCTTTTTTCTTAAGTGGACTGAATGCTGGGATGCTGTGCCAGAAATGAACTTGTCTCGAATGAACAAATGAGTCGCTCCTGCAGAACGGCCCCTGCAAGCTTTCAAACGCCAAGTTCGACTGAGGCGTTCATGCGGTTTCAGCCTAAAACTTAAGGCTAACTGAAGGAAATGTTCACGACAACACTGGAAGTCATCTGCTCCTCGCTGCATTTGCATTTCCTCTTCTACCTTCACAAATAATACTTCTCCAAAAATACCTTTCTTTTTAAATTAACGGTTGAAATTTCAGGGAAGGGGCCTCAGACCAGGCTGCAGAGAGCTATAGCTCGCTCTGTGTGTATTTCCAGAGCCATACAAAGTGGTAAAGACAAAGCTATTCTTTTTTTAATACTAAATTTTATTTTTATTTTTTACAACTAAGAAAAACAATACAGTTAACACAATAACAACAATTGTGACTAAACATCACTGATCAAACAACACCAACATCAGTGCTACCTCCACTAGGACCAACAACTCTAATTACATAATGTAAGATCATTTATTCATTCAGGTTGCCCCACTTGCCTTCCAGCACTACCACTAATTCTGGACTCTAATATTACCTTGTTGGTATAGGAGCTGCAGCAGTTCTGCTCTTTCCTGAGTCCAGTGGTTAAACGGAGAAACCCTGAGCTACACTGGAGGAGCAAGCTTCAGTCCTTAGAAAGTTGGATTAAAATGGTGGCATCAGGAGCCACAGGCAAGGCTTCTCCTATTTTCCAGCAGAGTGAAAAGGCAAAAAAGAATTATGTGGCACCCACACCACAGGACACTTATCTGGTGCTGAGGAAGAGGCTTCATTGTTGGGGGATTGCAGTCTCCTTAAAACTTAAGCACTGTGAACCAAAAGCAGTATTTTGAAGAGCATGTAGTGCATATTTCATACAGTTACATATTTGCAGTTGGCACTAGGGAATGAAACTTAGCCTCATATTCTGGTGCAGAGGTAAAGGTCTGCAGGTTCCCTGGGTGTCCCAATCCAGTCCTTCTGTGAGCTTTGTATGCTGGCCTCACCCTCTTTTCCCCAAGCACAAATGCTTTGGGAGTTTCCTAACTTCTGTGCAGTTTTCCCCCCATTCTAAAGGCTAAAATGTTTTCTTACGGATTAGTTGCTGGCAGTGAGAGTCTTAAGCTAAAATATGCTGGTATTTTTAGCTTTACCCATTTTGCATTTGGCCCCATGCCCACCCATGGAACATAGCCTTACATTACCCCTGCCACAATCTACCAGTGCCGTTGCCTTACTAATCTTGTTTCATTCTTTTCATAGGATAGAGTACCAGCCTGCTCAAGTTTTTCTCTTGCATGTATTTTAAATTAAGATATTACAAAGCCACAAAAAATTACATTTGTTAGTAGAATATCATTGGACAAGTAGATGATTTGTTATTTGGTTTGCTGCGTAAAACTCCCGGATGGCTTAAGGCACAATCCAGTGAGGATGCCCATACAGTGGAGATTATGAACTTGGGGGATTATGGACATCATTTGCAAAGCAGGAGGAGCACAGAAGGAAGGATTATCTTCCTGTTTTTCCCACTCTGCAAAGCAGTTAGATCACCAATTTTGGCCATCCAATTTCAGCACTTTGGAAGTGGGGGAAGAGGTTGAGACACAACCAGATAGTATCTTGGCAGTGCTGGTCTCCTCCCTTCCCCACCCACTAAATCCTTTCTCCAAGGTCATGTTTATATCCTCAGAGGAATTTTTTTAATTCTGCACCAGCAGTGGACGCTGGGTACAGATACCCAGATCCACTATCAGAGGTTGTTTCCAGCCTTAGATTTGGGAATGTGAAAAATCCTATGGCCCAATAGACACCATCTAGGGATCATGCTCTGTTATTCATTAAATGTGATAATAGCAAACAGTTACATTGCAAACCAACTTCTTTCCTGGTGGAGTTGAGAGTTGGCAAGTATGTAGAAACCCATTGCTTCCATCATGTGACACAGCAAAGAGTCTTTATGGTAGCCTTCCATGATTTTACTGGTAAAATATATATTTCCAATGAAATTCACAAGGAATGTTCTAGACCATGGGTCCTCAAACTATCGCCCGCGGGACAGATCCAGCCCGCCATGTCCATTTATCCGGTCCACACCGCCACTCGCCACTCACGAGTATGCATGCTGTGCGGGCGGGAGGTGGTGGCTTGTTCACTCGAAGATGGTTTTGGACTCGTTGCGAGATCTCCGAGCGAGCAAGTGGCGGCCGCCACCCACCTCCCCCACACGTGTGCTCTTGCCACTGCCTTGTAGTGCAGGCGGGAGGCGGTGGCTTGCTTGCTTGGAGATGGTTTTGGACTCACTGGGAGATCTCTGAGCAAGTGAGCCACTGCTGCGTGCGCCCGACACCACCTTGCACGTGCCCGACAATGCCTCACCAGCCCACATGCCCAGGCCCCCCCCTCCTCACCAGCCCGTATGTGTCACCGCCGCCGCCTTTCGACTGACCCCCTATTGAAAACGTTTGAGGACCCCTGTTCTAGACTCACTAATACCATAGAACAAATTGTTTCTTTTCTTGGTTTCTGAAGGCCAAACTTACCATGGTAAAGCACAACTGGATTCAGACAGCATGACAGTCCAACAAAAAAACCCATCATAGCCTTTGTGTTGCCTGATCACAACCCTAGACAGCATAATCCATGTGGACATTGCACATATTGCAAATACAATGCAAATACAAGACCTTTATGAACCTAACAGATAATATATGAGATCAAGCAATTTTCCACTTGTAGTAATACACATGTGATCTATGCTATTAAATGCACTTGTGATAAAATATATGTGAGCCAGATGCAAAGGCACATCATGAAAATGAGCACACCTTTTCAGTTACAGAGAAACTGAATGTACCCAACAGTAAATTGCTTTTCAGAAGAGCAGTTTTGGATTTTAAAGCTTAACAGTGTTTCTTCCAAAGGATTGAACAAAGGTTTGGTTCAGATATATCAGTGTATCTGCTACTGTTGTAAACTTGATAACAAAGCTGTAAGTCAGTGAGAAGGCAGAAGAGATCTTTCCCTTCATGCAACATTATCATGTGGCTTGTTTATCAGCATGACTCACACCAACCAACACGATATTTCTAAGTATTACAAATGGGTAGACATTGCTTTTTTACTACAACAGATGATTTATTGGGTAAGTTTGTGGGTGATAAATATAAAACTTTATAGTGGAGACAGTGGGACAAATGATTTCATTAATGTCTTTTGCAACTATTTTTTTGGCATAGGAAACAAAACAACTATTTTTTGGGTTACAGATTTATATCCTGAATAAGGCTTTTAAAAAATCTCTCCTTTAGTTTGTTCTGTTCTTTAAGTAATTTAATAGAGCTCCAGTATATGCTATGAATATGTCTGTGTAACTCTTAAATGTGGAATGTAGCATTTACAGAACAATGATTTTTATTTGTTATCAAATATCTTCATTACTATAAATCAGTAGGCATGTTCTACCCTTTTAAGCTAACATGAATTGTGATCAAATGAGCAGAGATTTTTTCTCTTCATCTGTATATATAAATAAAATGCAGATGCTTACAGTTTCTTCTTCATGCATCTTCCCTGTGTTAATTTTAATGATATACATCATTTTGATTGCAATAGATTTTTAACATATGTGGTAACCTTTAGGATTTGAAGAGCCATTTTAGAAATATGTTGTCTAATGGGAAACCAGCTGAAGAAATGTAAAGAATTTTTCTTGTTTTGATTGTTTCCATATGCTTAGAGCATGAGTCCTCAAACTATGGCCCACAGGATGGATCCGGCCCACCATGCCTATTTATCTGGCCCGCACCGCTACCCATGCACACCGCGGCCTCACTGCACAGGCGGGAGGTGGTGGCTTGCTCACTCAGAGATGGTTTTGGACTTGTTGGGAGTTCTTCGAGCGAGCGAGCCACCTCGTGCATGCCCGACAGCTGCCTTGCATGCACCCAACGATGCCTCACCAGCCCACGCACCCAATGATGCCTCACCGGCCCGCGTGCCCAGGCCCCCCCTCCTCACCGGCCCATGCCAGGTTGCCGCCACCTTTCAACTGGCCCCCTATTGAAAAAGTTTGAGGTCCCCTGCTTTAGAGTAACACTAAATAATCAGAATGTTGTGTGCTAATATATACACCGAGATGTGTTAAAATATTTTGGAATTATATCAAATAACTAAAATGTGTGTTTACATTTTTTTGTGTAGTCCCTGAAGAAGGAAATCTACATTACTAAAACACATGGGAAAATAATCAAACATTTTTCACTGATACTTGGTTCTTTTTCATATTTTATCCTCCACTATTTCTTCATACATGTCATCAGTGCTCTTCCCATTATGAAGCAGACTCCTATGTCTTAATTTTGAACATTCTTAATTTTGAAGGCAGAAACTGCATCTACAAGGCAACATTTGCCTCTTAATGCTAAGGCAGGGAAAAGAAAACAGACATGCAATGTGAAATTCAGTGCATTTTACCTTGTATATAACAGGTACATAGACTAAAACACTCAAACTTACTAATGACCCTAAGACCTACATCCAGAAAGGCCTGACATAAGAGATTTGCTGCCTGGAAATCTAGTTAATGCTGCCTTGTGATTATTTGTCAATAAGTCCCATTACACTGAATGAGACTTCTGAGTAAATATTCAAAGGCTAGGGCTGTTAATAACTATTTGTTCTGCTTGAATTGGAACCTTAGGGTGCTTACACTACCCTCTTTCCAGGTGTGCTGGCCCTGAGTCAAGATTATTGATAGGAAAAAGTGCAGCAGCACAGCTTCTAGTCACAAAGAGACCCATGTATAGGAGGACATCATAGGGGATGCTCCGCAAGTGTAGAACTCCCTAGCAAGGAAAGTCAGGCTAGAGTAATCTCTTATCCTTCTGCCATCAGGAAACATTTTTATTCACATGGGCTTTTGGCCATTAAGTTGACTTGCATCCCAAAGTAGCTTTAACTGGTGAGTGTTGCTTATTTCTTTTCTTTTTTAATTATTGATGTGATATTTAATTCTGGTTCATTCACTCATATGTTTTGTGCTTTTACATTTTATTTGTATTGTTAGACACTCTACTTTTAATGGAAAGGCAAGCATGCATTATTATAAGCTTATCTACATTTTCCATGCAAAGGCAGTAAGAAATGTGCTCAGGTGCTTGCTAAGTATACTCCAGTAAAGAAAACTATGCAAACAGATAAAATGGAAAATTCACCAATGTTTGAATTATAGAAGGTATCTTGTATGAATTTCAATACATGAATCCATGTTAAGGTTTGAAAAACAGACTTTTATTTAGTAGGCACATTTTAGTAGTACAGGATTGTACAGCTTTTGTTGCAATCTGTGAATATTTGTTTGCTTGCATTGCTTTTTTTTCCTCCTGCAACTGCTAGGCTTCAAGTAAAAAGGTTTGTTGCTCTACAGACTGCTGAGATGAAAATAGTTAATAAATGACCACACAAATTGCCATAGAGTCACTGTTCTAAAAATGAACATTCAGCTTAATTGATACCAAATGCAGCAGAACAATGAATACACAGAGAGCAAACTTTTTGACACAGACATAGGAAGCCTCTTTTTTAAATCTTGTCTATCTGTTTTGTGCCCTTTCAGTTGCCAAGTTAAAAGCCAGGTATTGGTTTTAAGTCTAAGATTAAATATTATTCATCTGTTGGCAATTAACTCCTGAGGTTCCATTAAAATTAGGCCAACAAAAAAGCTAAACCGAGATTCCAATCAGAGTTCACATAAAAACTAAAAAGTCTCATATGATATGGACTATGCTTTTTGCTTGATTCATTTCCTTGTTTCTCTTGCATATGCAACTCCACCTGCAGAAGCAACTAGGTATCTGGAGATGAAAGCATTACCTGGGATGAAAGCAAAAAAGTGATACGTGGAGGAAGATTATAGAAGTCTCACATAAAGTGTGAAATATTCTTACAGAAGAGAATGAATATTAAAGCTGTGTTGGGTTTAATTTTCATGTTTCCTGAGGCTTCCTAACTTGACACTGAGAGAAATATTTCTTATGTGCTTCCCCACCTGTTTAAAAAAACCACAACCAGATACGGCGCTGGGCCATTGCAGTCTGTGACTGTATAAGGCTGACAAAGTAAAAACAAACAACGTAAAAGTCTATCAAAGCCACACACTTTATATGGTATAGTTAGGTACTGAATGAACTTGCTAAGCTCAAGAAACTCATTTTGACATCAAATTGCTGCATTTTTGAAGAGCAAGCTAGGAAATAACACATTTTTCACTACAGTTGCTCACAGTGACCATACAGCCAGTTACAGATCACTTTCACCATACAGTGCTGATGAAAACGAGGTATAATCCAGAGCTCCAGGAACAGCACCTGCACCCTTGTAGGCTGGCATTCTCTTGATGCAATACTGAGCTTGTTCAGGGGGCAGTTCTCGAAGCAACTCATCAGCAAGAATATATGGCTGCAAAGATTTAAAAAGAGGAATTAGTTCAGAGCTTTTCCTGTAAATGCTCATATCTGGAACAAGTTATAAAATGTATTTTATGATGGCAAGATGTGGGATTGGGCAGAAATCTAGGGAAACTCTGATAAAGCCACATTTCAGTCTCCCCAACCTGGTTTCCTCCAGATGAGTAAACAGTCAAGTGCATGTGGGAGCAAGTCATTTCTTTTCCTACCAATTATACCATATCATTTATACAAATCTTTAGGGCTGTGGTATCCTATTTTAATTTACCTGTTTTCCACAACTCACATGATGTTCACATGAAACCCCCTCAGGCATTTTTATTGCAGATGACTACATGGGAGGGGTGGATCTTGGGCACCACGCTGAACAACATTTTGGTTTTTTTTTCATGGATGTGCAGGTTTTTGTATAAAGTGCCAAATACAGAATGCAGCCAACTGAGTTAAAGTCCTTTGGCTTTAATTAAAATGATAACTTGCAAGTTTGCATTCCATAAAATTGCAGAGAACAACATGAATGGATTGTTCCTGCTGAATGGCTAGAACTTAGAGAAGGCTGGATTGGAGTGTTTAAATAGGAGGAAGTCTGCACTTAACATAGCTCCCAGCCCCTGCATCCTTCACCTTAATGTTATTTGTTGCTATAGAGGTTTATGATTCCCTTTTTGCCATACCCAACCCCTAATACATCCCCAATAACTCAGCCTCCCCCTATGTTTTTTTTCAGTAACAACTCAGCAATACAAAATGGGTTTTCTGTTTAGAAAAATATCAGATCAGAAGTTTTCGGTGCACTCTTTAAGTCAAGGGCAGATCTGTAACGTTTATTTCAGGTTTCTCCAGACTTGACAAGTTTTGATAATTGCCAGTGTGGTTTAGCAACACCTGCTGCCTAGTCTTTTAAAAAAATTCTTTAAGCTACAGAATAATGTTTCTAATCTCAACTGCAACCTTTGGATCAACTTTTCTTGCATTTGGTTACCCTGTTTCTTTGTAAACAGACATAAACAAAGATGAAGAAATGGGAAAATCCCGGGAAAACACTGACCTTATCTGAAGCTAGGATTCTGAAAGAAGCAATAACTTGTTCAGCAGTGTCAGTATCTGCAGTCTCTCTGGTCATGAAGTCAATAAAAGATTGGAAGGAAATAGTTCCCTGACCATTGGGATCAACTAAGGACATGATTCGAGCAAACTCTGCTTCACCCTGGAATATGGTTCAAAATCAGTCATGAAAGTTATTAAAAAATTAAAAAGAAGAAAAGATATTTAAGCAAATATACAGCTTCAGTTTGTTTTTTTAAATATGTGTTGCTGAGTACCACATTCACCATTATTTTTTGTGTATTTTGTGTTGGGTTGTAGGCAAGAAAATTGGCACATGCTAGATTTTTTAAAAAGAATGTATCCAAAACAGAAATATAATACAAACATCTACACATGTTTGCCCTAGTGAACATAATTCAGAATCATGGATATGGACAAAAATTGTTTACACAGGACTACAGCACTGAATGATCTGTAATCCTATACACCAGCATCCCATAACCCAGCACAATCCAGATTCTTTGCACTTCAGTTCCCATCAGCTGCAGCCACCATGGCCAATGGTCAGGAATGATGGGGGTTGTAGTCCAAAAGATCTGGAGTTTGTGGAAGGCTGTTAACGACAGTGGATAGAGAGTCCATCCCATTGAACTCAATGTAACTTACACCTGAGTAAATAATAACGTAAGATTAGGCTGTGTATTTCATGATGTTTTTGGATAAACTAGGATTTTGAATAGCAGGTGGTTTGACCATAGTAGTTTTACAATAGAATCTACTGTGTGAAAATAATATTAGTGATTTTGCTAGGGCATTTGTAGCATGAAATGCCATTTTTGTGATGTGGTGAATACTGCAGTAAAATATTATATCTTAAAATTCATACCAAATCATAACCCATTGAAATTAAGCAGGCTCTGAAATCATCATGGTCCATAAGCCCATTCTTCTTCTGTTTGTGGAAAGAAGTACATCATGTAGCAAAGAAGGTTTCCGTAATTAGAAGGAAGCCATCGCCATTTCCATTGGTCCATCATCAAATGCACAGGATGTTCAGTCAAGGACACATGCAACGAGAGCCACCCGTTGAAAAGAAGTAGAATTAGCTCACATGAAAGCAAACATGTCATTGGAAATAGATCCAGAAAAGGACCAAACACATTAAATATTCAAAGAAGAAGAAAAGAGAAGGAGGAGGAGAAAATTAAACATCCTTGAATAAGTAAAACCCAATTAGTACAAACTGCTTTGGTGTGATGTAATTAAAATGTTTTAAACCAGTGTTTTAACCTGTGCTAAGAATTACAATAAAAGAAGCATTGATTACATGTTCCAAATATGCTGAACTCTGAGCTAACAGTACTCATTTGAGGGGCTTGAAATGATCCTATAATCTTATAATTACCATATATATCAGCATATAAGGTGACTTGCATATAAGACAAGGTTGATATTTTGGGCTGTATTTCTGGTGTTTTTCATATGTCAGGCATATAGACAATCCCAGAATTTTTGCTTTACTATTTTTGGTTTCAAAGGTCATGTTATATGCTGATATATGCAGTATATTTATTTATCACATGATTTTGTAGAGGAGCAGGATAAGCGGGGCTAGTCACCATTATATAGTTTATCTTATTTTCAGAAACCACTTTGGAAGTTCTACTGAAAGGCAATGTGTCAATATTTAAAATAAAATTTAAAAATGAATTAACTGCAGACATTCAACTTTAAAATGGGATGTTTGGAATGGGGGATACATTATTTGGACTGATTATGCTTTATCTTGCTGGGGGTGGGAAGCCAATCATTTTGAAGAAGCTATTCTTAGAGACATAGATGAAGTATCTATTGTGCTTGAAAATCAGGTAAGAGGGATAGATGGATGGATGGAAAATGTAGATAGCAAAAGTTCAAGCTATTAATCATTAACAATCTATTTGAATCCAAGCATTTGAAAACTCAGTAAACCAAAAGGTTGCATACATATTATAAGCACCCAGCAGCTGAGTTTAAATCCACAATATTTGTAAATTTATTTGAGGGTAGGAATGCATCAGCTTTCCTGTACCTTTAGGTTATTTTCACCTTTCCTAAACTTATGAGACAGGTTTTAATTTCACTGAAATCCAAACTGCCAGGATCAGCTGACTGGCATGTAACACACAGTAAGCAAGAAATACAGCAAAGTATGCAAGGGATTCATCTGGGTTAATTAATAAGTGACCTTGTGAATGGTAACATTGCTATATCAGTCAACCTGGAGAAAAACAAAGATCGTTTGTTCATGGATATCTTAAAACAAGCTCCTCATTTGGATGGTATTCTAACAGCATGAAAGATGGTTGGATGTTTCAACAGAGAAAAAGTTCTGCAACTAGTAGGATTTCCCAGACAGCCACACCAGCTGACAAATGTTAGGACACTTAGTTAGAACTAAAGAAATGTGTAGATTTTGCCCTAATTTTTTAAACTAATTGGAAAGCCACCACGTATATCACGTCAGTGTAATAATTCTGGGTAACTGAAATGTTTTAGAAATCTTAAATGGTCCCAGCATTGCCTCCTTAGGGCTCCTTCTGGCTTTGCAAAACAAATATAATACAAGGATAAACTGTAGAATGCAATGTGTTATTGTTGCTGTTTTTAATATCATGCATTCTTTCTAGAACACAGTTATCTGCATAACAGACTCTCAAGGGCAAAGGATATGAATCTTAATAAAGATCCAACACTCACAGTCCACCATAAGCACATTACCTATCTATCCAAAGACCCAAATGGTAGAAAGTATGAGAAGAGAATCAGGCAATGAAGACAGTGCACTTCCACTTTGCAATAAAGAATGTTCAAACCACCACACCACTGTACTCATTTCACATGCTAGCAAAGTTATGCTCAAAAACATACAAGCTAGACTCCAGCAGTACGTGGATCAAGAATTACCAGAAGTACAGGCAGGATTTCGAAGAGGCAGAGGAAGAAGAGATTATATTGCCAACATATGCTGGATCATGGAGAAAGCTAGGGAGTTTCAGAAAAACATATACTTCTGCTTCATCTACTATGCTAAAGCCTTTGATTGTGTGGATCACAACACATTGTGGCAAGTTCTTAAAGAGATGAGAATACCAGATCATCTTATTTGTCTCTTGAGAAACCTGTATGCGGGTCAAGAAGCAACAGTGAGAACTGGACATGGAACTATTAATTGGTTCAAAACTGGGAAAGGAATTCAGCAAGGCTGTATACTGTCACCCTGCCTATTTAACTTATATGCAGAGCACATAATCAGAAAGGTGGGGCAAGATGAATCAACAGTTGGAATTAAGATTGCTGGGAGAAATATCAACAAGCTCAGATATGCAGATGATACCACTCTAATGGCAGAAAGTGAAGAGGAACTAAAGAGCCTCTTGATGTGGGTGAAGAATGAGAGCACAAAAGTTGGCTTGAAACTCAACATTAAGAAAACTAAGATCATGGCATTCAGTTCTATCACTTCCTGGCAAATAGATGGGGAAGAAATGACAGATTTTATTTTTCTGGGCTCCAGGATCATGGCAGATGATGACTGCAGCCAAGAAATTAAAAGATGCTTGCTCCTGGGGAGGAAAGCTATGTCAAATCTAGACAGCATACTAAAAAGCAGAGACATCACCCTGCCAACAAAAGTGCGTATAGTCAAGGCTATGGTTTTCCCAGTTGCAATGTATGGCTGTGAAAGCTGGACCATAAGGAAGGCTGAGCACTGAAGAATTGAGGCCTTTGTATTGTGGTGCTGGAGAAGACTCCTGTGAGTCCCTTGGACTACAAGGAGATCAAACCAGTCAGTCTTAGAGGTGATCAACCCTGACTGCTCTTTAGAAGGCCAGATACTGAAGATGAAACTCAAATACTTTGGCCACGTAATGAGAAGGAAGGACTCACTGGAGAAGAGCCTAATGCTGGGAGCAATAGATGTCAAAAGAAGAAGTGGACGTCAGAGGATGAGGTGGCTAGATGGACTGAAGCAGTCAGTGTGAGCTTAGGTGGACTCTGGGGAATGGTGGAGGATAGGAGAGCCTGGAGGAATGTTGTCCATGGGGTCATGATGGGTCAGGCACGACTTCAGGAGTAACATAACATAATAGTATCCTACTATATATAGTGACCTTCCTATATTTTCCATGAACAGGAAACTGTCCTCTGGGCTTTTCTAGAAAAAGTTCCTAACTCCATTTTTCCATGACTTTTGCTTCCAGAATTTTTGTGGGAAGAAGACTGGATCCTTTACACATGTTCCTCCTACCCTCCACTGCCACCCAGGGTTTGCCTTCTCTGCCTTTCCATTTGCTCCATTATATAATCCTCAGGTGGTTGTGTGGTACAGTAGAACCACATAACTACACTAGTGTTGATTTTGCCATTCCCCAAAATAATGGATTGCTATTCCTCCGATCAAAAGCCCCAGCAAAATGCTTCAAAACCATGCGAAATGTCCTCAAGGATGATCTTATTATCTAAAGAACTGGCAAGTTCCCATGAATTAGGAATTACAAACACACAATGTTTATATTGGAAACATTTCTAAAGAAGAGAAGGAGTGTAATATATACAGACAGTGGTAAAGATTTAAGGGTAACATGCTGATTCTTACTGCAATCATATACATATCTACTTAGAAATCCCATTAAATTTAATAGAACTTGCTCTTACATAAGAATATAATGTTTTGCAGTCTAAGTCTTTCTATCTATAATGTCAGCATATCCCATATTGCACTGGAATTTATAGCAAATGCATAAAAAGTTAGAATCAGGCTGTAATCAAATGCTGTCATTCTCTGGAAAGGGGCCATCTGTAAGTCCCAACATTGGTTGTGTTAATAAACTGTATTTTTAAAAGAGTAGCTACATTTCCTTTTAAAAGAACTTAGAAAAAGAAAAGCTAAGTTGGCTAAAAGGGCTCAGTTGAAGAAAAGGAGGTCCTTATATTATTAATGTGGCTGAGAGGCCAACATTAAATTGTAATTTTTTTCAAAAAGACTGTTAAATTAACTGACTTCATTATCCTGTTCTGTGAATAAAATACTAAATAGTTCCAAACAAAACCCTGTTTCAATATGGGACTGCTTTTCCTTATGTGTCTGAATGCGGTTTACAGACTGGTAAAGGATTGCACCAGCATATGATATTTAGGAGTCATTTATTTAATTCAGTGCCCAGAAATCACTGAGAGTATAACCCAGACAATGTGGCCTAAATTACTTGTTCCAGAAACTGCTATTTGTTCCACAGGTTCAGTGGTGTAGTGACATATGTTTTGTGTTTGCACGTGTGGACGGCTCCTTGGACAAATGGCTATGCTGAAAACCAATCAGAACATACACACACGTATTTGGGGTGAAGTATTGAGCTATCTGCCTGCTGGTTGCCTTTTCCTATTAATAAGCACATACCAAAAACCAGCTCTGGGGGACTGGGAGCTCTGATGCTGTAATCTATCTGCAGGGCTAACCCTACCATTAGGCAGAATGGGACAGCCACACCAGGCAGAAGATGCTAGGAGGAGGCAGCAAGATCTGCCAGGTGTCCCCCAACCTAACCTACTGCTTTCTGATGTGGTGAAGGATGCTGTCGCATGGCCCACATTCAAGAAAGAATCAAGTATCCTTCCTGTCAGCTTCTGTGCATGGAATGTGGGCAGCACAGCATTCTTCATCCCAGGCAGTCTTGGGCCAGTGCTGTATGTCTGATAGGTGCTCATGCCACAAAGATCATTAAGGTAAGTGCAATAGTAATGGCTTCTGTGTGGAAAGAATTACATGTTGCAATATACAAATGGCTGAATGTTTGCCAAGTGGCACCTTCCAGATCAAAAGCATCACTTTTAGGGAAGGTGTCTGGATAATGCACAACAAATTATTAACCAAAGCACATTGTTTGAGTAAATAATGGTGTAGAAAGGTCTTCTTAAACACACAAACACACAATTTACCCTTCCAGCTATTGCCATCTAATTTAAGTGGAATAATCCTAGAGAAATCATATCAAAGGCATTAATAATTGGTTCTGCTGTGCACAAGTATTTAAACCTTATTTATCAAGCTTGATCTTAATTATATGGATCTTTTACTGCTTGTTTTTCATTGAATTAAACTCTGTATTTCCTTTTCTTTTTCTATGTAAGAACATCATCCATTCAAAAGCCCTCTTAGAAATGAAAGATTTAATTAGCTTAAAAGCAATTTTCTTCTGCAGCTGTTTCTAAACAAGAAGTGCAATACATATGAGTATATTTTTACCCCAAAAAAGCTGTGCAGATGGATTTCTCTGAGATGTGAATCAGTCAGCCAAAATTTACTTTATTATCTGATCTATTAATCTGTGCAGTAGATCAATTAGTCTGAGAGATATGCCTCCACTTAGACTATCAATCCTCTGGGCAGAATCTATTGGACTTTGTGTTTTGTGTAGGATCTTGCACAATATTGACAGAATACATTTGTCTGGGGTGCTAGAGGATTATTTGGAGTCCTGCCCTGCATCCCTCAAGAGTCCATGCAGCAAGAACCATACCAGCTGCCTCTTCAAATTACAAATTAACCTCAGAGAGGCTAATGTAATAAAATTACATTGTTTCAGCTTTAATATATACGTATATATGAGAGTGTATGCTCACAGGATTCTGCTTCACCTTCATCCACATTCCAGCACACATTATGATATAACAGGGGATTACTTCAACAATCCTTGTCACGATCTGTTTCCGTTTGTTTGTTTGTTTGTTTGTTTGTTGTGGGGTGGAGGAAGTTATATATGCTTGGTCCTATAAAAAACCTTAATCTCTGATAGCCTCACAGGGAGAATGCAAAAAGGTCTATGTTTTTCACTAAGTTAATGCTTTAGTTAATATTTTACTTTATAATGCATTTAAAAATACACAGTTATCTCAAGCATTTAATGGCTTGAACAGGGTTTTGCGGGGGTGTTGGCATACTTTAGCAGCACATTAGAAATATAATCTAGAAACAGGCTTTCTAATCCACCCTCCTAATATATTGTGGGATTTTAACTGCATTCTGTAATTTGCCGTGTTTGACTGTATTTACTTATTTTGTAATAGGAGCCAGAAAATGTCTATTATAGGGGTAGCCAGTAAATAAAATTTAAAAATGCATCTCAACAGACTATCGTTTCATTAATATGCTTAGATGCCCACTTCAGCTGGCTTCATGAAGGGGTAAGCTGCTGGCCATCTGATCACCTGAGAGGAAGGATATGAAAGACAAATTTATTTAGGGTTCACCAACCCTGTCACATCTTGGAAGAACATATGGGGGATCACAATGTCAAGCGACATAGCCCTGTTCCCCACTGCCACTTCAGCCATGCCCAAATGATTTCAAGATCTCCTCCTGCTTGTGTAAAAGAGCTTCCTGATACAAGGCCTGTTCGAGGGTTTCTGGTTGTTTGTTAACTCATCCTTGACAGATGTGGATCTTATGACAAGCCATGCTTTGAGATGGTAACTGGGTAAATCGGGTGGCGATATGGGGGTGGATAACAAGCTGCCAAAGCTTATGAACCACTCTCATGTCATGTGAACCAGCCCAGTCAGGTGCCCTTCTTGGCAAGAGAAGAAGAGAATGCAAATGAGGAGCCTGGGATCCAGAGCAGAATGAAAGGAAGCTGTGCTATGTAATTCTGTCTTAAAGAGAAAATCTACTAATTCCTGTTTAGAACTCTCTCTCTCTCTCTCTCTCTCTCTCTCTCTCTCTGGATTCCACTGTGTAGCATACATTTTAAAGACAGTAATAGAGAAGCACACAAATCCTTTATGGCACACTATTCGCCAGCTTAAAAGAGAAAGAAAACAATCTACTGTACCCTGTCGAAATGATTAAATGATGCCCTGAATTCATTCATTTGTTTCTGGGTAATTCCTTTGGCATCTCTTGTAAGGATCTGATTCTCAACTTCATTGATAGTTCGGGCAACAGTGGTCAATAACAGCTCCCATCCAACACGAATATGCTGTTAACAGAGAAAATAGTTACTTTAAGGCAGTCCAATTAAAATAAAGACTGAAAAATTGATTACTATAGCCCAGTCAACACATCAATAAGCAAGCTGATTATATAAGAAATAGAAGACTGACAAGCACAATAATGTAAGCAATTTCTCCCTTCTTATTTATTTCTGACTTTCCATTTCCTTGAATTGTTCATTTCTCTCAGATCAATAATAGTAGATTGGACAAGATTTGGGGAAATATATTTATGAACACCTGCTATTAGCTAAGAAACATTTCTGAAAAGTTGTAGACAACACAGTTTACAAACTTATTTCAAGATGGAAATTTGCCTGAGAGAGAATCCAAAAAGGCTATATCACAATTGTTACAGAGATTCACTGATATTGGGATTGGATGTTCTTGCAGGATTGTGCATTTCCTAGATTATGTGATCTGAGGAGGATTATTATTTGGTTGACACTAGGAGAATAATAGGGTAACTAAGACCAGCAATAGGGGTGGGGATTGTATAAAGTGTAATTGAGCAGCAGCAGGAGGCCAAGACAGACTCCTGGAGTGAAGGAGTGAAGCATCCCAATCTATCATAGCTTCACACACTTACAATGGGCAGAAAATCCCAGTGGATAAGCCATCTCTGGGTCAATAAAATACTTAATTCGTATTTATCCCTGGTCTCCAGTACTATAAAAACCAAAGTATGTGGCTTGTTCCGCTCACACAAACACTAAGTCTTTATAGTATCTTCCATATGTTCAGTACTAAATATGATATGCATGCTGTTCTATATCAAACAAATTGCTTCCTCTGCTATGTCTCTTGACCCGGAGCTTTCACTGGAAGCTCAGGTGACAGCAGTGGCGAGGAGCGCTTTCCTTCAGCTTCGGCTGATTAATCAGCTGCGCCCCTACCTGGAGTACGACTGCCTCGCGACAGTGACAAATGCGCTGGTTACCTCCCGTCTTGACTTCTGCAACGCGCTCTACGTGGGGCTACCCTTGAAGACGGTCCGGATACTTCAATTGGTTCAAAATAGAGCTGTCAGGCTGCTGACGGGGACTGGGCGTTATGTTCACATGACTCCAGTTCTCCGTCAGCTTCACTGGCTTCCCACTGAAGTCCAGGCCCAATTCAAGGTGTTGGTGATGACCTATAAAGCCCTAAACGGCTTGGGTCCTGGTTACCTGAAGGAGCGTTTATATCCATATGTGCCCGGCCGCCCCTTGAGATCGGAGGGAGAGGCCCTTCTCCGGGAACCCTCCGTGAAAGAAATTAGGAGGGTGGGTACTCGGAGGAGGGCTTTCTCTGCAGTGGCGCCTAAGTTATGGAATGCGCTCCCCAGAGAGGTCCACCTGGTGCCATCGTTATTTGTATTTCGGCACCAGGCAAAGACCTTTTTATTTAAGCGGCATTTTAATTGTTAATATTATGGGATTTTATCTGGCCAGGGTGGCTTATTTTCTATTGGTATTTTTGTATTTTTAACTTAATGTTTATATTTTTTAATTTAATGTTATAATTATTTTTTAACTTATTGTTGTAAGCCTCCCCGAGGCTTCGGCGAATGGGGCGGCATAAAAATGTTTTAATAAATAAATAATAAATAAATATATATCTGCATCTGGTAAAGATTTGTTGCTAATGTCCTCCAGATGACCAGTATGCAAGGAGGTATTCCTAACCATTGACTGGGTTCAGACAATATAATATATTGATGGGGTAAGTGTGGGTTGCTGTTGAACTGTGGTTTGTTGCTGAGATATGGATTACTGTGCTGTCTGAATCCAGCAACACTAACAAGCAGCCTATGATGAGAACCCATGATTTGTTGTTGGGGAGTGAACTGGGATGTCCATGTTAATAAAATGTAGTTTGTAGGCAAAGCTGGGTTTAAACAACATGATAACCCATGAATCAATGATAACTCACACTCAGCCCTTCTGTGTGTGTTATTGTGTTGTCTGAATCGAGTGACTGTCTCCCTTATCTGCAACTCCCTTGTTTTGGGAGTTTGAGAAAGCCATAGCATCTTCAAGACAGCTAAACCCATTTAGCAGCTGAAGATAAATAGAAGATGACATTAGTTTTACATTTATATTTTCCTACAAGATATAATCTTTTATGACCCCATTTCATAAATCTTTTTTTTACTGTTGTTTCCCCTCACAAGCCCTTAGGGATGGGTTGAGATATAAATCAAAGGAACAAATTATTTTTTCGGGTGGTTTTCTATCATGCAATGCAAGAGTGAATTCATGGCTCATTTTAAAAAATGGTACCGATTTAGGGATGGAGGGGTGATTTGCTCCATTATGGTTTCTCCCTGTGCAGCTCCTGTTAAGATCAGAAACTGTCAAGGCATGCAATAACTTAATCTTATTAAGCTGCTTGTAATAGGGCAAATGCTTTATAGCAGAATCAAACACATTAAAGATCTTTCTCTGCTGGAAACATTTCAAAGTGACTCCACCTTTAGAACTAGTGTAGCAGAACAGCTACGCTTGTGAGTTTTGAGGTGGCATTAGGTAAAGGCCAAACAAGGCACAAAGGAGGCACTTCAAGATGTTTAAATGCAGATCTGCCTCAATTATATTGGGCTTTTTTACATGAGGATTTTAACCCACCACTTTACTGAGGTTTCTGTTTTCAGATTCTTAGCAGAATTAAGTTAGGCTCCTTTACACTTTATTTAGTATTTTGTTGCGTATTTCCCCTTCTATGGGTTTCATTACACAAACACAAAGTGGCACTGTGGTATGGCAAAACTTTGTGCAAATACATTAGGGCTTCACGATGCCATTTCACAGATGATATCAGGGTTTTCTCTGGGGGAAAAAAAGCCTGGGAAAGTTTGCCAAGAATGGGAGGGGCCCTGGCAAATGATAACATTGTGTAAACCACCCTCAAACTGCCCTGAGTGAGAAATTACAAGTACACAATAAATACCATCTATTGAAAGGCTCACAGAAAGGGAGTATGTGACTATTATTAATATGGATGCCTGGTGGAAGAGTATCAATACCTTCTCACATCTGCTGCTCTCTCAGTTCCCTCTTGCACTTTTCTCCTGAGCTAGGTTTTGATATAGAAATGTCCTCAGTGAGCTGTAAGACCAGCACCAAGTTGTTGGGCACTAGCAAAGCCCATGCACTGATTGGCAACCCTCTGCCAGTCCCTGACGCCTCTTCAACATGCTGTTCCTCCTCACTGCCTCTGTTTGTTTGTTTCCCTTCTCTAAGTAGTGAGGGAAAGGAACAGTAGCTTCCATCCCCATGGCCTCTTCCCTTTGGGGTGGTGCACAGCAGGCCCCGAAGGATCAGCAAGTGAATTAATAGTTGAAAGAACAGAGAGGAGAGGTAAGCATACTCAGGAAGGAGAATCCCCAAAGCACATCCTGCCGGAAAGCCCTCCAAAGCCTGGAGGCAGCACTGGCTTGGGAAAACGCACTGGCAGAGAGGGGCACAGGGAGGAAAGCCATCCATCAGCTCCAATCCTGAGTGCTTTCTTTTTTGCTGAATATGACCCTCATTCTCTACTTTTGATCTGATTGAGGACACAATCCTATGCACTTTAGGACAGAGAAAAAATCCTACAAATCCCAGCATGTCTCAAGCCAGCCATGCTGACTGAGGCATGCCGAGAACTGCAGGACTTTTTTCCTGTTTAAGTGCACATAGAATTGTGCCATGAATCAGATCCATGTTTAAACGCCAATATCTGCCACTGTCGTATGTAGTTTGATAAACTACTGATAAAAACATGATATAAAGGCAAAATATTAGATTGTAATAGAAATTATGTTGTTGTAAGACTGTAAGAAGCACCCTTGAGGTTTTTTTCATCCAGACAAAAATCGCCATAAATGCAGTGTGCTAGCTATCCCCACCATGCAAATCAAGCAACAGTGAGCCAGCAGAAATGAAATGAACAGGGCATATTCAGACTCCATAGCTACCTCCATTGTATAATTAGTGTGCTTATTATCGAACACCAGGGCTTCTTGAATCATTTGATGATCTCCTTCAAGTTTATCAATATTAATCTTGTAATTGATAATATTTTGTTCATGTTGTTTTAATTGAGTCATCTGGTCCTCTAATGGCCCTGTTATGTCAACGGTGGTTCGGGCAATCTCCTACCATAGGAAAAAAGAAAGAAAATTTTTGTTAGCTTGCTTATCAGATTTCTTCATTATTCATGTTAAAGCAAGAATCAGCAGTAATTAAACTTTAGCGTGTACAGACAGAATGAGAGATGAACTGGGGTACTGTAGTTTCCTGTCTTTGTCAACTCACTTCTTTTTGCTTCCCGCAATCAAAGCACAAACATACTACCAACTAGAGGGGTGCTAAGGTGTGCCTTTGGTACTATAAAAACTTTGCTTAACAGAACAGATATGCTGAATACTCTGAGTTGGCTTAAACAAAATAGTATTGTAAGCATAACATATGTTTACACCCATGGTTCATGAGCACTTGTGGTTGTGCATTGATTTAGTATACCTAACACTTGCAAGTTCCTTCATTGCAAACATCCTAAATAAATAAATAAAAATGTATGGTCTAGTTATCAGCCTATTCCAGAAGGATTTCCATAAGAACATAAACCTATAAGAGCTGTGCTGGATCTGACCAAAGGCTCATGTAGTCCAGGATTCCATTCACACTGCATATAACTGGAAGCATTTAGGAAGCCCACAGCAGGATCCTCGTGCTGGAGCACTCCTGATAAGGTTCTCAGGAAATTATATTGGGAGGGATATTGCCTGTGTTACTGGAGGACTACACTGGTGTCATAACTAGCAGCCATTGATAGCCTTATCCTCCATGAGTTTGTCCAGTCATTTTTTTAAAGTCATCCAAATTTTAAAACTTATGATAACAAATCCTATAGCTTAACTATGTACTTTAGTGCACTTGACCCTTTACTGATATGAAATTGTCCTAAGGTGTCTAGCAGCATGGTTATGACTTCAAACTTGATGGAAAATAAATCCAACCCTTCTGTTTTGGCTCTCCGCTTTAATTATTTCTCTTATCATTCTTTTCATTCTGCACAAGCCTCCTTTGTCTCCTTCCCACTGCCTCCATGCCTTTTCCCATGTGCTCTTTATGCTTGGAATAGATTCCCCACTCCTGTAACTCAGTTGAGCTCCCTACCTTTACTCCTCAACGTTCTCTGATACCAAACCCCCGAATCATTCCTCACCCATTCCTCTATTATTTATTTGTTATATTTACATTCCACCTTTTTTTCCAAGGACTTGAAGATGGCATACAAGCCTGTCCTCCTCTCCATCTTCATTACTCCTTTATGAGTTCTCAATATCCTTGTCAGTGCTGCTCTCTCTCATTCTTTCTGGCCTGTCTGACTCCTAAGGCAAACCTCTGTGCATGGACAAGGATTGTTTCCATTTGCTTTTCTTTGTCCACTGCCACTAAATGGATATGGCTGATGGTACTAGGCCATAAGTATTCATTAGTTTGGGAAAAGCAGCTGCACCATGGTGGAGTTTTTTGAGAAAAGTCTCAGTGCTGCTGCATGCACCTCAATCATACTTACCTCCATCTTGCTTTGAATCCAGGGCCCAATGACGTTGGCCTGAGCAGCATACTGGCGGCGCAGGCGTTCGTTGGCATGTTGGCGGGCTAGCTCCTCCTGCAGCGACTGATCCCGCACAGGCACAAGTTGTTTTACCTGCCAACATGCATAATTAAGTTAGTCATTAGCCAAAATATTTTTTTTTATTTTTAGAAAGGTACTACAACTTACCAAGACTTAAGAGAGAATTAGGATGCAGAACAGGGCAAGAAGCTAACCCTGAGGTCATCATCAGAGGCCCTTCTCTGTATTCCTCCCCCTAGTGAAGTTAAGGGGAGATGGCAAGAAGAAGGCCCTTTTCCATGATAGCGCCCCAGCTCTGGAATTCACTTGCACCCAAGATTTGGCCAGCACCTACTCTTTTTATCTTTCAGTGCCAGTTAAAACATATCTCTTTTGTAAGCGCTTTGGTGGGTGAGGTGTCTGATTCACTGTTTGATGGTTTTTAAAGATGCTGTCTTTCTGCTGTCATACTTTTTCTTTTAATGCCAATTTTATTATGTACAATTTTGTTTTTATGGTCATTTTAGTTTTTATTAATGTTAGTTTTATGTTATGTTTTAGTTTTAGACTAAATTGTTGACCAATTGTATTGTTTTAATATTGTTGTCAGCCGCCCAGAGAGCCTATGACTAATGGGGCAACATACAAGTGAAATAAATAAGCTACTAACACAATGGACTGATTCAAATGACTGTTCTGAGACCTTTTCAGCTTGCTTGCTTAAAGTTGTATTAGCCAACTTTTCGGGAAAATTCTCCCATGGCAGTATATGAAATCTAAAATTAATAATCAAAACAAAATTATGATAAACATAAGTCTGGAATCAAAATTAATAATTTCAAGCAGGTAATTCCATATGTATGATATCATCCAATAAAATTCTAACTCAGTTATAGGCTAAACAAGTAAGCAGGTTAAATCTGTAGAGCTCACCTGAAGGCCTTGAATTAGGAAGGCTGAAAGACAGCAGCTAAAACAGAGTTCACAACAAGCAGCCACTACCAAAAAGGCCCTGTTGCTTCAGTCAGCCTAACTACTCTGATAGGCAGGAACAGAAACAGGCCTTCTATGTTCACTTCATGGTGCAGGCAAGTTGGTAAAGGTGAAAGCCATTATTCAAGTAAGTTTCAGGTTTAGGTTGGTGGAAATTCACTGCAGGTGTTAGTCTTATGAACTTAAGATATTGGCTCAATTTCTACCTTCCAGTGTAGTTTACTCATTTACTAACCAAGCCTACAGTCTTTGAAGCTTTTACTTCAGAAGCATAGAATATTTTCCCAGAACTGATTGTCCTTGATAAAAATATTGTTCTTTCCCCAACTACCACATTTTGAAAAGCAGCAAGATTATTGCAGCTCCCATATTAATCTGCTATTTCAAAAATCTTCTCCTGAAATGTTCTTTAAAAATATTAATAATTGACTAACAAGTAAGCTGTGTGTCCCCCTGCTTTCCCCCGTGCCCTGTGCAAAACCAAGTTCTTACCCAAACTTTCAAGAAATTAAACCATTGTTAAGATTATTGTCCTATCCATTTTACTAGCCTATGTCCATCTACAATTGCATAATATCCCATGTTCAGGATGGGATGCATCCTACTCATGCTCAATTCAAGTATGCAGAGTAGAGCTCTAAAGATAAACTCTTTTGTTTAAATAACTCACAAGGTCTTGCTGTTCCTCGCCCCCATGCTCCTCAAGCCCATAATTCAGCATGTATTTCTGCTTACAGTACCTTATCCCATTTGGTACGAATCTCCTCCATGTTGATTGCGCTGTAAGGATTGTTGGAACTTATTCTGAGGCTGTAACTCTGAATCACCTTCTCTACTTCATTGTGAATTGATAGGATAGCTTGTTTTTCACCTTCTGCCTCAGGTAAAGTGGCCTTAAACTGCTCATGGGCAGTGATTAAACTCTGAAATGAGAAAGTGATGGAAAAGGTCAGACAGACAGACAGCTTTCACAGCAATTACACTGGACTAAGCCACACTTTCTCTCTCCCACCTCAGTATGTAATCTGCTTAGAGAATCCTCAAACTAGTTATAGTGGAATATAAGTTGAATAAGTAAGTAGATAAATAAATTTTATGTGAATATATGCAAGACTTTACTGTTGATAAACCCTATGTAATCTAATGCAACCTTCCACAACTCAGTGCCCTCCAGATGTGTGGGACTGCAAATCCCATTGGCCATGCTAGCTAAGAATGATAGGAGTTTGCCAGCCAAGTCTCTGGATTCATGCAGGGCCCAGCCTGAGTTCATGCAGCAGTGGTTCTTCCCAGCACAGGTCAAGCAGTTACTGTTCTAGTATGGATGGAGTTCCTACCTTTGTAGGGAAAGGCTGATGTAGAGGTTACCAGATCATCAGCCCTTGTGCAATTATTTTAAAAAAACCAGACAAAGTGAGCTCCTGAACACAGCATTATTTAACCAACTGAAAGTGAGTTTGCTTGCCCCATCAGGCATTATCTTAAAATCATGGGTCTGTTTGGTACTTCATCTCAGCCTATTATGTTTTGCAGAAAGCTAATGTTAAGGCATAGATAAACCTTTAAGTTCCCCAGAACTCTCAAAAAGACTTCTGCAAAAAATAGAAACATAGAAACAGAGTGAGTCAGAAAGGGCCTCACAGGCCATCTAGTCTGACCACCAGCTCCGCTCATGACATGTCCACCATGTGCATTTCTAGCCTATCCTTAAACACCCTTACCGATGGGACTTCAACCACCTCCCATGGAAACCCATTTCATACCCTCAGGATCCTAACTGTCAGCAAGTACTTCCTGGCATCTAAATTGAACGTTGGTTCCCTGAAATTCACTCCTTTGGAGCGCATCCTGCCCTCCTCTGCAGGGGAGAACAGGTCTCTACCCACCTCAGTGTGGCACCCCCTCACATACCTGTATGTTGCCAACATATCCCCTCTGAGTCTCCTCTTCTCCAGGCTGAAAAGATCCAGTTCCCTCAGTCTTGCCTAATATGGCTTCCCCTGCAAACCGGCCACCAACCTTGTGGCCCTACACTGCCCTGACTCAGCTATATCCTTTCTGTAATGAGGGGCCCAAAACTGAGCACAATACTCCAGTTGCGTGCACACCAGAATCATATAGAGTGGTAGTAATACCTCTCTCGATCTAGAAGCCACACTTCTGGCTATGCAACCAAGGCTGGCATTCGCCTTCTTGACCACCGCATCACACTGCTGACTCATGTTTAGCCTGCAGTCAACCAGCACCCCGAGATCACCTAATAGGAGTGGTTGTTCCTAACAAAGGAGCACATACCCTTTGGAGATGGATTGCTCCTGATCTCAGAGCCCCTCTGCTGCTAATCTAGGCGCTCACTGTTTTTTCACCTCTTCTGTCTGAGTAGACAAGCAATGAAACAATGTAGAAATGGAGCCACATCTTTCATTAGTCTTCGAACCTCCTCTGGGCAATTGTTTGGATTGGGTCCAGAGGGATAAGGAAATGTAAAGCTGACAATAATGGGAAGATATGGGCCTACTGAGACTATCTTGTCCAAGTTCTCTCTCCACCATACATAAACACACACAAAATCTAGAGCCAGCCTAAGACTCAGCCCTCTCCCAAACTATTGAAGGCTTGTTGTTGCTAGTCGCGAAGTCGTGTCCGACCCATCGTGACCCCATGGACAACATTCCTCCAGGCCTTCCTGTCCTCCACCATCCCCCGGAGTCCACTCAAGCTGACACCGACTGCTTCAGTGACTCCATCTAGCCACCTCATCCTCTGCCGTCCCCTTCTTCTTTTGCCATCCATTGTTCCCAGCATTAGGCTCTTCTCCAGGGAGTCCTTCCTTCTCGTTAGGTGGCCAAAGTATTTGAGTTTCATCTTCAGTATCTGGCCTTCTAAAGAGTAGTCAGGGTTGATCTCCTCTAGGACTGACTGGCTTGACCATTAAAGGCTAGCCAGTATCAGGTCTGAGTTGACCTCACATTCCAGATCAGAGTAAGTCCTGTACTAAAAATGAAACTGGAGATGGCCTCATCCCAGAAGTCTTGCATCTATCAATCTGGTCCCACTGCTCACCTACAGCTACTGCCCTGTGGTTTACAAAATAAATAAGAAAACAAGCATGTCCCCGGGTCACTTCACACACTGGTTCTTTCTTCTCCCTCCCCTTTATATAGGACCCAAAAATGTACAACTACATTATTTATTCTTTTATATTTATTTATTAAATGTTTCTATTGCCTAATAGCGTGAAGGCTCTCCTCATGTGCCAGACTGAATACATCTGGTCTTTAGACATTCATGCACATTCACTAGTCAGGAGAGTCTTTCCCTAATGTGACTTGGGGTATTTTTCTACACAAGGTTGTTTATTGGCTGTATTTACTTTTGATTTCATCCCAGAATTGAGATCTGGGCACTACTTGAGGAATATTTCCTTTTATGCTACATAACCTCTAGTGGCACAGTGATATAGTGAAGCAGTGCAAATACACAACAGGAAATTGACACTCTCTTTGGTGTTCATGATTAAAAACCACATTTTCCCTGCTCCAAAAAAAAAAGCTTGCTGAAAATTGCTGATTAGACACAGAGGCAAATCTGGAGGATCATAATGTCATCGAAAGAACTCATAAACAACTATGAACAGGAAACAATAATAAATGCCTAACACAGAAAAGCCCTAAGACACAAGTAAGGATAGGTACGTAACACCTAAACCATGTGAGAATTAAACTACAATAGGGTGGAGTGATATATGCCATTCCCTTTACAATGAAAGGGGAACCTCTTATCTTTTTAGGCTTATAATGCAAAAGCATGGTTGTTATTGTTTTACCTGGATCTCCTCTATAGTGTGAACGATAAACATGTCTTGCAAATCTTCCATTGCACCTTCCATCCAGTTGTTGAATGGAGCTGCTCTCTTAGCAAACTCTAGGTGAAGCTGATCAATTGTTTCCAACAGTTTCTCTGTCCTCTGCCAGGTAGACACACAGAAATGAAAGAAATGAATCCTTTAAAAACATGCATTCACCTTGGCATCTGTTTTCAAACCTCGACTCTGGAACTTTCCAATATACAGCACCAAACTCAATGGAAGCACCTACCATGCACAGTTTGGCAAACTCTCCTGGCCAATGTCATCCTCTGAATGCGTGTTTTCATCTGCTGGCTGGCTATTCACCTGCAGATCTCCATTGTAGTGATAATGCAATTATCCCAAAGGTACCCATGACATTAGTACAATCATGATATTTTATTTACTACAATAGCTGTGGGGACAGGGTAAGGAGAGAAACACATTTCTATGGCAAGCCTTTTCTCCAGTTCAGATGTCAACCAGATTGAATGAAACATCTGGTAGTGGTGGTAGTGGCAGTGAACAACACTGAATCCTGACTGAGAGCATACGAGAAATGGTGGCCATTCCATCAGTGCAGTGGTCTACCTTCCAGACTCTCTTGGGTAATGCACAGAATTGCTCTGCCCATATGTGTGCATGTGCACATGCATGTGTGGGCATGTATACACACCTATATAGTTAATTTTGGCAGGCATGGATTGTATATTTTGATTGTATTTTTAAACAATCATTTGCAGCTTGGTTGCTCAAAAAATTGGGGAAAGGAGAGACTTTAACATTATTTGGGAGAAATACTCAACCATGCATCAACTTTCTAAAGCTAGAAGCATCTCCTCAACTCCTGCCTCAGTGCATTGGTGTTATTTGGCAGTAATATCATACCAAATCTTTTATAGCCAGGCCTGTAGTTTTTGTGGTTGTTTTTGTTGTTGTGGTTGTTGTCAATGTGGTTGAGCCACGAGGTGTGGCTGTGTGGACACAGTCTAAAACAGCAATAGTCTTATAAACTGCAAAAAGTAAGCTACTTCTGGAAACGAGTTTTACCTCCAAGGCTTCTCTCCGCTTCTGAGTGAGTGTTCCCAGTCGGTCCCACTGATCACAAATCTTCTGACATCGATCATTAACACTTGCAGCATCATAGTAATCCAGTTCACTAGAAGAGAAGACCGGCTATTTAATCAACCAACAGACTTAAAAATATAGCACAAGATTTTTTTTTCCTACAGTAGTTAATCTGTACTACTGACACATTTGGTTAGCATCACCAATATGGATCATAATGAATATTTCACACATAAAATGTCACTTCGAGGTAACTAGTAATTCATCCTGGGAGGCGTTCCCCATATTAATTAAGAGTATTCCCAATACCTTAAGTTGCATAAATGTATACTGCTGGAAATACTATCTGGGGCATATGAATTTATGATCTGCTTCTACCAGTGTTATGGGGATGCCAACTTCATTTTTGTTCAGGGCTTCTGCATCTTTACCATTTGCCAGACAGGAATCAATCAATCAGGAGAAGCCTTTCCCATGACTTCACCTCATACTAGAAAATGTTTCAGATGCTAATTTTCTACTAATTAGGGGCTAATTAAATGCATATCTTCTCCAGAAAAAAGGAGGACATGTTATACACTGGCCTTTTTTCCTTTACAGATCATTCCAACAGTACATCCTTATTTATCATATGATCCAAGGCTAACTTTAAAGGGAATGTCCTTGTTTTTTCAAAGCATGAAGAGCTGCATTTAGACACAGCAACAATGGATGCATTTTGTCAAATATACCAATTCATATACTAAAAGAAAGGAAGAAACTCCCTAAGTTTGCCCTGTGATATTTGGAGCAGTGGGTGGGGTGAGTGTGTTGTTTAAAAAGAAAGAAAGAAAACACCACCAACCCATAGGAATTTCGTGAATCCTAATGCTGTCCATGCCAGTTTTCTGCCAGTTAAGCTGGGTCGTTCTAGTGAGATCCAACATATGTATTCTGTCCTCAGCTAGCTGACTTTCACAAGCATCTCATCATACGCTGCATTTAGCTCTTGGCTGCTATCAGAGTACTTGCTATATACCATTACTTATCACAGACTCTGTAGTGATGTAACTACATGCCAATTTGAGTCTCGGATTTAATCCAACTTGAGACCAACGTTTTAATCCCTGACCAGGGAAGGGATGTTTGTAATGATTTTTCACATTTGAAAGGGGCCTTCTTCGGTGCTTCTGAAGTGCAGAGCACAACGATGGCTCTCCAGTGAATAAACCACAAAGGAAGAATGCTGGCTATGTCTAGTCATGATTGTACTTGGCATCAGCTTATAGGTTCAGAAGGAGGTCATGGTACCATGGTTGGAGTGCTGGGATGGGACTCTGGAAATCTATGAGGCTCACTGGGTGTCTTTGGACCAAGCACTGACCCTCAACCTAAACTACCTCACAAGCTTGTTGTGAGGATAAAATGAAGCTGGAGAGTACCATGTAAGAGAAGAAAAGACATGATATAAATGTAATAGTAATAATCGTGACAACAAAATGGTAGTAATTGGTATTAATTAAACAATGGGCACAATTCATCTGTTTCACAGTAATGGGAAATAATGTTGTACAAGCAAGTACAATTTCAACTAAATCCCTCAATTACTTTCCATCTGTAAGCACGCTGAACCACTATAAGTTTGTTTCTGTGTACAAACATGAAGGTATCAGGGAACAAAGGGGGGAAGAAAAAAATCCCTGTTGGAGGATGGGTCAAGTGGGAAATCCAGACTTTTGTTTCTGAGAGTTTTCCAGGCCTTCACAGCTTTGTCTCTGTGTAACTCTCTAGAGCAACCTGGTGATCCCCCAGGTGTTTTGGATGTTGACTCCCATCAACCTGTTGGCTGGGGCTGATGGAAATCAACATCCACAACATCTGGATGGTACCCAGGTGGGGAACACTGTTCTAGACATAATGCTCAGTCATGATGCATGTGTAAAAAAGTTCTATGTTGGAGAACATATGCAAAGCCTTATGCAAATGATCAGTGCTTTGGACCATAAGTCAGTTGGGCAGTGATACTGACGGTAATGGGAAATCCATTATTTTTCCTTTACTCCTCTGAATGGCTTTTTGTCTAAAGTCTGCGATCACACACTAGCTTCCATTTCTGAGACTATTCAGTCTGGTACACAATATTGGCCATGGAACAGAAACAGTGCTACAGACACAGACACATACATGTCGTATTTATCCAGACACCATCGATCAACAGGCCTCTAACAACTTTAACCTTTATGCTCTTAGCAGACTCAGCTGCTGTAAGGGAAAATGGCAGAGCTGACACTGAACTGTAACCAGTGTAGCTCAAGGTCACCCACACCAATTGTTCTCCAGAAATAGCAGCCTTTCATTGCCAAGAGATGAGGGCCAGGGAATATGGGGCCAAGCCAACTGAGAAAGTAAAAAGGAACAATCTTTCTCAGAGGGCCTGCTCTGATAAACAGAAGAACTAACTGTAAGACTTAATGTCCAAAGTTTTATAGTCCATTGACCTTTTTAAGAACCATCCCGAGTGAACATTTCATACTTTTCTATCCTTAGTCCCTGTTATTCTCTGGAGATTACTTTGAGAATGCTAAACATGTCAGTTCAGTGGAAGTATTCTCTTTTAGTCAATTAAATACATTTTATTTATACTTTGCACTGTCCTGTCACTGTATGGGCACTATAAGTACTAACTAATTTAGGTTAAAACAATAACCTAAGGAGTAAGTTTTACTGAAATCAGTGGAACAAATTTCCAATTAAACACAAAAACGAAATGGCTCTGAGCATCTGGGCAATTATATTTGTAGAAAAATACGAACAGGGCACTCAGAGGTTCTAGTAGTTTCACTAAACTCAACCTACTGAAGGCTTGCTGTCTTGTGTCTGTGTTACACAAACATGCCAGAATTTCTCATTAGTGAAAATGAAAACAAAAGAAGCAGCAATTCTGGCCTATATGCAGTTTGAGTGAAACTCAAAAGAGCCATTCTTTGTGGCTTAGGCCAGTCAAAAGAGTCACATGATCTTCATTTTTCTAAACAAAAGATTGGGTCCCCAGTTGCACCTAACTAGGCTAGAACTGGCTACTAAGGCCACAAGATACAAACAGCTTTTCTACATGGGGAATTTATTGTGCATTTGTCATCTCCTACTCACAGTTTATTAGAATTCTTTACAGCAGTGGTTTTCAACCACCAGTCCGTGGACTGGTGCCAGTCTGAAGGAGATTTCCTGCCAGTCCATGGTTGGGGGGGAATATCCCGCTTGCTGTGGACTAGGGTGGGGCCTGGCTGTGCTCCATCACCTCTTCCTCAGTTGGCATTGTGTTCGCAGGAGGGGGGTGCGCTCATGCTGCCAGGGTTGGGCAGGGAGGGGAGAGACGGCTTGGTGGGAGCCAGCTGGGAGGCACGCTGCACCAATTTTGGTATTTTGTTCTTTTGTTGGTATTTGTTGCTAAATTTCTGGTTGTTTTGGAGATTTTTTTTTGGAATTGTGTTTGGAAACTAATGCACAGAATACTGTATTATGTGTATGGTGCTTTTCGTTTATGCCTCTGCAGTCCCCAGGGTGGTTTTCCTGTTTTCACTGGTCCCTAGCTGTGGAAAGGTTGAAAACCACTGCTCTAGGTTCCTATTTCACATCTGTTTTTCAATAGTACTTTTGTGATTTTTTTAAAGAACAGGGAGAATACAGTATTATTTGAGAAAATGAAATGTTTTTTCCATCTGTGGAATTGTACTGTCTTGCTATACCATAGCATCTACTAAAAATTATATAGCAGAAAAGCAGGAAAAATGTGTAGTGCTCAGATTTCATTTTTGTGATGTAGATACAGTTGATTAACAGCCATATGTGGAAAAGCTCATGATTACCTCATGAACAAGTCAGAGCCCTTACCTAAATGGGAAAGCATCTGCAAACCCCATGTAAGCTACACTGGGCTCCATGATGCAGGGAGCAGGACAGCCATCTGAGAGGCATGGTTTAACTTGGTTTCCTATACTGAGCAGGGGCTTGGACCTGATGGCCTTCTGGCTCCTTCCATTGTACCATTCTATGATTCTTTGAAAGCAGACTATGACTGAATTAAATAAAATGAATACATATTGAACACTTTAATGTTGAATTTAATTTAGCTACAATGTAGATAGTTCGACTGATTTCAGTTGGAAGCATATTTGCACTTCAGTTCTCACCCTGAAATCAGTCTATCCATGTTTATTCAGAAGTAAGACTTCCTAATTCTGATCAGTCTTATTCCCAAGTCAGGAAGGCACACATAAAAGCACTTATCTTTGGGTGAACTATGTTGTTCTTGAGAATTAATTACGAATATAAGAACAGCCATGCTGAATCAAATCTGAAGGCCCATCTAGTCCAACATTCTGTTTGGATATTGGACAACCAACCAGATGCCTACAGGAAGTTCTCAAGCAGGGCAGGAGTACGATAATGCCCTCTCACTCATGCCCCCAGCAGCTGGAATTGAAAAGCATATTGTCCCTGAAACGGGAGGTAGCACATGGTCATCAGGACTGGTTGCCATGGTTTGTATACACATAAAAGAATCAAATAAATAAAGTAGATAATGGGCACAATTCCACCAAAGCTAAGTACTACCTAAAAGACCGTTTCTGGCACTACCAATCAAAAGGAACTGTGAAGCTTTTCTGACTTTCATTTTTTTGTGGATTTTTAAAAATTATGTATGTATTTATTTATTTGGTGGTAAAGAAAGGAACAGAAAAAGCAGAGGGTAAGTATAAGTGGCTTATAGAGGAGAATGTGGCACCTGGAGACCCTGAAAAATACTGTGAATGGAGCAGGGTGACTACATAGTAGAAACTTCTACTTAGAAGTGTATGTTGATAAACAGGAGGAGGGGCTGTAAGATGAGAAATAGAGAGGCATGTAACAAGGGATTAATGTGAGTAAATTGAATATAAATAGAAAGCAAATATACATTGATTGTATTAATCATCAATAAAAGTAAAGATGCTGTCAAAAGAATGCCATTACTCATGCATACCAGTTTGTATCTATTTCAAAATTCATATTAGGGCAATAATGATTTTTTTTAAAACCCTCAAGGTCACTAATTTGTGACTGGGAGTTGACCTAATGAAAGTACTGCCTTAATATGGATTTTTTTAAAAAATTGCCAAACAGGGGTACCTACACTTTTAGCAGGACGTATGTGTAGGGAATGTACTTTTTATCATACTGAACTACAGTCCTCTGTCCATACTGCATCCAAAGTGGCCATTGAAACTTGTGGAAATTTTCATGAAACATGACATGGGGAAGTGACCATTTGGGGGTCCATCAGGGCTATGATCTGATTAAGCTGGTTCATTACATATTTGTGCCTCTTGAAAAAGAAAGGGATCTCTGTAAACAAGCAGTTATTTTTTAATTTATATTGGTGGGAACACTGCTATATGCTGTAGAAAACAACAGAAAAATAAATTCTGGAATCCTGTTTTCTCCTTCTAGCATCACTCAACTTAAATATGTAAGATACTTCCACATATCAGAAGAAGGCAAAAGAAGCAAAGGTTTATTATTGAAATAGCCTTGAAATCTCTGTCCTGCAAAGGCACCTCTATTTTTAGTTTAGGAGGAAATAAGAAAGGTTTTCAATGAGCAGGCCAAGATAATAACACTTACAAAGCTATCTGTGGAATTCTTACATTGTACCTATGACCCTATCGGATTTATTGGAAAGAGTTTATCGGGTAAATGTCAGCAGCTGTGTGCCTCTAAATGGAACATACTTCAGCTCCTGGGCAATGGCAGCTATCTGTTCCACCCTGTCCTGGTGAGCGGCCAAGTCGCTCTCAAAAGCTTCATGTTTCCTCAACAAAGCACGGATCTCTGTCAGAGTAGCAGCTTCATAATCCTTCTGCTGCAGAATCTGCTCTTTGCCTGGCAGAAGGAAAGAAAAGTCGAAGTCATTGATGTTTGCCATTAGGACAGTTAAAGACAAATGGCTCAAGTACACAGAGGAATTGCTTGTAACCGCATCCAGGCTCCAACAATACAGCAATATTTCTTAAAGGACACAGGGCTACTCCAGGCTTAAACAAGATACATGCTATTTTGCTCGCTTCATGTCAAAATCCTTACTTGTTAGTGTTATTATTTGTGATTATATATTAAATGGAAAAGGTCAACATTGGCTGGTTCATTTTTTTAAAGAAAAAAGGGAAGACTAATTACTTTTAGCAGGCTATAATGGTTCTTTAAAGAAGAAGCCCTGTGCTTTCCAGAACCAATCAGCATTTGGCACTGCAATGAATGAAGGCACCATAAACAAACACATTTGCCTTGATCGTGCAGCCATGTGCTATAGGTCAGGGTGAGTGAAATGTGGACTGGGCTATACTGGGTGATATGCAGTGGATTGAAAGAATTTCTGACTTCCAGAACAATGGCAGCAACAACAATACTCCCTGCCTTCTTGCCCCAAATGGAAAGCTAGCTCAGTACTTTCTACATAGACTGGCAGCAGCTCTCCAGTGATTTTCTTGCATATGCCAGGGTTCAAGCACAGGACATTCTGCATGCAAAGCAGACTTTGTCACTGATCTATGCCTCCTCTGCATTATACTACTGGAACAAAGAAAACTTAGGGTAGTAAGGACCTGATTTTTGTGGGGAAGGACTGTTAGCTCTTGTACTCCAAACAAACTCTTGGATTCTTTCACTCCAAATGTACATCATTTGCCCCTGGTTCCACTTGCTGGATCTGAGGGGTCAAGTAAAAACCAAATAGATCCCAAAAGCCTGACATCTGTCCACCAATTGCTCTAGGTCATTATGTCTTATAAACCATCTGGCTGAATAAAGCTCCAAAGCAGCCAAGCTGAATAACCCACTAGGGACTTGATACATTTTCTGCCTCTCTGTTTGGAATGCAGAATGAGGAAAGATTGCCAAGCCCCTGGCAGGCCACCATATGTGGCTACCGCACTGCATTCATCTCGATGCATCATATGTTGTACAGGCCATTGGGAATGTTACAGGGCATTAAAGAGGCTACATCTAACTTCTTTGCTTGGCTGTTCCCAACTTGCAGAATGGGCACATTTATTTATTTATTTATTTATTTAGAAAATTTCTATGCCACCCCATTCGCCGAAGCCTCGCAGCAGCTCACAAAACATCAAATAAAATATAATACATTAAAAATATAAAATGAATTAACAATATAAAATAAGTCACCCTGGCCAAAGAATAAAATAAGGAAATAATATTAGCAATTAAAATGACGTTTGAATAAAAAGGTCTTCGCCTGGCACCGAAAAACAAATAACGACGGCACCAGGCGGACCTCTCTGGGGAGCGCATTCTATAGATTGGGTGCCACCGCAGAGAAAGCCCTCCTCTGAGTACCTATCCTCCTAATTTCCTTCACGGAGGGTTCCCGGAGAAGGGCCTCTCCCGCAGATCTCAGGGGGCAGGCGGGCATATATGGACATAAGCGCTCCTTCAGGTAGCCAGGACCCAAGCCGTTTAGGGCTTTATAGGTCATCACCAACACCTTGAATTGGGCCCGGACTTCAATGGGAAGCCAGTGAAGCTGATGGAGGACTAACGCCCAGTCCCCGTCAGCAGCCTGGCAGCTCTATTTTGAACCAATTGAAGTATCCGGACCATCTTCAAGGGTAGCCCCACGTAGGGTGCGCTACAGAAGTCAAGGCGGGAAGTCACCAATGCATGTGTCACTGTCGCCAGGCAGTCGTACTCCAGGTAGGGGCGCAGCTGATTAATCAGCCGAAGTTGAAGGAAAGCGCTCCTCCCAAGGAGCTGCGGACCTTGTCCCTAAGAGGGAGTGCAACCCCATTCAGGACTAGGTTCAATTCACCCTCTCCGAAGCCTACATTTGTAGGCTTCTAGAAAAGCCCTTGTTATCTCAGCCTACTTTAACCTTCTAATGTAAGAAGAAATGTAAGGGCTCTGCATAAAAGATTCTACTATTATCTGTGGAAAGCTGGCAGCAAGCATAAAGGTCTGAATTTTAAGGCCTCCTGAGGCTTGGCTTGGCTCCTGAGATACTTTCACTTAGGTGAATCCACAGAAACGAAGTCTCATATCTCTGCTTCTACCTGAAGCCAGCACCACCCTTCTAAGAGTCTCCCTAGAGGACTGGGAAAACCACCTGAATGATGTGGGAAGATACTGCAGGGGCAACTGGTAAAGGGGAGAATCATCCACTCTCAGATGGTGATCTGCCTGATCATTGGTGGTCCTCTCTTCCCTCAGCAGCCTCTCCCCCCATAGGCCATCCCATATTAATCAGAAGGGCCCCAAATCGCTGTAAAGGCTTTGCAAGGGGAACATGGGGCTGTAGTTGAGAGAAAGGAATGCATATCTTTCCTTTTGTGATTTTCCTCAAGTTTCTGCATCTATTATATTTAAATCCACCCAGTAACAAGTGTCCTCAACTTACCTTAGGATCCAAGCCATGTTTTTTTCCTGCAAAAAAGTATCTCCAAATTCTGTTCAAGTGGAATTCTGAGTAATCAGACAGTGTCATCTCTTTATTATCTATTGTATGACTTTGCACATTAACAGCATTTTGGGGAATGAAACGGTTCTTATGCCTGATAAAGCCTATCATTTCCATTTATTTATGTCATAATTTTTGTATTTTTAATTTAATATTTATATTTTTGATTTATATTATGATTATTTTAGCTTAGTGTTGTAAGCCGCCCCGAGGCTTCGGCAAATGGGGCGGCATAAAAATGTTTTAATAAATAAAAAATAAAAATAAATAATAAATAACTGAGAGGTTAGCTTTGGTGTTCCCTTCACATAACTGTCCACTTATACATCCTTCAAGTCCCCCTCCCCCTTTTGCTTCCTTTAGAAGTGCATGTTATTCCAGATCTGAATGTTCCATTTGGCCATCATAGCATCAAGATGGAATATAGGGTGGATGTTGTAGCTGACCATATGCTTCTCACCTACCATATGCCCAGGTTTCATGTGAAGTAGCTTTTTGCCTAAATTTGGCTGCCAGGTGTTCAAGTCGCTCAAGTCTCCGTATTTCATTCAGCAGCCATTCCTCATAGCCCTTCTCTGCTTGTTCAAGTCTTTGCCAAGCACTGGCAATATCCTATGAAAAATGTGGAAAGATCACCTTTAGTTCTCTTTGTATGTCAAGGAGATTTGCAGGGTTGCATGTCTTCTGCCTTCCTTTTACTTTACTATCTCCCCTAGGGTGAAAATTAAAGTCCTTGGGCCAAGAAAGAACCTGTTATGTTTTATTGTTGGCTCTCTTAATTCTGCACATTTATATGGAAATAATAAAATGCAAAGTGCAGCAAACTAGAACTGGGATGTAACTAAAAGGGGAAAAGGGAGTAAGAATTGTTGAAACTTATGTCAATTCACTGTAGGTAATTTAGAAAATCGGTCAAGCGAATCAATGAGAAACAAATTGATTTAGTTAAACCATTTGTGCAATGCAAAAGTATTGCAGCAAACTGAAGGATACATTGCAACATGATAATATGAAAAGTATGTTTATATTGTGTTAGAGCCAGTCCTTTTTGGTGACTCACTCATCACATCAGTCCTTTTTTCCTTATCAGATCACTTCTTTGTAAGATCTATGTAATGAAAGACAAGTAAGTGTATAGATATGTTTTCCTGTTATTTTTCCTTGGATGATGAGATACAAAGTAAAGGAAAGAACTGTGATAAGGCAACAGGACCCTTGTTAGTAAGGTTCTTCACTTTTCTACCTAATAAAAATTTAAAGACAGCAGTCTTATGTGTGTGTGGCCCAAATGATGGAGGCTTTGATCTCCAAACCCTCCATCCAAAGCTCTGCCAGGGTGCGAAAAGGCAGAGGCTATTTTTGTCTCGCTATCCTCCATGTGTACACTGTTCACCCTCTGCCGGGTCCATGATATCTCCCCATCCCATCTTCTGGCTTGTCCCCAGTAAACCCTTTCTCTTCCATCCTGGGGTTGGAATCCCAACCCTGGAAGAATGAGCCATTGTCTGCAGCCTTAGCAGCAGAGCTAGGACTCTCTTAAACACCTAAAATGAAACCAATGAAGACAGACTGCAGCCTCATTTATTCTGGAAAGGCATGCATCTTATAAATGAAAGAAAATGTCTGGAAAAAAAATAAGGCAGGAAGGAGTATTTCCAGAATAAAGTGGTGGTGGAGGTGGAGAATTAGGGAATAGATGTAACATTTCAAGTGTGATATAAGTAGCCTTCACTGCCCTGAAAGAACATGTATGTTTTTCTGTCTTGGAGAAAGCTCCAAGCTCCAGATCAGGGAGAGAGTTCTGAAAGTATGCACTTTGTTGGGGAGAACTGGTCATGGGGTTGCCTTTGGGATAGTGCCAATCACATCTAAAGTACACCTCTCTTTAACAAGGTTCCAAGCGTACCTCTCCCCAGCCATCAGAACAGTTTGCAACTGCTTGTTAAACTGTTGGTGATTTTTCAAGTAAATGATAAATGTATATTAATGCATAGTTTAAAACAAGACTGAGCAATGGCCCAGACTGAATTTGCATCTTTGTATGTCTGTAAGGCAAGTTGTAATGCTGAGTACATCATGGATGTAGCAGTCAAATGTCTGTGACTGCTATTAAAACTGTGTTTAGAACTGCATTCTATTGAAAACTCAGAACAGTCGCTGTAATTAATTTTGAACAGATCTGCTATTTCCCAGATTTAATTAAATGCTTCAGAGCAGAGAAAGCCCTTCTACTTACCGACACCATCTTCCCTTCTGAAGGCATGAAAGCTGGCCTATTGCTGATCCTCAGCTTTGTTTGCAATGTATTGAAATTTATCTCCAACTGGCATTTTTCTTGGACCTTAGGAGGCTTGTGCTTACGGCGATAGTCTCTGAAGTCCTCCAGCTTCTTCTGCATAGCTGCCATAGTCTTCTCTGGGGTCCTGTTTTCCAACCATGGAGTTGTGCGTTGAATCCATTCTAAAAGCTGTTTTCAACACAGTTTTAAAAAACAAAGACAATTGAGAACAAAGACCAACCAAAGAGGATAATTCCTTATTTATATTGAACTCAGGGACTTTCTGTTGTTATTGCTGATGTTGACATTCCATAGCTTAAGCACTAGATCTGGATGTGGCACAAGTGGTTTTACGTTCATGTTGGAAGAAGCTGGAGAGATATTTGTTGATTCCTTATTCCTGCCACACTCTCCAGCTGCTCCAGAGATTTTTGGGGACCCAACAGAGCAGTGTGGGGAGAGGTGGTGGGGAATGCAGGGGGAAGTAGGAAGTGGCTAATATAATCTCCTACCCCTTCCTTTAGCATGGAGGATCTTTTGCAAACAAAAGAAGCCTCTTCTACCTGCAGAAGGGCACATCTGGAACTATCAAGCCTAAGTGAGCATCATTCTGTACTTCCACTGGGTTGTATTCAATGTTAGTCCTGTGTAGCATAAACCCATGCAATGAGTAGGGCTTATGTTACACTAACAGTGGAAGCAACCCACAGGTGCTGAAATTAGCACTATTTTGACCTATCAGAACCACAAGAAAAGCCAAACAGATGGCGGCTTTTACCTGCAGTTGAACCAGTATTCAAGCAACCAGTATTTCCTCGCAGCATGGAGGGAGGGAAGCCTTACTGGGAGTGCCAATTGGGCTGGTTTCCATGATCACTGCAGTCCACCATTTCCATGGCAATTATTCAAACCAGGCCACTGTCTCCAGGTGGTATCACCATTCATCATACATAGTGTGTTTCTGGAGCAGATAAGAGTGGACACTGCTTTGTCTTGTTGCTGTGGCTCCCCAACAGTGACTCCCTAGGAGTGTGATTTCCATTAGAGTTTTGTCACTGCAGTTGCTGACCATTGTTCATAGATGAGCTGCAACTGACTGAGTTCCCATCACTATATTAGGCACACACTGGAGGCATCCTTACCCAGAATCAGACTCTTAGTCCATCTAGCTCAGTAGTTGGATCAAGGATCTGAGGTAAGATGTAAGAGCAATATTGTTTATGCTATCTCCCAAAGAGCTTCCTCATCCTTTTGCCTGCAAAACTGAAGCTATTTATACCCCAGATGTAGAAATGATTATAACTTAGGCACCTAATGTTTTCTGGGTGACTTAAATCTAAAGTTCACCCCACATTTGGTGGCAATACATAGGGGAGTTGTAGTCAGGCAACATTTCCTAGTTCAAATTAAGCTTAGCTCAAGAAATCTCTTTTGCATTTAAAAGTGTGAAACACTTTGCAAGGCTAGATAAACAGGCAACACATCTCTTTTCAATTAAAACAAAGATTGTATTAGGTGAAATGGAGATTTTCTCTCTCCATTTGATGATTATGTTTGAATAGAAAAGACCTGAACAGTTGATTACAGCTTTGCAGAAAAGCAGTTTTTCTGTTCTTATTAAATGCAATACTCTGTGCATTATTATCAGAATAATTAATTTAGAATTGCATCTTTTACCTCACTTGCTAGCCTTTCATATTCTTCCATCAATTTTTCATTTTCTTGGTTCACGGCAAGTACCTTACAAATCCGATTAGCTGCTGTTTCTGCCTGAAAAGCACCAAATATAAAACAGCTCTGATGTGTCATGAAACAAAATAAGAATGATCAAAACAAAGCAAGAATAATCATGCAATTGTTACTGCAAGGTAAAACAATGGACAAGTCCACTGAAGATGTTTTATCTTTAAAAATCCTCAAGAGACAAAGAAGCACATAACCCATTGCCACACCTGACACCATTTCCAGCTAGGGCACAACCTGTTAAAGGAATGATAAAAATACAAGAGCATAGCTGCTCTTTCAGTGGAGCTTTCACAGAACTTCCCAGTAAATTCTGTAGACCAGAAGTGCAGGAAGCTTTTCATGCAACACACTGCATATTTTTAGGTGGATTCAAAGGATGATGCACATATGGATTTTCACCACTCCAATATTGAGACTGGAGTACTGAACCTCTTGCAGTGTGAGATAAATTCCATTTCAGAGAATCTCTCAGGGACTGCATTCCAGTGGTGGATCAAGTTAAAGGCAAAAGGGATAGGGCCAAAAATGCCAACACACTGTAGCTTAATGCTCTTCTTGCCTTAGAAGAAGCACTTCAGCCCTTTTAGAATGTTGAACAAAGTGCACAATAACCAGGAAATGACAAAATAATTAGGGTCAGGGAAAAGGGTGTGGGAATTCCAAGGTCTAGGCTGGGACCTCAGGCAAGTCAGATTTGGCTCCTATGCCAACATTTCTGCACCCCTGGTTTTGATAAATATTTGCACTGATAAACCAGCTTTCTAACTCCATTATAACACTGATTAGATATTATCTTAACATTCTTTGTCTTGAATATTAAAATCATGTTACAGTTTCAAGTTATGCTATAGATGGAATTGTTCTATAAAGCACTGTTATGGAAAAATAAGAACAGATCCCAAGATGGTAAACTTGTTCATGAAGACAAGCTGTGTTTGTTTTCTTTCACTTGATTGTGTGCATGTGCATGGAAAAATTCACATGCAAAAAGCTACCTAAATAGGGGAACCAGAGCCATTTTTGTGATGATGGCAACCTGAAAATGTGGTGAGATACAGTGACAGAAGTGATTGCAGCTTTGCCTGTAAGTGTCCATTTTGCACAGAAACTTCTTTATGAGGCTATGTGTCTAAACACACAATTAGTAGAGAAAACAAATGCAACTTGTTGGTGTGCACAGGCCCTGAGAAGGCAACCCACAGTTATTTTGGGCACCTCCAGATGAATGCTTCCTCCTGCAATAGAGGTGGCAAACAAGGTATGAGAAAAGTATCTTAGGGAAGATGTCATGACCTCAGAGTTCAGCAGTGACATGGACACCGTTGATACAACAGGCATGAGGACAAACAGTATGTCTGAACTAGAGAACCACAAGCTTGAAATCTCCCGCAAGCCTGAAGAAATTCCTCCAAAGCCTGGGCAAAAGATGCATAAGACTGAGATACCTAACATCTAGAATGTGAGCCCACCAAACCTTCACAAGAAAGGGCATCCCCCAAACTTAGATCCTACAAAGGCTCAATGGTCCTGCACTCCCTGGAACTGTTGCACCAATGCAGATGGCATGCCCAGCATGAACGCATGGAAAGGTGATGGAATACCAGTCTCCAAATGAAATGACTTGTTCTGCGAAGGATCTGCACTCTTTCAAAACAGTGAAAAGCCCGAGAAGTGAGGCTTAAGAGATCATGGGAGGGCTGAGTTGAAGAGAACAACATGGGAACAACATTTCTGTTCTTGAGGGTCTGTCCATGGTGCTGAAAGACCTATTAAGAACTGCTATGGTTTCCAAGGAAGTTTCATGAAACTTTCCCTTTCTTTTTTTAAATCTATTATTGCAGACTGGTTGACAGATTTGTACCATTCTGACATTCATGGATAGAACAGAAAAGATGGTATTGGCAGGAAAGCGATGAAGGGGTATTGATACTAGCATCACTGGTTTTACAACACAGTGCATTGAAGTTGCTACACCACTTGCAACCTAGTTACTACACTGATGGCAGGTGGCTGATGGCCTAAATTCTGATGAGACATCACTTACACAAGCTTCAGTCTGGAAGCACACTTCCTGGTCTAACCTTTTGGGAACTGTCAGTTTGGCTGCAGGTCACAAGTGACCTTCTTCAGTGTTCTGTGTGATGACCTTCACAAACCTGTAGCCCTCCAATCAATTTGTACTTCAGCACCCATCAGACCTAGCTGGGAGTTGTAGTCCAAACTAACTGGAGGTACCAGGCTGGGAAAGACTAGACTGGGAAATCCCCTTGAAGACTAACAAGCTACACCTACAGCCCTAGATCAATTTTCAGAGGCTATAAACATGGCAGAAAAGTGTTGTGCTTGTTGTTCTGTGAAAAAGAAAAGTATAACTCAAAACTCAGTTTAATACTTTAGTCACCCTGTCAAATCAGACACCTAATCTAAAAATGCCGACGGTAAAATTCTCATTGTAAAATGATTTGAAAGAAAGATACTCCAGGAAAGCCATCATTTTAATGCATGATGCAAATCATGAAAATGAATCCTCCCCCTCCATTTTTTATGAGAAGGAAGGAGATGCATAGAATCTAACATAATAGAGTTAGGGGAGCAAAACAGACTATCATGGAGCAAGCGATTACATACAATACCTTAAGAAATGGCTTGCAACAGATGACTCAGGGAAGATGCTTACAGTACAGGGCAACTATCAATAGAATCACCTAAGAACATTTCAAAATTCCACCCATCTTAGCAGTAGCCTTCTGTTGACAGGCTAGATGTAAATCGCAGCAAATACTAGCTGTACGAGTCTGTTACAGGAAACAAACCTACATAAGTCCAATGGCACCTTAAAGACTAAGAGATTTATTATTGCATAAATGTAAGCCACAATAAATTTTCCATCTTTAAGATACCACAGGATTCTTTTTATGTATATATTAATTTTTTAAAAAATAAACATTAGTGAAATACTTATGAGAATGTGCATACTGCATATCATTAACAACAATGACAGTATAATATCTTTGATTAATTACACATTATATATAAGGACTATTTTGGTTTTCATCTTTGCCTATTATGATTTAGACTACATGTTGTCTCAGTATGCTGCGTATATTCAAATAAGATGATACTAACTCAAGGTAACACTAATTATGCTACCATCTGGATACCGTCTGAATAGTAATGAAATAAAAAACAGAAAATAATGACTGAGATAAAAACTATGAGGAAGGAAAAGATTAATACAGCTCAACGTTTTCACCCAAGAAAATCTGAAGATAAAAGGGGCATTTCAAGAGACAAAACTTTGATGAGCCTTTTTCACACGCTGAAGACTTTGGCATCCTTTTTAAAACTAGGTTTCTTTCTAAGATTATTCTGACCATGTTTTCCAAGATAGAATGATGTCATCATGTCATCAATAATCAATCAGAATTCACAGCCTAATAATATCATGAGGCTGAATCTGAATAAGGGGAGAGATAATTGTTATAATCATTATGGACAGTCTTCCTGTTGGCCCCAATAGCCAATGAACCAAATCAAGCATAAGGGCTATACTTTCTACCTTCCCTCTAGATGAGTTCATATTTTGCCCTGTTTCATAGCCTTCCCCCCATTGCTGAAATAGGGGCTGAATTTCATGTGGGACAGTTATTTTCAGAAATCGTATCCCCCATTATGCACCTTCAAAAGATAACACTGTTTTAAAGATGTTACCTTCCATACTTATGTTGCATTATTGAATGCCATATATAAGTCACTACAAGTAATATTTTAGTTTATTCTTTGACTGGTCTCAACATTGTTTTTCTTCTTTTTAAACTATGCCTGCTTTTCTGCTATCATCACAGGTTTCAAGGCAGAAATGTAAACAGATGCAGTTTTTCCTGGTACAGAAAACAAGATAAGATTCAGAGGAATTCCAAGGTTCCCTGGGATGCAATTTGAAATGCACTACCTCCAAAAAGACTGCATGACATCTGAGTAATTCACATAGTCTAACCGCATTAGAATAGTTAGAGGAATATTTTGCTTTTTTTCCCTGTAAACTGCCTTTTCATATCAAGTTATATTGTTTGTCAATATTCAGGTAGTACTAAGAAAATAAGAGACTGACTCTGTAGAGATGATAAAAATGTTCAGTGCAATTGTACTGATTTCAATAATACAAGATAAAATGACGACATCAGATTCCAAAGCAAGATCTGGTTAATAAATAAACCTGAGACCTCTCGCTTAACATAGGTTTGTCACATTGCTTTAAAAAAACAGAACAAAAAAATATTTCAAGGCAAAGGAAAAATTCAAATGAAAGTTGAAACACACACAACAAAAATGTACAGCAGTCCAAAAGGGACGGAAGGATGAATACCTGCTCTGCTCCAGCAAAAGCATGGTAGAAGCAGGAAACATAAGTCATGATAGCTCTCTCATCAGGCTTAGGAGTGTTCACGATATCTGCAAGGGATGGATAAAGAAAATGAACACAAAGAGTTGAAGCACCAAAGAAAGCAAAGAAACTAGTTAGCATGCAAGGCAGGTGCTAGCCTGTAGTACTTCTCTCTAAGCTTTGCAAAGCTGAAATTAATCATCTGCAACCTGTATATGCTGGCTAGAAAGGAGAAATATCAAAACTCAGACAGAACCTGGGATGGAGTGGGGGTAGGGAAGGATTAGAAGAACTGCATTGCTTTTATGAATAATGTTTTCAAAGAAACTGTGTGTAAGATCACTTCTTACAGAGTATCCCTGATTTCAACACATCTGTCTCTATCTCCACAGTGAGAATAACATTCACATGATTGAACCTTCATATACAGGGTTAAAAAGTATACTATGAAAACAGGTTCACACAGTATATTGATTTTCACAAGTTTTCACCAGACAAAGACTCTTTCTGGAAAAGGTTAGTGCTAAATTTCTATATAACATGATGAAATTGTTTTTAAAATGACAGCACATTTTTAAGTGTGCCATCAGTAGCACTTGCATAGTTCTTTTTCTTTGAGATAAAGATTCAGCCTTCTGGAATACAAATCCAAATTTAAATTGTATTATTTTTATTATTTTCCCACATCGTGTAAATTTCTCAATATTTCCATGGATACAAACAGCACATTAAAAAATGTAGATCCTATATATTAAGAAACCATGCAAAATAGTGAAATGGCTTGGCATTCTTTTTTAGAAGGAGATACTGAAAATTACTAAAGCATGTTACTCAAGGGCAAATTAATCTAAAAAGCTCCCAAAATAGTCAGACAAAAAGAGAAAGGAAAAAACTAGTCTCATAACCTCACATTCTGAAACCATCTAATATAGTGTGTTTGTTGGCACTCAGGAATTATGATCTTTGTTTCCTGTTAGAAAACATAATGCCTATTTCAAGAAGCTTACCTCAGTTATTTTAATAATTATATATCAGATGACAAGGATACCATCTCCCATGCTCCAGGAATCATGTCACAAGGCTATTAGGTCACTTACATTTAGAGACCTGAGTGTTGTTCATGTTAGGAAGAAATTAGTGAGAAAATACTGTCTTGTAGAAGGGCAGACACAGGTTGTGGCCCTCAAATAATTTCAGTCTGAAACTATTCCAGGGTTGATTGTGCCCAGGCTTTAGACAGTTGAGTTCTCCCTGCTTACTATATCTACCCAGACACATGTTCCCCATATCAGAAGTATGGTCACATTTGAACATAATGTTAAACTGTAGCTTAGCATTACATGAATGAGCCTCTTTTTTGTGCTGCATTTCCTCTTTTGGGGCAATGTGTAAGTTGTCACCCTAAAGAACGGTTAGTGTGCCACAAGAAATATATTAACTAAACACCAGAGGCTGCCATTTGGGCTGAAAATGCCCAGCCACTGATGAAGGAACTCTGTGCCTCATTGTATGATAGACTGTTTTCCTTCCAATCATTCTTTAAAGCGAGTTCCCACTGTTTCTCTGTAATGGATGTGAATCCATCTTTCTGTCAGCCCTAGCAGCAGAACTGCAGTGGAATTACCCACTCTCAGGGGAAACTGCTGTATAACTTTTTATTTCTCAGTAGGGTGAAGTAGAGGAATGAGGAAAAAACAGCAGTCCTTGCCACCAGCTGTGTGCAGAAGCCATGACTTGAGCAACTAAGGGCTAAACAGATAAACATGAAGCATTTCAGTCACTAGCTCACCAGGGTTTGTTTGTTTGTTCTTTTTTTAACTTATAGCAGGTGTAATCCCTCTTCCTCATATGTGGTTGGGTTGAGGCGATGAAGAGGTAAAATCTCACATTCTCTGCATGTTATGGTCTTGAT